GAAACACACCCATTCAAACCGTAGAAGATTAGCAACTGCGAAAGCATTGGAGCAGTTTTAAAGGTCTGCTGAACGTACGTACAAACGCTAAACATCTATTTTCACTGTCACGGCGGAATCTTTCGAATATTTAAATTCCGTATCTACTTCAATACAGTTTCGAACGATGGGTACCAGAGACAGATCCCCCGATAAGGATAATTCGCAAGGTAATGAATCATTAAATTTCCAAGTGTTTTGTAGTTTTTGCATGTCTTCATAGTGAGCATACTTTGCCTTGTTATCCTATTCAGTTTACATTAACTCATTTTCCATATCTTCATTTTAGTACTGCTATACGATACTTTTGATTAACTGTCCTAACAATGATATACATAAAGAAAATTCAGATCCAGAGCCAAAGAAGAAAGCTGTAATGGATATTCGAACAAGGGCTGGAGGGGCATATATCCCTCCTGCCAAGCTGAAGTTGATGCAAGAAAAAATCGCAGACAAAGTAAGGCTTGAGCAGCTAGTTTAACCGTCATTATCATTACAGGGTGGAGAGGAATATCAAAGGATGAATTGGGAACGATTAAAGAAGAAAGTTCATGGTTTAATTAATAAAGTCAACGTTGGCAATTTGGTTCCTGTCGTGCGTGAGCTCCTTCAAGAAAATGTTTTCCGGGGACAGTAAGTCGAACAAGTTGTTAACAAACAAGGTTTTCTTTCAGAGGTCTCATAGTCCGTTCCATCATGCAAGCCCAAGCTTTTTCACCTGTATTTTCTAATATTTATGCTGCTTTGGTTGCTGTTATAAACAGTAAATTCCCCAATATTGGAGACTTGCTGCTCCGTCGACTAATTATTCAGTTCAAACGTAGTTTTGTCAGAAACGACAAAGGTAAATTAAACGTTTTGAAACAGTTTGATATGGCTTTCTTCAGGAACTGCTGTTATTGTTACCAAGTTTATTGCCCACCTTGTTAATCAGAATGTTGTTAATGAAGTTGTTGCGTTAGAAATCATTTTCCTAATGCTTCACAATCCCACTGACGATTCCGTGGAAGTAGCCATAGCTCTTCTGAAGGAGTGTGGATCCAGACTTCTCCTTGTACGATCACACTCGTTTTGAACTCGTTCATTTTCATTTTTACAGGTTGCAAAAAAAGCTTTGAATATAGTTTTTGATCGTTTGAGAGCGATTTTACAAGATGTATCCAAGGAAGGATCTGGATTAGATAAGCGTGTAGAGTATATGATCCATGCTGTCATGGCTATTCGCAAGGAAAACTTTGTGGTTTGTGTGTTAATTTATGATCAGATCTGAGTTACTCCTGTTTCAGGCATATCCTGCAGTTGTAGATGATCTGGATTTGATTGATGAAAAGGATCAAATCAGTCATGTAAAGAGCATTGATGATACTATGGATGCTGAGAACATGCTAAGTAAGATTGATTTCATATGCTCACGGTTATTAAATTTTCTTAGATGTCTTCAAATTTGATACTGATTTCGAGAAAAATGAAGCTGATTACGATGAAATCAGGAAAAATATAATCGGAGATGCAGAAGACAGTGACGAAGATGATGATGATGACGATGACGATGAAGAAGGTGGAGAGGGAAATCAAGGTAATTAATATCTGCGATTTATAATAGATAGTACAATTCCAGATGCAGGAGAATCAAACACCATGGAAATTATTGACAAAACAGAGTTGAACTTGGCAGCCTTCCGTCGACGAATATATTTGACCATTCAATCTTCACTGGATTATCAAGAAGCTTGTCATAAAATTTTGAAGATTGGAATAGAAAAAGAAATGGAGGTATACAGTTTACTCTTGTATCAAACAGATGTGTCGCTTCTTTAGACAGAGCTATGCCATATGCTGGTTGATTGTTGTACTCAAGAAAGAACCTATGGTCGTTTTTTTGGTCTCCTTTGTGAACGATTTTGCAGATTAAAAGCCGAGTTCCAGGTAATTTTTGGTGTTTCCAATATCTTTAGTAATGTTAAATTATTTCAGTTGGCTTTCGAACAGATCGTTAGGGATACCTACGCCACTGTTCATCGTTTCGAAATAACAAAACTGCGTAATATTTCTAAGCTATTCTCGCACTTGCTGTATACGGACGCAATAAGCTGGAATGTAAACCTTTCTTTTCAAAGATTAAAAAAATGTTATGATTTCTAAGGTATTATCTGATATCAAGATGACTGAGGATGACACAACTTCTTCCGGGCGTATCTATGTGAAATACATATTTCAAGAATTGGTTGAACACATGGGCGTCATCAAACTATATGAGCGACTGAAGGATCCGTAAGTATACTCAAATTATACTATAAAATCGGCTTTTTGTTTAGAACTATGCAGAGCGCATTTGCTGGATTGTTCCCACGGGATAACCCTCAAAACACTCGTTTTGCGATCAACTTCTTCACTTTGATCGGACTCGGGGCTCTAACGTAAGTTGTTCGTTCAGACTACAGCTTACTTACAAATATTTATAATTGAAGAATGGATTTACGTAAATTTTTGGAAAAAGGATTGAAATCTTCCGAAAAAGAAAAGGCTAATGATGAGGACAGTTCATCTTCCGAGTCATCTTCTGACTCTTCTGATTCAGACTCAGACTCAGACTCAGATTCCAGCTCCTCGAGTTCTTCCAGCTCTTCTGGCTCCTCTGATTCTTCTTCAGACTCTGACAGTGATTGATGCAGCGCTGTTCTCATTCGTTTAAACTTGATCTGATTGTTGGATATTCTTTGTTGAAACATACATTTATAATCTATTCCTTCACAAAATAAACTGTCCTCAATATGGTTATGTTTTTATCCGTGTTAAATGCTTTCTGTAAATAGAGTCGGGCCTCAAAGACCTATTCGCCTGTTGAATCATATGAAACAAATATGTTGAACATTTACTTTGTATCTCCAATGGTTTCAATCTATGGAGTGGCTTGTGCTTATGAATCAGTTTCTGCCACCAGTTGCGAAGCAACTAGCCTTTAACATCAAAGTAATAAAAATAAAGAGCCAGCCCATTCCGACTCCTCGGAAGAACAGTACTGTCGAATCTATCGGCCTACTCTGATTTATGACGAATATTTCGATTTTCTAAACATCTATTACATCATTTATTTTTATAGGAGAGATAACAAATTGTATATAAAACGATACGAAACCCTCTCGCCTCATGATAACTCACTGTGTACCCAACTTCGCATCAATCGTTTCTCCTTGATCAGATTTTTTTATGTAAGTTTGAGTTAACACCATTCTGTATGATAGTTTTCACTGTAGCATGGACCATAGACCAGTTGTGTACGGCGGAGTATCTAGGGAAAGAACGCTTAGCTCTTCTAGCTCCTCAAGCTCATCCAGCTCTTCAAGCTCTTCAAGCTCTTCTAGCTCCTCCAGCTCTTCCAGAAATCGGATGTGAACTATACAAGTTACATGTTGATCTGTTAAAAAAATTTTGTTATCAAATAGAGTAAAACTTAATGAACACCATGCAAATGTATAACCTTCTGTAAAAGGCTGAAATCTTCAGAACAAGAAATCGCTCTGCATTTTCGAAAAAATAATGGGAGATGCGATGACGTCACTGTCTACCTTTGAACTTAAGGATCTTATTCTTCTCTATTCTTGTCAACTTGTTTGTATCATCAGAAACACCAAAATATGTATAGAGAGTTATCTTTAGAAATTATTTCAATACATTCATGTCTTGTAACTAGAATTCAGCAAACAATATTTAAAGGTAAAAAGATGCCTGAAACAAATTTGATCTTTTAATCTTCAACAATACATTCTGGTCTTTGATGAGAAATTGAAGTGAAATGGTCGCCATTTATTAAAACTTCGACGATAAATTTCGGCCTCGTTATCATCGGAAAACTTAGCGCGGGATAACAGCTTTAGATAGACATAATACAACAATGAAGCTCTCTTAGGTTCTACCATAATGAAAATTATAGATCGTTTAAAGGTTTAAAAATTATTATAGAATAGCCATGTACGATTGTTAAAGCTTTCGAGAATGATTTCATTCATTTGTTGCCTGCTTCAGTTGTTCAAGCTCGCGTTCATCAAATTCTGCAATTTGACCTCCTAAAATGAAAAAAAAGTCATGTGAAGAAAAAGTAGTGTAGCGTTCATACGTTTCCTCATCAATTCTCGAACAATATCATGAATTTCTCTTCCTTTCGTTTCTGGCATGTAGAAATAGAGATATGTCAGACAAAGAAATCCTGGGATGATGAACAGCGGTATGAACGAATATGACTGAAGCAGTATGGTTTTAGTTATATTTTGGAAGAAAAGATTTAAAAATGTTGAAACTAACCCCGATAGCCTCATACAGAGGTAGAGTAGCGCCTGAGAAGACTAAATTCATAACCGTGTTGATAGCATAAACTGCAGATTGTACTAAGGATCGACGACGTTGAGAAACCAACTCGGAGGGCAAAAAGAAAGCAATAGAAGCTAAGCCAAGTCTTAATTAACATAGTTAAATGTCGTTCTTTCGACTAACAGATGATAATCACCCGCTAGAAGCTCCGAAAATGATAAGTGAAGCTATAATTCCATTTCTCGACAAATCAGATTGCGGCAAAATATCACAGACAATGTACATCACCAAAGATAATACGTTAATTAATCCTAGTATCAGAACCAAAGGTCTTCTCCCTACTCTCAAATTATACATTTTTGTCTAAACCTTACTCCAGTATACGTACTTTTCCACTAACCAGATGCCCACTAATGACGTCAAAAAATTAGAAGCAATGTACAAGACGGAGGCTAGCTGCGCTAGATCCGGTGATAAGGCGCTTTCCAAAATAATCGTAGAAAGCTGGGTGATAGGCCAGAAACTGACCACGAGCTGAAAAGATGTTCAAAAACCAGGTTGAAGAATTTGATTTCTAACTGGCAGTTAGTAGGCTTGTTCTTTTTGGAATCGACGCATTTCGTTCTTGATATATATTTGTAAGTGAACGGTTGGATAAATTTTCTTTTCAACATTTGAAGGGGCGATTCACAGTGGTTTAAATTTCTATGATTTGGGTTCACCTGTAGAGTTAAAATTCCTATGATGAAGGCGTCTCGGACATGCGGATCTTTCACAATAGATAGGACTTGTTGGAATGCACTGAGCTTCACTTTCTCCTCTCGTTGTCCTTCAAGGATTATATCTTCCAATACCTTTTCCACATTTGTTTCACCTAAGCTAAGCATATGAGAACATATTAGTTTTGGCTATGTACCATGGTAATATCGAATAGCATCTTTAGCAGCTTCTTCATCTTGTTTATGCAGCATTAGATATTTCGGTGTTTCCTTCAGTGGGAAAACCATTATTAAAGTCAAGATTGCCGGGATCATAGGTATTCCTGCATGCTGTTCTTATTGTGAGCTGGAAATGTTGATTTGATACCTGTAATAAAGGGCAAGTTCTTTCCAAAGAATATGTCCATTCCCCACAACATTCCAAGAACGGTTGACAGCAAGAAAGCTGTCTCGCTAAGAGATGATACACTTCCTCTAATTCGTGTGGGTGGAGCTTCCTAATTTTATGTTTAACACATGACGTATATAACTTTGATGTTCACTTGTAAGAAGAGTATCAGAACTCCAAAAGATAATCCACTTGAAATTGAACTGAACCCTCGACCTGCAATGAAGAGTTCCGGTATATCAACTAGTGTCGAGAGCATGTTCAATGCAGCTCCAATCAAAGCCAAGAAAGAGGAGAAAAGCAGTGAAGCTGAAAAAGAAAATTGACAATTTCTTCCCACCCTTTGAAACCTTTTCTCCCAAATGATTCTGTTAGTACAGGTGTTATGAATTCTCCCAAAAAGTAACCAACAAACCAAATATTCAGAGTTCCGGACCATATCCATGAAAAACGGGATTCTGTTAGTTCAATCTATAATAGTTTCATTAATGATGTGATAAGCAATTTTACAACATTTTTGATTAGTAAATTATTTTTTTAATTAATATAATCCTTAATCGATAAGCCAAATAAACTTTTTTATACTTTTTGATAAGATAGAGGCAGAGAGATCATTAGGGAAGAACAAGAGGTGAGGGGGGGGGGGGAAGAAAGACAAAAAAAACAAAAACCCGTACCTCTCGCGCAGAGAAGCTTTCATTGTAGAAATTACGAAAAGATTCGACAGCCGTGTTAGGATAACTATTTGTATATCCTTCCTGAAAATAATGAAAATCATTTGAATTGAAAAAACAAAGACCTACTGGGAAGTTGACTACAAAACTTAAACTAAAAAACAGCAAAATACTCAGCGAAACATTTCCTCTTGGAGCCAACATTTTAGGGAAATTAAATGATTTTAATCAAGTTTTCTTCTAAAATCTTATGCTGCCTGCCATCAACTGGGAGAATTCTTCTTTTTAAGATTATGCCGGTATCTTCTTCTTCTCTTATCATTGAGTCGGGTAAGGCGTTAAGTAAATGGAAGACTACTCTAGCTCTCTCTTTGCCTCTCTCTTTCTTTCTCTAATGTTTTCTACATGTCTCTTCGCATCTACTTCATCTTTACAGTTCTTATTTTGCTCTTCCATGTCGTTTTCTCACATCATCAATCATATATTTCTGTACTGATGGCACTGCAAGAACGGGTAGTTCATCCATTTAAATTGTAACACAATTAGTGAGTTAAACGATGAAAAGCAATGATTATGTCCCGTTGCATACTTATCTATAGAAACAATAAATTTCGTTTCCTTCACGTCATTTCCATTTTCTTCTTTTAAGCGATGTATATATGTTCGTTTACGAGAACGATTACTTATACTAAGAATTAACCTCGTCATGTCGCTTTACATGAACTTCTTATCATTTCAGTTTTCAACGCAATAGTTCTTCATATCAAACTTTCACGGAAGAACTTTGATAGTTTTTAGAAAAGTGCGAAAATGGTTGATAGATGGGGATAATCTCCGAACAGACTCAAGCTTCTTCATTAGAATCAATCATCTTTTTATATGAATCTCTATCAACTGTTTTTTTTCAATTCTAATTACATTTGGCTTAGATCAGGCTTGTGGAAGGTTCAACATTATTTAACATTGTCTTTTTCATCTTCTCATTCGTTTTCATAGTTTTCATCAATTGGAAAGCAGTCTCGACCAAATTATGTCCAAACGCATTTAATTCGGAAGATATCGCTCTCAATACAACCATCTCTCTTCTCGCAGTTCACCTAGTTTGTGTTTTGAAAAAATAGGAAAATAAATAACACTTTTATACGCACCGCTCGGAAGTTTTCTGGTACCCATCATGATCCGTTTCGTTGGAAGCGTATCTTCTCTTGTTCTTATCCCATGCTCATCCTATGGCTACTGTAGAGCGGCTACCGTAATCGTTTACGATGAATCGGGGTAGCTCTGCATCCAATGACGTAAACAATGATATGAAAATAACTACAGAGAAGGGAGACAAAGTGACGAGAAAGATCATTCAGTAACAGCAACCTGAGAAAAACTAAAAAGTTCATGTTGAGCTAGAAAGTTACAAGAGCATTCAAATCTATAATCTTCTTGTGTAATCGACCTTTTGCAAAACCTTTGGTAATATGTGACTTATTCTTCTTTTGAAAGAATATAACAGAAAAGATGGCGCTAAGATAATATGTGCATAGAAGGTTTATTTCAACATGACATAATTGGTCCCCTGTTTGCACTCACTTTAAACGAATCTAAAATTCATAAAGACGAACGAATTATTTCCCATCGTCCACTAAAGAACAAGAATTAGTTTTACATTTTGCCCTTGTTCATATTCCTATTTCTTCCACTTAATTTGACATATCAGCTGGGTATCAAGATGTTCCTAAGATGGATTGAAATTTAAAATATTGCAAATACGAACTATTTAAAAAAACTTTCGATGTCTCACGTAGTACTATTGTAGAAATGAAAAAATCGTATTTGTTAGATAAATACGGTTGAATAGCCAAACACATTTCGGGATCATATAACTTGCAGCTTCATAACTCAAAGAAACTGGCGTCAGCTAGAAATTTTTGATGCTGAATTATGGGAAATAGAATCGAAAATTAACGTCGAAAATCAAAAGTTCATTGTCGCACGTGCAAAATTCAAATTAAACTGATTGGCCGACCAGAATTTATCTCAAAACAAACACTTTCCATCATATCTGTCAAGATGATTCCCATTTGAATTATTATAGATGAAATTCTTTATGATTGATATGCAAATTCATGATCGACACAATTTTCAAAATTGATTTCCTAATTATAAGTTGCTCTGAACAGGATTTTAAAGAAACACATTTTGGTCTCTCCTGACCATTTTACGTGCTAATGAAAAACGAACATTCTCACGATAACAACCTGTTTCTGACCATTTAAGCATTCAACCAATTTTTATTATATTTTCTTGAAAAACACCACCTAATCAGTGGATATGTTCAATATATCTTCTAATTCTTGCTACATCATCGTTATCCTTTAACTGCTTCCTCATCTCATCTGAAAATTGTTGGTCGACGGCTAGTTGGAGGTCAACATCTTCGTATAATATCTGCGATGAAAGTACGGATAGATTGAAAAAGTGAAAAGAAAGAGCTATTTCAGGAAGGAAAAATGGTGAAAACGTTTTTTGCATTCCGATGGAAATTTTTTTCAAATTAGAAACTTATTAAAGGTGATCAAGATATAAATATGGATTGCCAATGATTAGTTGATATGCCCTTTTTCCGCCAATAACTATCTCAAGAGATTTTATTAATGAAAAAGCATTTTATACACCTAGGGATATAGGACGATGTTGCTTAAGGAAACCTGATCGGCGTGCGCCGAAAGATATTGCACCGAACGTGAAAAGTTCGATCTCATTGAACGAGTGATCAGTTATAAATCATCGCATCTGATTATTAAAATACAATGAAACATATTTCATGGAAATGTCACGTCAAACATTCTGGCGATTGCTAATTACACGTACGTGTGAATAACACTTTTTGTTGCTTGAGCTTCATTTCTACTAGAATCAGTTGTTGACCGGCTGTGCATTCGGGAAAATGATGTCGAAGTCACTCTTCTGATTTCCTGCATAAGAGAATACAAAAAAGTTTAAAAGTTCAATAGATTATCACGAATGAGAAAAGTTGCATTGAGATCTCTTATTCAGCTGACAGGAGACTGTCACATTCCGTTCTGTTTTTATTTTATTAAAATTTAATTGATAGATTGGTGAATCTGAGAAAATTTCTTTGAAAAGTTTCAATTGGGAATTTTCAAAAAAATCTGGGACGACAAGATTATAATTTGAACCGAAGAAGAACTTGGAGAGATCGATAAGAGTTTCTTTCCAAATATTTCCAGTATACTGTATTTGCATAAAAAAAGGTATCGGCCGACTAGTAGGGCTCAGGTTACAAGCATGAATATGTACGGTAAGCTTGATACGCCCAAGCTTTCTCTTGATTTCAAGCACTTCCAAAAAATGTTATGCTTTATGATTGATTGGACAAAAAGATCAAGAAGTTCCAAAAGCTGCGAAAGATTATTTTTTGCTTCCTCTCATGGCGAAAATCATCTTTCCTTCCTTCTCAATGTGCTTATCGTCAGCACTTATTCTCTGCAAATGATATGAATTTTGATCGAAGGAATGAGTTTCGTTCAAAATTTTCTCTCTCATCTTTTTTTTTTCTCTCCGTCTTTCTATCTTTCTCTGCTTCTAAACGTTTCACTACGATTCATAGGTGAAAAGATTAACGTTATGGTCATAATGGCTATCAGGATTTTTCAGCTTCGGCTAGTTACACGAGACAAGTGTCTTGACGTCAAACAATGAGATGATGTAGATGAAAATTGAAGAAAATGAAGAGGAGGATAAGGAAGGATAAAATCGACGCAGACGACGAGAGCATTATCAGATTTCGTAGTGTAGGGAAGCCGTTGAGCGTAAAAGGTGGGATCTGATTGTTGAAAGTGCCGAGTTTCTTCTAATTCTCATCTCTCTCGTCAGGACACCGTCCGCCTATTCCGGGTGTATAAAGAGCCTGTTGAAACATAGGAAGCTGATTGTTGTTAGCGTCGACTGCAGCAGACAGTTGATTAACAAACCTCAATTAATACCAATATTTGGGCTTTGGATTGAAAGATCTGAAGAATTTCTTTCAGATTTTTCTCTCAATCAGAATGTTTTTTAAGCTTTCGCTTCTACTCTTTGCAGGTATAGTTTTCCCTTTGATTGTTTTAAAGCTTCATTCAAATTGAGTTGTTCGAATCGCTTTACTTTTTTTTACAGTTTCAACTGCATATTGCTCTGAGCCCGTGGAGCTGAAAGGTACCCAACACGCCTATCGGGTGAGACATCTGATTTCTTTGTTTTTTAAAGAATAGATATTTATAGGATGGTAATGCATTGAAATTACCTCTGGATAAAGTCGCTTCTTTCGAGATGATGGATAAGTGGCTTAGTCAAGCCTTTTCCGGTTTGATGGCGGCAGTCGCCAGTAAGAAGTGAGTGATAGATAGCGTTCAGAATTTCTGATGAATCTTTTTAAAGGCTACATCATATGGACGACGACGAACAAGATTCTGTTGAGGAGTGTTCCAGGAACGCCAAATCGGTTCCGGAACACGCTCGTTGTGTGGTTCGAGTTCTTGATGCAGCTAAGGGGATTAAGGTTGCGGTCGTAGAAAAAGGTACTCGGAAGCTTGAACGTTTTTCAGTGAATAAGGAAGTTAATTTCAGATACAGCTACTTCCCATTTGAAGAGAAAAGCTCATAAGACAAACGTAATCCCTGGTGGAAAACTTGAAGCTAACGCTACTGCTGACGATTTGGTTTGGGTTGGTGGATTCGGTACGGCCCGAGCCAAAAGGGACACCGGGTTTAAGGTAAGTAAATATGATGCTACGGAAATCTACTCAAAATTCTTTCAAGGTTGTCAGCAGAGATTCTTATACTCTAAAAAGCGCTCATGATGCTGATCCGATTTCTTCTGTTGCCCGTCAAATGACAAAAAATGTTAGAGCTCTCAAAAACAAAGACAAAGCTGAATCGTTAGTCTAATTTTTTTTTTCATTTGATGACTCTTTGTTTTAGATGGAGAGATGCATTGGCTCGCGTGAAACAAATTGGTGAAAAAGCTAAAGAAGCTAAAGAGCACAGAGAGGGGTTGAAGAAGAAGTTGATGACAATGATTCGTGGCACTCCTACGGAATTTTTGGATCCCAGAAAGCCTTTAGCTATGAAGAAAATGGAGATGGAAGATGAAAAAGAGGAGAAGAGAAAAAATGCAGAAAAAAAAGCTATAGAGGAGTTCAGAATCCCAATGAGGACCTTCCGTGATGCTGTTAAGGTAATCACAGTTTCTTGGAGCATTTAATGAAGCCATATTTTTAAGCTGGCTATGGTTCTGGCTGGAAAAGACGTCACTAACTTTGACAAAAAGACTCTGAAAATGGGCTCTCCTAGACTTATGTCGATCGTACCAGAACAAGAAGATGATACACTTGTAAGAAAAAAAATAAGAGATTATTTAAGTTTAAATGCCAAATTTTTAAGTTCAATCTTCTATCTCCATCTTTGTTCTCACTTCATGAGGACGGTAATGCAGAAGAAAAGCAGTTCTCTCTACCAAACATTCTTCAAGGAATTAATGTGACCAACCAAGATGCTTGGATGGACTTTGTGATTGAAGCAGCAGGTAAATTCATTGACTAATGACGATTCAAATGAATGAGTTTAGGCGTTGGTGATACTCTGGATAAAGCTGAAAAGGTTAGTCAAGAAAATCCAGAGCAAGAGCTGCTGGGAGAGAATGGAACTCCTCTATATTTAACAAAAAAAAATATAACGGACGTATCGGAAGTAAAGCGAATCGAAATTTTCGAAAAATTGGATAAGATGTACACTTTAGAACAGGTCAGGATACTATATGTTTGAAGTTTTCTTATTCAGAAACTGATTTTCAGAAGAAACAAATGGAAAAAGACGGATATGCTTTCTTGACATCTGAGCAACTTAAAATTATGTACGGAAAAGATTCTCCATATCATCGTCCAGCAGCTCTCAAAAAGTTCATGAGAATGAGAGCTAAAGACGATCCAAGTCATTTGATTGACCATGAGTACGTTTTTTGTTTCTAATCAACAACCATACAGTATCATAAAAGAGATGATAGTCAATGCACAATTATTATTTTCAAAAAAATATTTTTCAGTATCCGAGCAATGGCTCGCGCTGAGCGTCTCCAAACTCGTCAACACGATATTGTTGGAAGTCCAATCATCTTAACACCTCTTACCAAAGTTGGCCCACTCTTATCTCAGCCAGTAACGCTTTCGCCATTGGTTCTTTCCCCAATTTCCTTGTCTCCAGCCGTTCTTGGCCCAATTACTCTCAGTCCTTGGGTGTTCATTCCGCTGATTCTCTCTCCTCGTGTCCTTTCACCTCTAATTTTGTCTCCAATGATTTTCTCTCCTGTAGTTCTCTCTCCATTAGTGTTGCATCCATTAATCTTGACTCCAGGTATCTTTAATCCTATAATTCTTACTCCATTAGTCTTATCTCCTCTGATTCTGTCGCCACAGGTATTCTCCCCAATCATTTTGTCTCCTATGGTTTTGAATCCTCTGATTTTGAATCCCATGGTTGGTTCTCCATTAATTCTCAGTCCTTTCGTCTTGTCCCCAATCATTCTATCTCCACAAGCATTATCAGCCGTTGTATTATCTCCTTATGCTCTTTCTCCACTCATTGAGTCCAAGCTCATTGCTGCTGAAGTTGTGCTTTCACCAAGTTGGCTTTCTTAGGTCCTACCATTTCAAACTTTTCAGGAAATGATCTTACCATACCACGAGACAATCAAATTGTTTCATCAGTGTGCAATATATTTATTCACTCTTACAAGAGTACAAACTGTTGGAAACTCCTTCATAGTTTAATAATTTATTTTTATGTGTTAGCATTTATATTTTATTTTAATAAACGTCTTGAAACTCAGTTTTCTTTTCCTCAAGCTGTACGTAAGTGAAATCTGATCAGCATCACGCAAATGGAAAGCTTTAGGATGGAAACTTTAATAGTTTGCCCTGAGCTTTCTCTGAATTACAACTGATATTTTGTCGGAATGAAAGTTTATGAACGTTCAAAACATGAGAAAGATAAAATCTATTAATGAGACTATATGATATCACAGATCAGAAGCACTCTTCATATGCTAAGCAAGAAAAACTTTTACTTCTACACCCTAAACTTCGGTGTGTTGGTGTTCTACACTTTCAGCAGCGACAACTTCAGCAGTAGCTGCAGAACTAGCAGCAGCAATAGCAGCAGCAGCTTGCTCAGCCAAAACAGCTTCAGCAGCTTCAAGCTCAGTTCTCAGTTGTTCAACATACTGAAATGATTACATTCATGATTGAAAAACTTTTGTCATGTGCTCACTTCGGCTGCTTGTACGGTATCTCTCTTTGTTCTACACTCGGCCTTGCATTGTTCATAAGCAGTTACGATCTGGCAATTAAATTGATTTATCTGGAGAACTCCCTTCAAGTCACCTTAAGAGATTTTGGCTTCTCGATTCTTACAGGTGCTGGTTTTTGTGCCTCTTCCACAATAACTTGTTGAACAACTACAGGAACTGGTTCTTCCGGCTGCACAACTTCTTCAACTTTAACAACTTTTTCCTGAAAAATGTGTTGATCTGAAAAAAAATTAAAAGATGGAAAACCTTAGGCTGTTTAGGTTCTTTCACTGCTTTCTCCTTCACCTTCTCAACTTTCTTGCCCCTAACAAAACAAATATTAAGAATGAAAAATAAACAAAGGACTAACTTTTCATTACTATTCTTAGCCTTTTTACAGTCGATTGAAGATGTTAATAGAAGAGCACAAATGGCGAAAACAAGGACGGCTTTACTGTTCATTTTATGTTCTAATAATGAAAGATATTATTGTGATGCATATGATATTCAAAGATCATTAATAATGAATCTAACGGTTGGAAAGAAACAAAACCTCAATGAAGCTTATCGCTGCTCTCTCTTTTATAAGCAAATTCATCAACAAATTGATAACAATTTTTAGACTCTGACGCAAATTTCATTTAAGGACACCGTGATTTACAAGTTTTGCCGATCATTATCTTCATGGATTATAATAAAATAGGAGAATTTCCAGTTTATCTTTGACGTCTTTTTTAGTTGCTCACGTAAGAGACAATCTAATTAACGTTTTTGATATCAAAAAAAAAGATTAATTAAGAGCATCTTCAATATTTTGGCATCTTGTACTTCTTGTTCCTTGTTACAATTAGTGTTTGTCTTTCATCTTTTCTCAAACCTCTTTGTTGGTGAAGATTCAACTTGACTGAATATTCAGCTGATTGATAACGAGAGCTTAAATGAAATTTCTATACATTTTATAATATTTATGAATGCTCTTAAAAATTATTCACAATCGACCCGCTTAATCAATAAGAATCCATTGCTTGAATTAATATGGTGTTGATGCGTAATAGTATTAATTAGACGGTATAATAAATGGATCGGAAGTAGGTTCTGGTCCTGCAAATTTGAAATAGAAGTAGCTGAAATAGTGATTTGCTTACGTTTACAGAAAATAAGGAGCAAAGTTGTGATGGCTGCTGCCCCAAGGAAAATAACTGCTAAACAGATGCATACAACAATCAGAGGGACAGATAAACCAAACACTTTACGTTCTCTGTATAAAGCTGGATCAGCCTCAATGGCTGGACTTAAATAGTATTGCTATTAAACTCAGAAAATATAATTCAACTCAACTCTTCAAACTTGATAGTTGCAGTAGACAGACTTATTGGACGCATCATGAAATATTCACAATTGATTGAAATTTCTTTTCATTTTTATCACCTTCAAAGCACTGATTCATCATGATAAGCTTGACAAATACTCCATATTTGCATATTTTCAGACGTTTTTACTTTTTAAAAAACCGGATCATATTCATATCGTGAACTGAGAGACAAAGAGTGACCATCCCATGTTTGCTCTTGAAGATGATTCTATTGTGAGGGTGAAAATGACCTTAGCATTGGAAGAATTGTTATCTTATGTCACACATATATATATAACATATGTAATTCAACGATGAGCAAAGAATGATATGAAGCGAGAAACAAAGAGCAATTCAAAGTTTTTTAAAGCTAAAAAGAGCTAAAACAACCGTACTGTGTGTATGCATGATTAAGATAATTCACAAAAAACTTAAAAACAAAAATCATGGTTAAAACAATAGATTCTAATGAATGTCTCAAAAAATAGAAGTAATGTATTGAGATAGTTTTGAGGGTGTTATCCTAGTAGTTTGCAGAGCTGCAACAAAATAATCCCTCACAAGGAACGATTTGCTGATATAGTGACATAGAACGAAATCCTCTTCGAAGTTACGCAAACGTTGCTCCACAAAATAGAGCTCTAAAAAAGCTTTTGAAAAAATCTCAAGTTATATACTGAAACCTGAACAGACAACGGGCGTTTCTTCGCCATATTCGTTCACATACAGTTTACCATATACTGCACCATGCCCGCTTGTTGTAACAATTAGGTCAGCCGTTTGGAGACTAAGAAAAGCTCCATAGCCAGCTTGACATCTATGATCTCGCTGAAATAAAGTTGTTTGTTATATGTGAGATATTCCTTACAGTTCTGAAATCTACATTGAAGGTTTGAACTTCCGGATTCATTAAATGTTTCTCGCAAATACATTGGCCACAGATGATACAAAGTATAGGTGCGTAGTTTAACTGTAGAAACATGACAAGTTACGATTTGTTCGAACCATTCACCTTTCCACATGATGCACATGGCGAATCTTTTACATTTTTGGCTAGAGTAGTGAAATGTTCTGGGAACTGAATGAAAAAAGTTGTTTTCCATGATAAAACTGGCACATGCGTCTGAAATATATTATTGATAATATTGTGAGATATTGATAACTATTGATAGGAGTTGAAATGTATTGATATTCTCTTTTCACCTTAAAACCTTAAGAGTTTCTACTTGAACTATCTGAGCTGTATAAAAATTGCGAAATTATGAATCATATTTGTTTGCTAAATATGTTACTTATTGGCCGTAGTTAAGTTAGTCAGCATTTTTTGCGAAAGCGTTTCTTTGACTGCTTCCCTAGTCTTTTTGCACTATTCTCATAGTCTTAAAAACGAACATATAAAACACAAAAGATGATATTTCTATGCTTCTATGCTTCTCTGACCTCCGACCTGTCTATCATACACAACTTCGCAAAAATGCATGTTCTTTTTCGCTTTGATTCTGGTGACTCCGCCTGGGGTTACTGTTTACCTAGCTAGAGATCACGTTCCCGAAATATTTATCTCATGCTGCACCGCGCTGCTTACATCAAACAACCTATCGATTTATCTCTTCTCGTTTCTATTCTATCTACCTCTAGTTCCCACTGGCAATTCATGAAAATATCAATATTGTTTGCACTCAGCCCACATGACAAACTGTTAAGCTTTAAACGGCCATAAAACAGCCACTGTGCCGATGAGTTGTCTTATTTTGTCTTATTTTGTCTTTATCTTTACCTTTACTGTCCTCTCATTAAATCTTACTGAATGTATGAACAATCTATATGAAACATTTTCTAATGAATAATCGTTATGACCAACCATAACAAACTAATTTTAGAAAGTCAAAATTATACTCTGCGATCGATAGCTGTTTGTGCATACTGTTGAATAAATGCTGCGGCAGAACAACTACACGACATCGTTCCCAGCTGGGGTAAGATGCTTTTCTTCAATATATATATATATATATATATATATATATATATATATATATATAATATAATGATTGTTTGATGAGCATCCAACCATATAAAACATTATGACATCCCACAATTCAACATGTTACCAAACTACCGAATAATGTCTTTCATTGAAATATTTTCTCAATAAAACAACCGATGACTCGTAATGTCCTGATTTTTCAGACCACTATGCACAATACATCGAACAGTTCAGAAAGGATGGGTGCTTTTGGAACACTTCCATTAGATCATCAAGTACCTGGCCCAAGTACTCAAAATCGGTAAGCCATATTCTATTCATTCGATTAACTTTAAAAACAACATGAGTGCATTTCATTTGAATCAACGCATTTCAGACCTACTTCCTCAAACTCCATGCATGAACAAATAGTTCATATCGACTCCCAGAATCATTATCATCAAACTCCCACAATATCCAGACCTCTCGATGCTGGTTCAACTTCTCGTCATACGTACATACCTTTGAAGCCTCATATGAAGAGGAGCGATGTGTACCAGCCAACAGTATCAAATGGTTCAAATTTCAGAACTCATTTTAATTATACTATTATATTACAGCTGACACAAGTGAGAGCCGGAAAAAGTATGACAACTTATCCGATGTCTATACAATGTCTGGTGATACTGTAGAATTTGCAAGAAATCTAGGGCAATACTTAAATGAGAAAATACCATACAGTAAGTCTGAGCAATCTCTTCTACTCATTAAACGGATCTGGATTTTTCAGTAGTTACAGTCAGCTTACTCATTATTCTTTGCATAGTATTTTTCATTTTTGGCTTAATAGGTATATTCACAGAGAACATTCATTCGCTTTACTATTCTATTACAGGAGCATTGAATATCCCATTTTGCGAAATACAGCCAATGATTCCAGTTTGGCTGATCATTGCGAGCTTATTATTTATCGTATCAGCGATATTTAGAATATATAACCTTATACCTTCACCACCTAGTAGACACAAAACGTTGTCCTTAGACCTTTGTGTCAAAGGTTTAGAGGTTTTACTGGCAATAGCGAATATTGTCTGGTTAATTCTCGGTTCTCATATTTTCATTACCGTTTAACAAATTTTGATCATAGGCGCAGTTTGGGTCTACGGAAACAAGGCATACGTCCACTTCGAAGAGACATTCTTTCAAGAACATTACTGTGAAGAAACTGTCTATTGGACGGCTTTCATAGCAGTAACAGGATATTTGGTCAGTTGAGAGAGAGTAACGCACAAAACGAAATGTTTCAGATTCTAATCTGTTTTTTGATTGTGGGGCTTATAGTACTGTTGTGCGTTGGCTCATATAAAGAAGCTACACCCCGAGAAATCCCCTAACTTCCTTAATAAAATGAAGTGATACCTGATAATATTTATGATACCCGATAGCTCCATCCAAGTCCGTTAACCAATTATGGACAAACGTTCCATTCGGCACGAACTCGCTGATGTCATCTACAAAGTTCATTATCTGTTATTTGGCATATTGAAATTTGAAACCAACCTTTCTTATAAAACTTGCATAAAGCTTCCAAAGTACAGTCAATATTGAGAACAGACAAATCACTGAGGAATGTTTGAACTATCTGTATAAAGTATGCGACGGATTGAGTTGTGTGTTCAATCAGAGATGTAAAATCAAGACCCTACAACAAAAAAGTAACTGATTTTTGAAAAGTGATTATCACAGTCTCGTCATCAAAGAAATCTATTTGTGGATTTGCCCTGGTTTCCAATCTAATGATATACACAGCTTTGCAGAGCGCTTCCAATCCCTGAGATAAGCAAGTATGAAGAGAACAAAACAAGATACCATACAGATCCCTCATACTTCAGAATGGAGCCTGCACACTTTTCAGTGATACATGGAAGCAATAAAACTAATGTCTTCATCAAGTATACACCAATCAAGCGGCTATACAGAATTTGAATAATAGCTACGGATATGTATCAGGAGGTATAAATGAACTTTCAAGCTACCTATTTTATCAGCTTCCAATAAGTTACTTTCGTAGATAGCAGTAACAATCAGAATGAAAATATTGATCAAATCTCTTTTGATTAAGTGTTCCTGTTAAAAGTATAGTAGCTTTGTTTTTGAATGAAAACTTACTGTAGATTTGAAATCAAAATTATTCGGGTTATTACTCATACGGAATCCATATTCTTGCAGCTGAACGAGAAAAAGCAGTTTAGGTTTCGTTACACAGATACACCGTACCTCTTCGAGAGTTTTCATATCTTCCGGGGACAGAGCTGTTGTACGTACAGAATCCTCGACTATTACTTTTGGTGAGGCATCTGTTTCGAAAATATAACCATTTATGTTTTCACTCATTATATTCACAACATTTTCCCCCTAAATATTGCAAGCATATATAAACATAACTATTTTTCGAGAAACCTGGGGCTGTAAGAGATCTCTTACTGTTTCTTCCATAGAACGAATGGCTCTTTGCGTGAGTTGACACATCAAAACCGGTATCAAATGCTCTGAAATGATTTTTTTCACTGTGATTATGATGAAACTCACTTAGCAATCCTTCTTTAGAGCCTACTTTCAGTTTTTCCCAACCTTTTACCTTTAACTTGCTCAATATTTCGAGTTGTTGCCTAAACTAAAGATCAGTTCAAGTATTAATACTGGTAAGGACCTAATTCTATCAATTCTCGTTGCATATGTCTTAGGTTTCATTTTCGCAGAGCCGTTTTCTAGTAATCTAGCAGTTCGGCTATAGTACGCCTCTCGATAGCTTTGCTTGTCTTCGTCCTATAGTAAGCAGTACAAAAAAAAACTTGATGAGGGACCTACCAGATACTTCCATCCTACTTCACTTAAAACTGTAGATAAGATTTGCAAAAGCTGAATCAACGAATAATTGAAATGTTTGTGAAAAAAACGAACTCTATTCGAAGTTATCTGCCTCTCTTCAGTGAAACACTTACGTGCTATATCTTCAGAAGGGTTTGTGAGTCGAACTGGAAGTAAAGAGTGCAGCGAATATCTACAAACGGAGCAGGACACCGATGATTGGAAAATCCATGCTTCGGAAAGAGACTGAAATGAGTTAGCTAATCAAAGTTTACAAAAAAAAAATAGTGGCACCATTTTCGAGTTACTGAAGTCAATGAAACATTTCGCATGATAAGTATGGTTACACGTCCTCCAGTCTATATAACAATACGAAGTAGCACTGTTCTGTTCAACAGCAATATCTTGCTGCCACTGAATTCTTTTTTCTTGCTTTCAAAAAACTTCAAAATTTACACGGGCTAATCTGGCATAACATTTTCCAGTTGTATTTTCTTGTCCGGTAACAGATTCCTCGTTCACTTGAGATCGCGAGAAAGCAGCAGGAGATTCCATTGAACTAATCAAACATATTCTATCCTAGAAGAATAAAATTTGTTGTAAAGCATAACCAAGAAGTTACCAGAACTCCCAAAGTCATCACTTTATCTTCTGAGGTGTCCTTCGAGTTGAAACATATAGGACACTCAAGACTTCTCTTTGTCTACAAAAAGAATTTTTTTCCAAACTGCCAATCTTTCATAGCCATACGTTTTCAGATGCATCTTCATCAAATGATACAGTTGACTTCACGTTTCCCTCTAACTTTTTCAGTAAGCTTTCAGATTTCTTCCTAGCATTTTCCATAATTTTCAACTGCATTGCTTTCCGAAATGCCTCAGCCTATCATTGATGCCAGGAGAGACTCAAGAAGAACTAACCTTCGGAACTGGAATATTTAGGGATAGCTCACATGTGTTCTTTAATATTACACTGGATATGGGTTCCCTGTAAAATTATTGCCTCACTAATTAACCTCTAAGGGATTTTAATCATTGTTTGATCAGCTGACACGCATGAATAATCATCGGCGTATATCAGAGGATTGAACCCCCGACCCCTGCGTAATGAGAAACTGCTACCCAGTAAACTAGAACGCACACTTACAATTTTGTCAATAGCGAGAGAAAACGGCCAATGTACTCCACAGGACCTCCAGACAGTCTCGATTTGCTGTAACCTCCGTTGTAAACTTTCTCAAAAGCATTAGCTGGGTTGACACGTTTTTTTGCAAATGAAACGAACAAATTCGCCATGTACGAAAAAATGCTCCCCGATTGAGATCTGAAAACTCTCTTGATATCGGAATAAGAGAGAACAAAACCTTTCTTTGCAAGTTGAAACCGAGTAGACTTTGAAAAAAAGCTGAGTTTTGTCTTCTCTGAAGAATTTCTCAGCAGACAATAAGTAATACGCGGAGAGAGTTAAAATGTAAACAATTAGTTGCAAATTGGTATGCTGCAGTTGGTCTTCAGTATTCTGAAACGCAGCATTACAGTGGTATTACAGAAATATCTCACCAAAGCCAAGCAAGAATGAACAAGAATAAGAAATTTTTCACCGTAGAAAACTGAGCGGATTCCTTCAATATACGTAGGGTATTTGTAGAACTCAGGTATACGATAGGGTATCCACAAATCGGCCTTCACCTTATCATCCTTTATTTTTTCGGAATCCCTGAGCAGTTGCAAGTAAGAAGAAGTGGAACTATAGAACTCACAATTGTTCCATTACTTTGCAAGCAGCCGTAAAATACGAGAGAGAATAATGCGAGTATCGCGACAAAACTGGGCACCAGTATTTCTCGTAGTACTTAAAATGAATATTTCGTAAGAAAACTGCTGCAACTACCTCTCTTTTAACTATATATTTTTTTGATCCCATCATGTTATTTTCGCTCGATGGATTGAGATACACTTTGCAAACCTCAAACATTTGAGTTTATCAGTAGTATCCGCAATTGAAAACCTCATCAACAACACGAAATAGATTTGACCGTTCTGAGTCGGTCATGATGTGTCCACGTCCATACATCGATGTACCTATGGCGTCCAACTTTGATGGATGATTTTGAACGACATGTATCTTCAAAAAAAAATTAAAACCATCAAATTGCAAACCTTACTATTTTGATAATGAACTTTTCTTCCTCGGCGATTTCAGTCACATCTGGGTTGATCAAAAAGAACGTTAGTAGACTGGAAATTACAAAAATTTGGAAAGTTTCTCTAATATAAATACTTCATGATGTCTGCAACAGCACTCTCGAAATATGATGTATTGGTTCTGGTCTCATCTGAAAGACCTATGTTCAACTGAATGCGTGCAAGGTCGTCCCTATAGAATATAAGAATGAGTAGATTACAAACAAAAAGCTAACGTATTAACACTTGATTGGTTATCAGCTCCCAACATCGTGAGGTTATACCCGAGATACTTGGGAGGAGTTGCATATTCAGCCTATAAATGAAAAACATCGTCATCAATGCTAATCGTACCTTGAAACAGCTGAAATATTCGCATTTTTCATAAAAATCCCGATCTTCAACAAGAACTGAAGAGTTTAATACTTCAAAAACATAATTCTAGAATTGAAAACCTTCCTGTTTTTTGTTGATCCCTATATCATGGAAGCTTATGCAAGTGTCAACGTGGAAATATACGGAGAAGAGGTCGATAATTTCATCAGGTGCCAGAGAACCCAGAACCAATCTTGAACATATAACAGTTCAATAGACAATTGATTAACAGGCCTACCTCAAGTAGTACAAGTCCGGATCACCAAAAAATTTTCTAAAACTCGAAAAAAACGTAATATTTAACAACGATCGCATTTCTAAATTTCCGCTCATCCACATTTTGGACTTTGTCTCGCAATTTACAGCCTTAAAATTTAGCACATTAAAGAGAAGATGTTTAAAAGAGACTAGCTCTCTCAAAAAAAATGGTAGTGTTTGCCGAAATAGCACTGGCTTATTCTTGAAAAGTTCCAACTCCTTCGCATATTGATCTCTTTGATAGAAATATTCTAGAAAACAAGCTAAATGCCTGAAAAAGTATATGATGTACACAATGATAAAATTGTTAAAAGTACCTTTCCAAAGTAAGATTGAAAGTTGTAGAATTGGTTTGACGAATCAGATCACTAGTGAGATAATCCTGCAAACAGTGTTTTATACAAAAATATAATATATCTTGGAAACTTCCAAAACAGAACAAAGTTCATTGAAGTAGAAACTCAATTGTTCATAACTACATGTAGGAAAAACATTTTTCAACTGTTCTAAAGTCTGAGATGACACCATGTATTCTATCAGATAAGTCCTGGAATAGTATTAATTCTTGGTTCATGAAAATCAACTACTTCGAGAAAGTTTCCATTTCAAACCCTTCTATATTCGACATAGAAATCGTTGTCATGCTATGCAATTCTTTCAATACTTGTATGTATAGTTTCTGACAGTCAGTCCTTGCAAAAAACAATGAAGACATTTCTTTGTGCTTCAACAATTGAACTAAATCTTTACCAATCATATAAAGAGTAGCAAATGAATCAATCTGAAAACTGAGAACGGTAACGTTTAAGATGGGAAATCATACATTCTTTGATTCATGCTTTGCTTCAGCTAAAGAACTCTGATCGTAGACTATCCCAACTTCAGGTAACATCTTCATCTCCACATCAGGTGCCCAAGTATTATAACAAATAATGGTATATTGCAAAGAGCACATTAGAATGAACATCAAATCGACTTCTTCTTGCAAATATTTCACCATTCCCAAATTGTTCAAAATCTTCAAATATTCGAATAGGTTAAACTATCATAGACTTGTAACAAAGAACCTGATGAGAGAAATGAAGATTACATTCGCAGCAATCATGAGCACATTTCCTATCTTCATCTCTCACTTCACAGACATGCTCCACTTTTCTCAAAAAAGTTACAGTGGCAGGATAAAACATGAAGTAGATCTTAGAAGCAGTAGCCTAGAAGCTAAATAAACTGGAATATTCAGAAAAAAAAATACCGCAAATGCTTTGTTCGGCATTAATGACGTCAGAATATCCATGAACACGGTTTCAAAATCAGAGAAAACGAAAAATAACATGAACTCATGTAGTAACGTTTTTAATCTGCAATTGTATTTAAAGATCTTATTCTGTTCATAGCTAAAGTTTTAAGAACAAGCAAAACTTGAGAGCGCGAAAGTTTAACAACCGCGCCATACTCGTGTTATTGTAAAAATGAAGAGTGAATTGGATATGTTCTTAACTCGATTATATAACAGTTCGGGAACTTACTCAAAGTTTTTAGCTATCTCCGAAAAAACGGGTAACATTGTCGGGCTGAAGTAGAAGTTTGTGAACGATTCGAAATGTTTACTACTACGCCAATCTAATTTTGATAGAGCTGTACCTGAACGATACATTTCAAGCTTGAATTAGGTTTCAATTTTTCCAACAATTCAGTGCATCCTCTGGTATTTCACCTGTTATCAGTGTTTTGTAAAGATCTTCATCGATAAATAGTGATGCAACTATATCCCGAATAGGTTTTCCATAGTTTATCACTTCCTGAACATGGCAAATAACAGTAATCTTGCTTTCCAACTTACATATAAAAAACTAAAAGAGTTTTTGATTAGAGTAACTTTAGAAATGAGAGCTCTATTCAAATCAGGCATGAGACTTTCAGTTACGCTTTCAAGTTTATAGTTCGGTGGCTTGGCACCCTGAAAATAAGCACTGAATATTTGTGTCTTTATGCCGAACCATATAACGGAGAATTGTAAGTAGCCTGATCAAAAGCTTCAACAGAACATATCGGATAAGAGGAATAGATTGCATTGTCATACATCTTGCATCACTTGATTTTGATTTCCCATGCTCAGAACAATTCCTGGAACTTAGAAATATCTCTGAGCTTATGAATAAATTCGAACCCTGACGGCAGAGCATAATCTGGGTCACCACAACCACATGAACCTTTGTAATCAAAATCAACAACGTATTCATGATCTCTGTGCCCATGATCGATGAAACAATGATAGCATAAGGGAAGAATCACTTGAAACTCGAAGAATTAAAAATTCTTCCATTTTTTCAAACCTGTTCCAGACGAGCAGGTACTACAGCGGTAAGCAGCTACTGCTTCGTCGAATAATTTCGTACAACGCACTGTTTTCTCTCCACTTCTCACTACAAAAAAAGGATTGTTGGAGGATAGCTTTACTTATAATATCACTTTCTCCATGAAACTCATCATACGATCGACCACCAGAAATGAGAGTTCTCACTTTGCCAAGCATGTTCACTTCGTCCTTTGTGAATACGAGCTTATCAAGGAAACTATGAAACCGATCAGAAAGTTCCCTGAAGAGGGTGTATGATATCAATAGACTACAAACTGATGAACCAATATTTAATGTCGAATCCTGTCGGTTTCGCGTCCCATGCCATTGGATAACCAATAGCATCGAGAATCCCCGCAACATCTTCGTAGAACTTCACCACACAAACAACACTAGCAGTTTCCTGGAAGGTATTCTGTGGAAAGTCCAAAGAAAAATATGTACTGATGCTTCATTTAAACGATGAAACGCTTGAGCTTTTGCAATGAAATCCTCTTCACTTGGTAATTCACTGTGCTCTAAAGGAATGGACACTGATGTTTTGTCAAATTTATTTTAAAAACCTAGCACATGTATCCTGTTATGTTCTTCCATCAATGCATATTTACTAATGGAACCTACAACTCATATTATTATTCTATATTATCATTAATGAACATCCATCTGATAAAAGTTTAAATAAATACGTGAAAAGTCGTTGTGCTGAATGGAAGCTAGCAATATTTGAGATTTCGTATTTAAAATGTATGTGATTTCTCCAACTTTTAGAAAAAAGGTATACAGATATGATTTATGAACCATTTTAACCGTATTGTAATCAGCGTGCGGTTGTTCTCTTGAACATGTTCATAGAAACTGATTCGCTTAAGCCTAAAAGCAATCCAGGTAAACTTACTGACATAGCAGAAGTATATTATTTCTGGTTTCTTTGAAGATGTACGGTTTGAAAGTGTTAATGAATGGATCGAGAAAATAACGGTTCATCTGAGTTCAAACGTTTCCATTAATTCAATCAGTTCAGATCAGTTATATCCCAAGAAGTTTTCAAAGTATTTGTCTTTTCGTAACAGTTTATAGCACTATTCACATTTTTTTTTTCTTCATCCTTACCACCATTGTCGTAGAAAGCGTTTTGCGTTTGATGCGTTTCGACATCAAAAGCGTGAATAACCGACTAGTAGCGAACAAGGTAGAGCTTCAAAATAATTGAAAATGTATGAAAAAAAGTTGCAGATTGTGTATATCACGATGATTTTTGTTTTGCTCGGAATACTTTCCTTCTGGGGTTTCAAGCAATTAAATTGATTACCTTTCTCTTCATAACATATTTACTTCTTCAATTTTGTTAAGACAGTTAATGTAAAGAGTACCGGTTTGAATTGGCGTTATCGAATTTGCAGGAGAAAGCAAACAAACAGATTTTCACTCAAATTTGTTAAAGCATTCGTATAGTATAATTATAATAACGGAAAAGAAAGAAATTATCAGAAAAAGTCGCTCTTGCGGTAGACGGCGCACATCCAAGGAAGTTGTAAGCACTTATAAACATCAGGTCTCTCATTAACATGGAAAGTCAGCATTCGATCAATGCAGGACATACAATCAGACGAAACACCCAAATGGATATCAAATTTGTAATCTCTTTTCCTAAACAGATATCACATAAGAAACTGAATTCAACCTCACCTTTGACTATTGATGATACTTCCATTAGGTAGAGTTTCATTAAAAGGCATGCAATCAGTAACCATTACATATGCGATCACTCCTATTGACCTTTAAATGAAAATATGAGTTCTATCTATTTCGCTCTTCTCACCAAACATCTGCTTTGAAAGGGTTATACGGTTGCCCTAAAAGAATCTCAGGAGCAGAATACGATTTAGAGCCACAATATGTCCTAGAATAATCGTTAGAAACCTAAAAAAAATTGATAAAAAGCTTCGTAAAACTCACAGTTACCATTTTAGAGAACCCGAAATCACTGATTTTGATCAAACTATCGGAGAAAATGATAATATTCTCCAATTTCAGATCTCTATGAACAATTTTGAGCTATAAATTCGGAGTGATGTGCAAAGTGGAACGAATAATTCTTACACTATGCATATATGCTACTCCATTCAAAATTTGAAGAAGCCAGTCTCTAGCTCTGTACTCTGGTAGAGGCCCATGGTTTTGAACGTAAGTCAACTTAAAATTGGAGTTAGCGCAAAACAAGTACTATTGGAAATACCAAATCTCCCCTACTGCCGTATTCCATAGCTAAGAAAACGCATTCTATCGTCTCATAATGGCCTAATATATGGACTAGATTCGGATGATGCAAGCGCTTCCAGCATTCTATTTCTCTAGGTAAAAACTTGGTACGAAAATCATACGTAATTTTTTGCGATTCGATCACTTTTATGGCAATCTGTGTAGGAAGAAAGTAAGAATATTAGATTCATAAACAAAAAAAATACCGGTAGCTTTGTTGGTAAAAATTCAGCGCTAATCACATTACTGTACTTTCCCGAACCAAGTTTTTTCGAGTTTGATAAATCTATATTTCTTTCTAAGAATAATTCTTTAAGTGCCTTTGGGTTCTCGTTCGACTTCTTCAAAAAGATAGTAGCGCAACAATTAAAATCATGCTACTTACAGATGGTTTCGGATTAGTTTGAAACTTTGTTTTATTCTTTAGTGGTCGACTGTACATATTTGCCCAGGCATAAGAATTTTTGAACGGTCGTTGCTGACGTGGACGTGGAGATGGATTTGATCGTGTGGGAGGCATGCCTCCGTTAGTTATATCAAACAGTGGTGCCTAAGAGAATAAACCGTAATTAAGAAATGTCGAAATAATTAAGGGTAGTGAAATAGTCACAACGTTCACAATTTGTATATGATGAAAGTGTGGTCCTATGCTATTACACCATAAAATGTTAATATAAGAAAGTGAGGTTCTCAAACGTTTCAAATTGAAATTATAATGAATTATTCTAATTATACCATGGTCGTCGAGTTCGTTTGATAGTTCTGATATATTGTACGTTGAGAGACTGGTGGCACATGCGGAAAAAACAACTGGTACTGTGGATGCAGTGGCTGTCTCCGTCGCTGTTTTGGTGGAACAATTAATGTTGATACAGGTCGATGTTCATCTTAATTCAACATATTTTATATTATCCTATGAAAACGAAATGTAAACGATGTAATTTTTAAACTGACTACACTCCATGAAAGCATCGCTATGTTGGTCGTTCAGAGTCTTACTTGGGTGAGGCTTGTTAAACATAACCCTATAAAAAATTTTATTTTCAACAGTTTTACAAAACAGTATTTAAGAACGTTTTGTTACTTGTTTTTGGAAAAGAAACAAAAGTGTTATGCCATTGGCAGCAATCGTGCCAAGTTTTAAGCAGTGAAAGTTTTATGACCCACCAGTCCCAGTAAGTAATGTTAAGAATACAACCTAATACAGTGAGAAGTTGTTCCAAAATGATTGCCGCTTCTTGAAATGAAGTCGCGTGGACGCGTTATTCTTCACGGAACTTTGACGTGAATATTGTTTTATTCTAATTATATCCGGCGGAACAGCTAGATATGCTAATTTCTTTGTGTTCGTAGACATGTGCTGTGGTATGCAGTTGATGTTCAAAGTTAACTTATCTATCTCTCATTTCATTTACCTTGCTTTCTCATCAGGTAACACATTGATTCTTTGAATGAAAGCTTGATGGTAGGTGCACCCATATAGTTACAGACACTTTGCAAGCATGATTCAACACTTCTTATCAATCCTATTCAATGGAATATATAAAAGAATACCCCAACATCATGATGTCTTCCGTATTATCATTACAATCAGAAAAGGTATGTTTCTGAAGTAATCAGTGTACTTGCAGACTGTTTCTATAATAAAAAGTTTTCATCTTAGAACTAGCTATCCAATTAAATTTTTATCTCGATTTTCATTGACTGTTCCAGAATGCGATTCGTTATTTACTCCTTAGCGTTAATATACATTACTGTGAATGCCCATAGAACAACATTGACATTTGGTAGACCTCCAGAAGGGTTTTTAGGAGTTAACAACTCTTCTCAGCTCTGGTTCTAACCAAAATGATTACAGGGAGCTGATACCGTCAACTATACTTGGACAGATCCCAAATATATGGTATATTCTAACATCACACAGAAAGTTGATCATTATTTCGGTAATAATGACACATGGCTACAGGTGTTCCTTAATACTCTTTTAACGTGTAATACATTTGTAATATTCAAGAGATATGAATATAACAGCAAATTCTATGATAAAACTAATGGAATAGTGTTTCTGATGCTTGGAGGAGAAGGTATTAGTTTTAAGTTTTAAGCTTATCACATTCTGAGTATCATCTCATAATGTAGATAACAGTCTTATACAAAAATTAAATTAGTAACTCATCATGCCTACTTAGGCCGACTGAACGATAAATGGGTTCGTAATGAGAATGTTTCGATGATGCAATGGGCTGCTCAGCACAAAGCTGCAGCATTTCAACTCGAGCATCGCTTCTACGGGCCACGAGATTACGCTCCATATAAGTAAGGATTAATGCATTTAGTTGAACGAAAACCAAAATCTCAGTAACCAAACAGCTGATATACTGCAGAAGTATCTCACAATTGATCAAGCACTAGCAGATATAGCTGCTTTTATCATAAAAATGAATGAGCTCTACTTCAATGGCCAAACCACACGCTGGGTGACATTCGGAGGATCATATCCAGGTGACTTTTTATGATCGTATAAGCGGGAAAAAGAGTGAATGCAGGATCTCTTTCTGCTTTTTTCCGTGAAAAATACCCTCAACTTACGATTGGAGCAGTTTCTTCTTCATCCGCTGTTCATGTATTCGTCGATTATTACGGTATATGAAACTGATATTAGCATTCTGATGTATAAGTTTTCCAGGATACGCAGTCAACACAGAAAAAAATTATGAAGGCTATAGCGCCGCGTGTGGTCAGAGAATACGCGATGGTTTCAAAGACATGATCAACCTTGCCTATAGTGGTGTAGCTGGGCGCCAACAGCTTAAACAAACTTTCAAGTAATCAAATCATACAGAGTTTCAACATATTTGATGTTACAGTTTGTGCGACGACTTCAATGAACAGAGAATCACGAAATCTGTACAGTTCTTTTTCCAAAACGTATACGGCGTATTCCAGGGAATCAATCAGTATTCTGGAGACAATAGAGTATTTGGAACAGCTCACAGAAGCTTATAAGTTTCTAATTATAGTCCCCAGCATCCGATGGACTGAATATTCCTGAAGTTTGTCAGATTTTGCTGAATCAGACTAAAACGATTACCCCGATGGCCAGCATCAAAGCTGTGGTAGAAAATAAAAAAGGACTACTGACTACTTTATGCGTTTTAGTGGGATTATTATAATAGCTTCTATGGTGGAAACGGTTGCAATGATAACAGTTATGCGAAGTTCATTCAAACATATAGCGATACTTCGTACCCAGACGATACAGACATAGGTGAGGTCACACTTTCAAACATTGTTTACTTTTTCATTTTCAGTCAGTACCCGTAGTTGGATCTGGCAGACATGTACAGAGCTGGGGTATTTCCAAACAACTGATGGAGGAAACAATGGAATGTTCGGAAGTACAGTACCAGTGGAGTACTTTGTGAAGTACTAGCAAAACCTACAGAAGTTTTTCAGTTTCTTTGTGGATCAGTGTATTGACCTCTTTGGAGCAGATTATACTTTAACTCAAACATATATCTCAGTACACAATGTTAAAACTGAATTTGGAGCTCCAGAAGCTTATCGAGTAAGTTTAGAAACATTATTCTAGTCTAATACAATTTATAAGGGAACAAATGTTGTTTTTCCTAATGGGTCACTTGACCCTTGGAAATCTTTAGGGCTACTTTCAGGATTCAACAATGTCGATAATGCTGTTGATGCTTTCCTTATAAATGGTAAGTCAGAACATGATGTCGCTCGAGACGTTGCTTAAGGTACTGCTCATTGTGCCGATATGTATCCCGCCAGAGCAGCAGATCTTCCATCTTTGGTTGATGGTCGGGCACGCATCAAAAAGAACCTTGATACATGGATCGATCAAGCTTTAAAAGAAAAAAGTACTGATTTTGTTAAAAATATACTAAACAATATATTACAGAATCGTCTACAAATATGAGCATTTTGATCAGTGTCATGGCGGCGACATTTTTCAAGTTTTTATAAAACAACCTTTATTAATCAGAAAAGCTTATTGATAGTTACCTGTATAAGACCTTGCATATTAAACAGACGAATCATGGAAAAAATAAAGCTTAAAAATGTTGAGGGAATGCAAAGCTAGAGATAAAAGATCAACCAAACCAAGATAAAACTGTTACTCTAGATGTAATACTGAATTTCAAGACAACTTCGCAGAATAAATTAACAAGTGTATAATCACAGAAATGGTCAACGTTATTAAAAACCCAAACTCCTCATTTATTATAACCGAAATGGAGAAGGGAATTACCGGACATCACAGGAAGAACTATGTCATCCATATTTGGACTGACCAAATTTTTCTCAATAAGTAGACGGAGTTTAGACTCAATCCAATCAGATACTGTAGAGAAATCAACAGATCGATCACCAACCTGAGGTATAGCTCTAATAGAAACAGTTGGTACGTTTCGGAAACCATGCCTGTTTTAAAACTTTATTAGCTGTCAAACCATAAATCTTACCAGAGACGATCAGACGGGGGAGGTGGAATATTGATGGTCATTGTGCCTTCGAGTTGTTCAATTTCCACATTGAGAATTAAAGGAGTAGAAGACATCTCTTCCATAAACTGCAAAATCCATTCAATGTAACTAGCGGACTAACATGGATGGATACCTTAGCCACACGCGGGTGCTTCGCAGCTTTTTGGAAAAACTTACTCTGAGCAGCCTTTTCTACTATTGAAAGAATTTTTCTACCAGTACGTTCACGATTTCTAGAAAAGATTACATCTCGAAATCCAGCTCATTTTGAGGTAAGTTACCCATCACTTTGATTTTTCGCTCCAAAATCCTCATCAGGACTGCTTTCGGGACTCTCAGGTAAGTCTTCGTCAGAATAATGAGTTGCTCGAACAGAATCAGTCCATCTACTAACTTTTCTTTCCGTCTCTACCTAAAACAAAGTAGATAAAAATTGATGAAATCCGCTCGACTACAGATGTATGCCCGTTTTGCAGTTTCAAGAGATTAACACTGGTTTGCAATACTAAACGAATTCTTCCCTTATACTTCATCTAGAAATAGAACATAGCTAACTTGAGAAAATGAACAAGTTACCTCAAAATCAACCCACAAACCCCATTCATTCATTTTCGGAGCATACACACCAACAATACGAGGAGCTGCTCCTCCCAAATCGAGCTCCGACAACGATAAGGTTTCGATAAAATAAGGTAACTGAAAGAAAATTTCAATGAAAACATATTTTCGAAATAGACGAACATGAATCGTAGCGAGTTTGCTCTGAATTTTCTGCTTTACAGCATTCTCCCAGAACTTATCTCTGCTGAAATCAAAGAAAATTCTGAAATTTAATTTTTGATGTACAAATTTATGATATATTTCTCTTGCCTGGCACCCAAAGCATTGATTGATTCAACAAGATCAGAATTTTCTTCTATTATACCAGGCTGCCATTTCATATCTCCCAAATCAATTGAGACAGTTGAATCTTTTTCAGGACAAGGGATGCCGTTACCCAAAATTCGAAGCATTTCTCTTGAAATTAACAAAAATTTGCGCAATACAGCATACTTTCTTACTGGGCGAATTGGCGATGATTCCGGCGATATAAAGCATACTCAAACGATTTCCCCAGACTTGTAAGCGCGGAATCAACCGTACTTTCACCGTCTAATCCCTAGAAGTTCATGATTACTACGCCTGAAGCATATGTGAAGAGAAAACCTCAGAATCAAATCCCTCAGATATGCTTCTTTTAAATTCATCAACAACACTTGATCTACGATTCTTAGAATCGTTCAAATCTGGAACCGGCTTAACACAAGCTTCGCGAAGCCTGGATGTAACCAGAAAATAAATGATATGAATGTCTCAAACTCACAAATGAAACCATCTCTCTTTCTCCCTTGCAGCTCGTACAAACAAATAAATTGACCGTCCTTTTCCTCGTTTCAATTTGCTGGGTTCCAGCTTATATTCAACAAGATCTCCAGCTGAATTCGACCGCTGCACTCCCTGATTTACTGAACATGGGAATCAAGAGTGAACTTGTCAAAAACAAAAATGATGTAAACATACCTTCATCGTCCGACGAAGTTTCACTCTCAGCAGAATACCCGTTTTCATCTACAGGTCTTATTTCTGATACTGTAGGTTTATCTTCTCTACTTCCAGCAACAGGATGCAACGAAATGGATCTGGACGAACGAACATGTGAAAAGTACGGACAATATCAGAAAATACCTCGACATTCCGGGCTTTTCTATATCAACTTCGGCTAACGCGCCACTTTTGTGCGGGAACCGTATGTGAATTGGATACTTCCTGCTCCACCATCTTCTCTTTGCCAATCGTTTCGGACGTAATGACACCTAATTGTAATATGTAAATGAAAGGCCAATACTACCCTACTTTTGCATGCATAAGATCATAAATGGATTGAGAAACCATAGAAGGAGAAGACTGCTGTAGAGTTGGATCTTGATGGAAAGCATGTTTGAGCCCTGCTTTAGCGGGACGAGATATTCGAAGTGTAGATCCCTATAATTCAGCTTTTCATATGTTAACTTTAAGATCAATTATACCTCTAAACGCACTAGCACAGTTTGTGCATTATTCACATGATAGCAACCAGGTGAGTATCTTGTCCTCAGTTCATTCATCCAGCCCTATTAACAAAGTTAGAAAAGCATTACTTTACAGGTGATACCCGATAAACAATATGATCTTTCATTCCTAACGCAGTTCCTTCATCATCTAGATTTGCTTCTAGGGCAAGATCAACATCTTCAGAGGGAGACGTTCTTTTACGAGCAGCTTGCACCTAGACATCGGAGTATTACAAGAGAAGTAAACAAGAATCATTACCGATCTCGTGGCTCTACCAGGATCCGAGACGAATAAATAAAGGAAACCACTAAATGAAACATAAAGACCCCATAGAAGTCCGGTCAAAAAACCTACAATGTTCAAAACTAGGGCGGAAAATGGGTTTTAAAATACCGGGAATGATTAGAGTTAATGCTATTAGAACACCTAAACAATACATCCTATGTCGGAAGAAAGGCATCGAACGGCAACGTTTGGCAAGAGAATCAATGGTGATTGGAATGGGCTCTTTTTCTTCCTCGCCCTCTTTCTTAAGCATAGGTATTAATGCAGGAACGAGATAAACTCAGATTTACTGGGATAATTTCAGAAGGTTGAGTCTTTTGGATATCCACCAGAGTCTCATTTTCAAGAGTAGAATCGATCGGTGAATCTGAGCAACCAGTTAGGAGAGGAGAAGACTCCTCTATTTCTTCCGAACCTGAATAGCCGAGATGAAAACAAGAAAATAGATCAATCCAAGTGATATTTTTAGAATGTTAAGTGTTCTATGAAGAAAAGAAGTTATTGTTCAACCACTCGTTCTAAGTTTCACGTCACTCGACTAATTGTCATTTTTGATTTTAATTTTGATTTTTACTTTTATTTTCAGTTTATTGGTTGCTCTTGCCTTATTCTTCTCACTGCACTGATTTTTAAAGCACTTTTTAAATATAGCATGAAAGTAGCGTACTCTATTATAAAAAAAACACTTACGAGGAGGAGATTTCCGTTCCCGTCTTGAGACTAGCTGCTTCCCCTTCAATCTTGCTTTGTCAATTAGTGCGCTAATCTTACTCTGATCCTGAAAAGACATGCAAACTAAGTATATACTGTTTTTATTTATTTGATGACCACATTAAGATGAATAACTCACTTTTGAGTCATTGCTCCCTAAAGAACTGCGGTCTTGTGTTATACTATCAGTATCACTCATTTCTGTTCCAGTTAAATCTGCATTCTCGACAGGTCCCTAAATTTTCATAGTATATTATAAGATATTATTGAGACGATATAATATTTAGAAACAGCAACACTAGACAAAGCAACTCGTAACAACTTAGTTTCTATGACATGAATAATATTACTATCAGTTACTACATCGATAGCTTGCTCGAAAGCATTCTGCAAACCATGAAAAGTCAACAAGAGAAAACAAAACAGATGGCGCCAACAAGAGCAGAAAAGAGCCTTTAGGTTCGGAGGTCGATAAACAACAAAGTACAAGCGGTGGTTACTTGATGAAGCTTGAGCTATTCCCACAAGACAGAAACATACAGGAATTTAAAATCGGACAGTAAAGTTTGGACAAATACATTTCGTATGCTCAACCTTAGTTTGTTCAACAAAAATAAACAAGAAGCGTTTAAAGCTTTCTATTCAAAGAGAAATCAATGCTAGAATATGAGGCGGATGAATAACGAGAACATCGATGCTAAACGAGCATAAGCAATTTGAACACACTTGAGAAAGGTCAATTAAAGAAGAGTCGAGCAGGAGAACTGAAATCACACTCTCCAGTCGATAAATAACCTTTCATGTTCAAAAAAAATTAATTTGACAGCACCTGAAGCCATCAATAGAGGACTAAGACATCTTTTCAGATAGTGTCGTTAGAAATAATTTCAAAAAGTTGTTATTTCCCGTTTGTTGAGAAACATGGCCAAAATTCACACGTATGATAATCAATAAAAATTTTCCTGCGTTACAGACAATTTCCCGAAAAAGAAAATATGAATATGCATACATAAACATATTTATGCATGATAAAAGTTTTTAGGTTAGGAACACCAAAAGAACGTATGAACAGAAAGCTGATCATGCAGTTACTACTAACAAATCTTATCAATATAGGAAACTCACAATAGAGTTGGGTGCTGCAGAAGATTCCTATTTCGACACGTCATATTTGGTCGTAATTAAAGAAAAAAAACTCACTCTTGCTTCTACTGCTTCTTCGATATCATCACCTGTCCCAAAACCATACTCATCTCCTTGACCATCAGTAGCAAAATCACTCAAACGAACAGATCCCGAAAATGAAACACGACCGGTAGAAGAAAACGAGACTGAGTCCGGTGAACGGACACGAGACGTCATCAAAGCATCAACCTTAAAGATTTTTTACTATTTGATATGATAAGAACAATAAATAGGGGAGGTAACTGAGCAGGCGACACAGATGTTGTCATGTGGTCAGTATGCATTTCGCGCAATTTAAATATAAAAAAATCGATAGTATAACAGAATTTAAAATAACTAATTCTTTTCCTACTCAGCCAGGAAGAGAAGCTCGCAACAGAAAGAAAGTTACTCTAATTAAAAACAAACTATAATTAGCCTTTTTAGTTTAGTCTTATGACAACTTGACTACGTTTGAATAAAAATACCAGTCGTAATCGCGGACAAAACTAAGGCTGAAATTTAGCCGCCGAATCTGGCTTTCACTGCAGTTTGGATGCCTCCTTTGTACGTTTTTGCTAACGTTTAGAAACACTATTTAAAGAGATGGTAAACAAATCAATTGGAAGGAAGTTCAAAGAAGAAAAAAAGTGAAGAGGAAAGTATACATTGCTGAAATGACCACATGCGACTAAAGGTCTGAGACCAATTTCACATACCCTATCCCGAAAGTGATGTTTTTTCTTGTGAAAGAGGTCGAGATATCATTATCTTGTTTTCGCTTATACATATTGTTGTTGATAGCATTGATGAAATGATGACGATGGCTTACAGCTTCTCTTCATTTTCTTCTCTAAGACTACTCAATCTCTGTCTTTCTCCTATTCTCTGTGACTTTTTCAGTTGCACTCGGTTTCAGCAATCTCGTTCCTTTCACGCTAGAAGAAGAGGATCTGGTCGGAGTGAATGATGCAATACTTTTCAATTAAGCAATATACTATAGTGTAAGGTTTAGAGGTTTATAAGTGCATCCAAACATGAAGCTGAAAAAAAGTTTTTCAGTTAAAAGTTTCCGGATAAGCTTATTCTCCTCTCTCTCAGAGTAGCTTAGGAAAGCTACCTTGTTTATCGGAGCTGTTCATTGAGCTAAACTATATTGCATTTTTTAGTTTCTGTAGCAAGGTTATTATAATTGCTTTTCGAATACTCAGACGTGTTTTGAATGAATTACCAAAGCATTAAGCCTGTATTTGAAGGGTTATTTCCTTGAAAGTGTAAACTGTTTAATTCACTTGACGGATTGATGACAACTAAGAAGAACAAAATTTAGGAAAACATTAGCCTTATTTTATAACACTGAAGAACATTGAAATTCAAGTCTTGTTAGTTACTCACACGCTGCTGTTTTTCTTGATTTGAATACGTGCTTTGTAATTAGCATATTTCTTGACTAATGACTGACAACGAGATGATTAGCATACGTGGAAGTTACGTAAACGCAACAAAGTCAAGTTATTTTAACATCGCGTGCCAACAACAACGGTTGCGGTGGAAGAACATATAGAATTGAACAAGTTACACAATGAAATACGGTCAGTTACATTTAGTGTTGTTTCCTGTTTTCTCGATGTTCTTGAAAGCTGAATCATTCTGCATTATACACAGTTTCGTGCCTAGGGGATTTGGATGGCATAGGATGTTTTGATCTCATTTGAGTTGAGAACTTTACATTGTTTCTACTATTTACAAAATAAATAAAAGCGAAGTTCTGAGGCAAGAAGTACGTCGGTCACACCATTCGTACTATCTACAATTGGCATGGTGTATTCGAAAGATACGCGAGGCTTCAAACTAATTAGGAAGAGGAGGAGTCTTGTGTATGTCTCGTTCCTAGCTATCACTTTTCTGTTCTTCCTGTTATCCTTCTCGCTCTTGTAGCATATTTTCTTGTTTCTTTTACGTCTCAATGGCAGATCCGGTCGTCGAGATTTGGCCGCCCTCGACCTTCGTATTCAGTTTACAGTTCATGTCGTTGGCATCATCTCGAAGGCCGATTGTCGGACCAGCTCGTGCTTGTCATTTGTTTAGCGAAGTTTCGAATCATGTCCATTCAATGCTTCCTCCCTGCTCCTTTTTCCCTGATGTATGGAACTTTTGATTTTTGAGGTCTAACCCTTATTGAATCTTCGTTTTCCTAACTTGTTAGTTATTGCGCTAGTGAATTTCCAGGCAAAATCTTGCCCAACACTTTCATTTTCTTTCATCTTATAACACTGTTAGGTAAAAAATGAAGAGAAGCATTCATTTTGTTCCTTAAGATGCGTCACCCTACATATACCATAATTGAGCTTTTTGAATTTTTCAACTTCTCCTGTCCTTTTTTCGATTTGTCTCTTTTTAACATTTGTATTTCCAATCGGCGCATTCATATCTCCTGAGATATGAAGAGAGAGCGAGAGAGAAGAGTCGAGAATTTCCTGAGACTAGTTGAGACAGGAATTTTGTGACCTTTTTTCTGTTTTGATAACACATACTGAGAAACTGATAGTAAAAGTATCTGTCATCAAATCATATCAAAAACTTGTCGCTGAACACTTGATCTAGTATTGTTACTGCTGCTACTGCAAGCACTGGAAAATTTGTCAAAAATGAGACAAGTTGCGGAAAAATTTATATTTTTGTGAAACAGGTCACTGATTTTTGTATTTTTCCGGAAACGCTTTTTCTTAAATTTAGTGAATTAATAGTACCAACTTCGATCTTTTTTCTTTTCTTTCCGGAATCCTCGTGTGAGACAATATTTCGTTAAGATTGAAAAGATAAGTTTTGCATCACGCTTGTTTCTTTGAATGCTTTGCAAATAGGACATTGATCTCAATATGTACCTCACCTCTAGCACGCTTCAACGTGAAAAACGTGTTCCTGGGATAAGATATCATCGTTGATGGAACAGCAAGAAAGATGTGATATATGCGTGTACATTTATAAAAAAAAGACAAATCAGAACATAAATCTTCTATTCTGCAATAACCCCGCCGGATGTATCCCAGCAGCTTTACCTTAATTTTTGCTTAAGTCAGATCTTTAGTGTCTTCAAACAGAATGATGGTTAAACCAAAACGCCTGTTAAGCAAAGGCAGACATTTTCTTTGAAATTACCTCTCGGCTTTAATCCTAACCATCATTCGAGCCACACTTGTTTCATTTCTTCTCTATTTCTCCTTCAGATAACTATACATTTTAAGAAACGATAAAACATCTAGCTCAGTTACATAATGATAATGCAAAACCAATTAAAATAACATAAGTTGATTTAATAGTCTTTTTAATTACCAGACACATGAAAAAGGCTAACGAACGGTTGAAAACACAAGTGAATATAGTTTCATTGTGATGAACAACTCATGATTATTTGTTTAATATGCACGCTACTAACTATATTTCTCTTCAATAGAAGCTTTCGTTTGTTATAAAATAGGTTTTCTTGATAAATTGATAAACGAACTTTGTGTATGAAATATCACGTAGCATAAGATACCGTATGATTTTTTATTGGTCACACGGATGTCATTTATACGATTCTTACGCTGTAGAAGTTGTAACTCGGAAATAACGCTTTTTTTTGCTACTGTTGGAAACATTAACTGGGAATTAAAATTAGTTTTATGACTATAATTTTAAAAATTGGAAATGAAATCCTTTTTTAAAGTTATGGTTTTTTGGCCGTTTTGTTCTTTTAACTATCAGTCCTTGTAGTCTTTCCATCTTATTTTCATGCTCCGCCCCTTAATTGTGACTGAAATTCACTTTAGATTAAAACATAACAACTAAGTGCGTTTGAAGTGATCTAAGATATGGTTGAAATGTTCTTTTTAACACTTCCTTACTCCAATTTCTCAGACTTGCTTAAACTTTGAATTTGAAAGTTTTTCGTACATGTGTCTGTAGAAAAGTTTTAGCTACACATTTTTATATCTCTACTATTTAATTTTGTTTTGAAAATATCGATGAGCAACTTTTACAAAGTGATATCGATAGAAACGTCTTCAAAAAACTAAGTGAATTTTAACGTTTTCACTCCTTTTCATGTTTTCCAGCTCGTTCTGCCAAAAATGGCAACTGGCAATGCGTACTAGTATATATATTTACTTTCTTCCTGCCTTAACAACTTTCTTTTTTCAATAAGACGAAACTGATGAAAACTGATGTTATTTGGACTGGTCTGTTCAGGACACATGTTCTTCTTGTATATGGCCAGAAGTGTTTTGATGAAGCAAGCTATCTTTGTCACATTGCAATTTTTTCTTAAAAATTCAAATCTTAAGCTTTTATTGTGTGGAAGACTCTGGCTCTCGAGCTTAAGCTAGATACCGTTTGATAGACAAATCCATATTTTTGCGTCCATCGGCTGGATGAAAATATTTTTCTCAAGAAGCGTGTTGCACAGTCTCCGTCTTCATTGACGCTGATGTTGTCTTTGTCTTGCGTATATCATTTTTTCAGTTTTTCATGTCATCGAACGTCTCTTTCTCCATATGTCTTTTAACGTCTTCACCCCTTTCACACAGACCAGCGCATTTTCCCTGATTGTATCAGTCGATGCTTCTTCTGTCATCGATTTTTATTATCTAATGATATTTATGTTATATAGAGAGTGTATCTGATGTCCATGTGTTGATTATGGGAATATATGGCGTTAGATGGATGTCTTTCTAGGGCTTGCTTACATTGGCTATATGTCCTCTGATGAAACATCACATGCCGTCATTTTTATTGTAATGAACTACTGTTGGCAATCGAACACTTGAAGACGGATATAGTTATAGCATCGTTCATTCTTCATTCAGTTTTTAATATCTCTTCATAGAACAATATTACTTCTTATGACTATTCTTTCTATTCTTTAAACTTGTGAACTCTGTTTGTTTTTTCTGCTGATTTCTATCTGTATCCAATAAGTTTTGTGCCATTCTTCTCGGTACTGCTTTACCATCTTCTCTTTTATGTCTAAAGCAATGGTTATTAGCTTATTGTCGTTCTATACTTCCTTATAATTCTTACTTTCACTGCTTATAATCGATTATCTGAATATGGAAATCAAATTTGTTTTCTTGATTCGTTCGCTCCCAACGGTTTTACGCATCTTCGATGAATTCAGTTCTTTGTAATTGCTCACCCAATTTTGCTCAAATTAGTCTACTTTCGACCGTTAACACGATTAATTTCTGCTTTGAATTTTCAATGTGAGAATATTAGCGATTCACATGTCCAAGTGCATTTCTGTAAGATCAAGGTCTTGGTGAGCCTGTTAGGGAGTTAGTTAATTTCATTCTGCTTAACATCATAGAATGAGACATTGATCTATCTGGTTCCTTCGAACTTTCTTTCATTTTTTGTTTCTCGTCTTTTTCTTTCTTCCTTTCTTCTCTGCTCTCTTTATCATGACCCCGACCTGCAAATCATGTAGTAGACCGACTGACGTCGTCATACTTAAAGCTTAATTCAATTCATCCTGCTAGTCTACGTTTGTATTTTTTGGAAGTAAGATACACTTATCGCAAGAGAAAAAAAAGGATAAAGGACACTAGGCATGATATTTCGAAGCTTTCATTTATAATATATTCTTCATAAACTTGAATCAGTTTTTTTGTTTATCTTATGAAAACTTCTCTTTCTCAGTCATTCGTCTCTCGTCGTTTCCGTCAGTTTTATCAACCGTTCACCACCTTGTTCACTCTTTTAAAGAAGATAGAAGTTGATTTTGAAAAATGACTTGTTTGACCGTCGTTGATGCTACTTCCATACCATAAGGTTTCTCCTCCCATATGTCCCACCTATCTGTTGTGCTCACCAGCATTCACAGTCCTGCGCGCTTCCAATTGTTTCTCGTGTTTTAATGAACTCAATGGAGGAAAATTGAACGATATTTTCTTTGTTCTAAGTATCTGTGCAAAACTTAATACGCTTTTTCAAAATTGTACATCTAATATTCCGTACATTCTCATTCTTATTCGATTTTCTGTGAATTTACGCAAATAACCAGCTTGTACTATTCACCAAACACGAATATTTTGTATTTAAAAATCTCAATATAAGTTTGTGATTGTGTAACTATCCATCTTACATCTCTAAATTATCTATCCACTAGAAGATTTTCTAGAATGAGTAGTAATACGACACTCTATGCTAGGCGTTCATTCTGCCACATTTTCCAAAGTTTTCTTTTTTAGTTGAATTGAATAATCTTTCATCTCTTTCATTAAGATAATCAAATTATAAGTGTAATTATCAACTTTCTTTCTAATTATAAGAAATGTTCCATTTTGAACATGAACCAAACTATCTTGATAAGATTGTTGATTCCGTCTTTTTGCCTAATTTGCTACACAAATCATTTTATATCATTTGCAGAACATTATTTTAGTAAAATTGTTGTAAATATTATAGAAACTGAAACTGATTTATTATCTGCTCCATGTTTCAGGTAAAATGGCTTATGGTATGACAAATGTATATTTATTCCTCCTCTTCGGTGCAATTGTATCGGCAGCTCCTCCAGTATGCCGATCGTGCACAAAAAACTGCTTTCCAAAAATCGCCGGTAGTAACACTACTGAATTCTTAGGAAATAGGTATGTTTCCTATAAACTTTTAATTCTTTATTTCTCTTTCATATATATTCTCTCTTCTCTCGTTTTTGTGGTTCTCCTTTTTTATTGTCTATCATTCTGCCAAGTAATAGTCTAAATGTTACATAGGCAGGCATTTTCTCATTTCGAAACTGCCTATTGACCATATTTCCGAACCGTTAGTCAGCGTATTAGGACCGGCTTATTCGACATTTATGCTTTTTGTAATTACTCCTCTAGCTGGAATCACCCAATATCGTGTAAACATGATGATTGTTGAACTAAGATGGGGATGTTGAAAATAATCGAATAAGTGATGTTTCCCTTGAAACAGAAAAAGCTGAATACTTTTTCGATTTCAGAGGAGAAAGTGAATGATGAAATAATCGTACGAATGTATATGACTGAGTTATTCACATAGTGAGATAGTTTAACGTTTCGCGTTCGTCAGACTAATGCTGCCGTTTTTGTTGTTTCTGTCTCAGACTATAAGGGGCCGTGTAAATTTCTCTGTTGAACTTTTCATTCGTTGTTGAATGATGCTCGAACTTTCAGTAGTCAACATTTTTTCGAACAAGTTCAAATATTTTGTCAATGTCAGAGTTTCCTCTTTTCTCTACTAGTCTGATGTAGTTTTCGTCAAAATGACGAGAAAGAATTCGAACATCGAACAGTAAATGCAGCGTACAGTTCTCAACATACAGCTTCGCATTGCTTAATATGAAAACGGAAGCATTTGCTGATTGTTTTTACTGACTTCTCTTTTCTTGTGAACTCAGTTACTTGCATTCTGTTGAACTATGTAGTTTTCGCCTTGATCAGTTTTTAAATGCCTTGTCAGTCCTGCCTTCCTCTTTTTCATCCAATCTCACAAAATCATTTTATTTCCGGTCTTTTCAAATTAAAAGATTCTTTTTTCATTTGATTGTCAATTGTTTTTCATTCCTAAAGACAAGTTGCATCGGCCATAGTTCCTAAGGTCCGTATCAAATACTATTACCAAATTGTCGATAGCACATTTGTTCCAAAGTATGATTTGCAGTTGATTTGCTTTTCAGAGATAGAGTATGATTATATATACAGGTTAATTTCACGTATATATTGACACTAACTATCTTTTTCATACCATAACTTTCTTTAATTATCCTTGACCTTTTCTCCGTCTGCACAAGTAATTTCACCGGAAAAATTCTGAAATTGGTCAATTTTCCGCTATTTGTTATCTTTGTTCTTAGTGCAATTGAGATACATTTTTGAGAAAGCATCTATACGGATGAGAGAAAAGTGTTATTAATGGTTTTGCCATTATGGGAAATGTAACTGTTTTCGCCAAGACATCAGTCATTTTCTCTATGGGCCTGCACGTGCTTCATCATATGCTTTCACAAGTGATAAACGTAACTACCACACACACACATTCAGACACAGGAAATGACCATTTCTCTCTATTAATGACCGACGCCAACCTTGACGTGAAATGAAATTTATCTTCCACAGAATAGATGATATCTGAATATAATGTGAAATATATATGAAGAAATGACACAGAAAATGAAAACTGTTGAAGTTTCATTGTATGTCCTCCCATGGCCCGGGTTCCAAACATATTGTACCCATTTGAACTTTTAGCCCATGTTAACAGAAAAGCTGTTAAATCTAAGCTCGCAAAGTTATAGTTAATTTCGGGATCTTACCGGCTATCTGATGAATGTTCTGAAATAAGTAGAACTTTTTCTCCAATCAGACAATCATCAATCAAGAGATTTAAAATATATTAGCTGACTATAGCAGTTCGCATTCTGTTTTTCAAGAACGTTCACAGATAAAAATGAAATTAGAATAAGTAGACAAACAAGAATTGAAAGAGAGGTTATTTAGACTTGTTGGACTCGTCTCCGTTTGTTACATTATCATCTCGTGTTCGATTGTATTCACGAATTACACAAATCCTTTCGAGAATTTAGCGATGATGATTTAAGCTTCACTTTAGTACAAATGACCTTCGAAAATGCTTCTAGCCAGATTTTGTTGATTATTTCTTGCGTGAATTTGATGAAATTTCAAGATTATCAACCATTACACTGTGATAGTGCTTCAAGTTGTTTTCTCGGTCGTTTCAATCTTAGAAAAAAACAAATTCATCCACAATACATTCCAAATAAAAGTTAAAATATTGCGGTTTCCTTTTTGATCGTACCTATAGTTTCACTTCCAGCACAAATACTGACGACTTACTTGCTGAATTAGAATCGAATCGAATTAAACGTTCAGTTAGCGATGGCGGTGTTGAGTTCCGAGCATGCTCACGGTTTCAAATCGGTAAGTTCTATAACCTACTTTTCGAAAACTTTCCAAAATTTGGAAAATGTTTATGTTCCGAACGGTTTCATTCACGAATTTCTTTTTAAGAGATGTTGCTGATTCCTCTGGCTATTGCCATGATCCCGTTAGGTTTATCTGCTCTTATTCTATGCACTTGCTGCTGTGGACCAAAAGACTCGAGAGGTAACCCCTTCTGTTTTTCGTTCCTTTTCATTAATAAGTGAATGTTTCAGGAAAGTTACCAGATGACTTCCTTGCCAACTTCCCAGTGATGTCTAAAAAAAAGCGCATAAGTTCGGAAGATATTGAACTCGACTTCTGCGATGGTTATGTTCAACGAAAAGATTCGAGCCGAACAAAATTCTCAACCGTAGTATCGTATATTGAAGCTAGACGTGAAAGCCTTTGGTCGGTGAAAACTGATGGAGGCAGTATTACTTCTGGCTTGGAACTCGTAACTCCCGATGCGGTGGAAGAGAATGAATCTAATCAAAAAAATGACGATTCTGACGATTCTTCCTCTACTTCTTTGTCATCCTCACACGATACACAATCGCAAGCGTTACAAGATCGTTTGCGGAAAGTAGCTTCAACTGACTCCATAAAGAAAACTCGATTTAGTGATACTGTAAATGTGATAAGCGTAGAATCACTGTCTAGACGGTGAAGACATAAATCGGAAATGGGTCTCGCAACGATCTCGTAACAGTTAGGGACTACTAGCAGCACGACATGGATGTATCTCCGCCGGGCTACTCGTTTTTTTCGCTTTAAGCGTTTGGAGAATTTCTAAGTTTATTTGAAGCAGGGTACCGATTATCCAGTGATTCCAATATGCTTTGATATCAGTGTTTGTATATAGCATGTATAACAACCATATTGTTCAATATATAAGAATAAATTCAATGCAAAAATAAAACTCACAATATAATTAAAAACAATAAACGGTTTACATGGTGTCATAAACCCGACAATCGAGACCACTAACTATATTAAATATGTTCGGTTCAGAGTTTTTTGTTACTTCCTTCCACTTCTTCGTCCTTTCCTCAAATTCGATTCCTTAGACGGAGAATTAACACCTATTTGGCTACTTTCCACTTCCTGAAGTATCATACTGTAATTGAACAATCTATGAAATCATTATACCTCTTGAGTGACGTGCGAGTTAGCCATGTGTGTCTCCAGTTTATCTTTTGCATCAAAATGAACCATTAAATCACGCACTTGTTCTTCCATATCTTTTATTTGCTGGAAATGTATGGATTTATGTATTTCCTGGTTAGATTGATTATACCGTTCTCAGAAAAGTTTCAATTTCTTTCCTCTCCTTTGTGGCTTTATCTAAATTCTCTTTCCACTTTTGTTGATCACTCCGTAACATAGTGTTCATAGAACGTTCTTCATTCAGTTCTGATGTGACCTTTACGGCGAATAATAAATCGAATTTTCGAATATATTGCCCAACCTTATTAAGCTTGTTAAGTGCCGTTTGATGTTTCTTCTCAAAAGAACTTTTAAGTGATTTATTTTCATCCAGTTCTTTCGTTAACACTCGAATTTCATTACTTGATATAGCCAGCTTTCTTTCGAGGTCTTCCATCTGAGTCATTCAATAAAAAAACATTTGCTAAGAAGCTGATCTCACCTGAGTATGAGTAAGTTTTTCCATGTTACACATAGCCCGTTCAACATCATTCAATCTAGCCTTGACAAAAACACAATGAAATGAAATTCCAGAAACTCAAACCTCGAAAAATTTTCTTTGATTCTCTAATTGACTCGTCAAAAGGCATGTGTATTCCATTTTCATTCCTTCTATTTTATCATCTTTTTCAACATCCTCAATATAAAACTTTATATAGTTCAGTATACCAAAGTTACTTGAGTCACTCCTCTCTGATATTCCACAAGCTTTCCTTCGGTATCTGTTTGAATCAGCCGATGTACATAGTTATCCCCTGCATAGTCCCAAACACGCTCTCCTCCGACTTGTAAGCAGAATGTATGGGCAGTCTCCTCGAAGTGCCTGATAAACTATATAACATAATATTATAAGTTCCTCACCTGAACGCGTGAGCTGAAGCATAGCGACCACACCCAACATTTCCACAAACTAGGCAAAGCCACAGATCTGTTGTTTGAGAGCAATCAACGCATCTCTGATCTGCCTCCAATTCCGGTGTTTGAACAAAACGACAAACCGGACATCTATAAAAAAAACCGTTGAAATATTATAATCAAAGTTGAAAATACGTAGTATCTGTCCATTGCTGTAAACAGACCGCATGGAACGTGTGATTGCAAAGAATTGTTAGAACACCGTCGTCCATGCGCTCAAGACATACAGTGCAAGTTGGCAGTTCTGTGAGACCAGATATATCAAATATATCCGAGTCAGAAGTCTGGAATTTCTCTATTTTTTCTAATCTGACTATGATAACTTACACATTCCAATCGATCAACAAAGAGTAGTCGACAGTGCTCAGGCTCCAGTGAGTTGAACTGCATGCCATTATATTCTTCGAAGAACTGTACAGTATCATTCTGTAAAAATAAAAGTTTCAAAGAAATCAGAAAAAAAAAGGAAAGTATCATACATGAGTTTTGAACTTTATAATAACCATAAATTGGTTAGGTTTAGAGTCTCTTACGATTTTTAGTCGCTCAATATAGTGAAGACTTGGTCCTGAAAAAAAAGAGATGATGATTTTAACATATTGGAGATGATATAAACCAATTAACGAAATTAAATCTCGAATAGTTTGATGGGAAGGAACAGAAATCATACAGAGCATTCTACATTGAGCTTGCTTGGCCAACCCTTCGTCACTGAAATACAGAAAATAAACTATGGGGATGATTAATTTTACCTGTATTTGAAAAAATGAAGAATTCCCTCTGTTTTTTCTACACAAGGATTACCATAGTAGTAGTTGATATGAGAAATATCTATATGAAAATGGGTTTGCGAAATATATTGGAACACTTACCCGGAGGAGCCTCAGACCCCAACTTCGAAGTATGTGCAGAAGACTCGCTACATTGAGTCAAACGGTCTCCTTCATAAGTTTCTAAAACAACTTCAGAATAAGTTCTCCTTCCTGCGCAAGCGAAGTTAGTTATGGGTGACTGCAGTGATTTTCATTAAAGAGAGGATAACTTCACAGTCTTACAGTATTCCTATCACATTTTCTGTCCAATGCCAGAGGAGCATCCGTATCTGATGGAGCAGGAGGGCTTCTTTTTTTCATTCCGGACATTAACCTTCTCCGTGTTCTTTCCCCTTCACTTGGTGAAGCGGCTGTAAAAGAAAATTGAAAGATAAAAATCGAAACTACACTTGTATTGAGAGAAATACCGATTTCTAACTTGCTGGATTCGTTGAAGTTAACTACAGATTTCCCCTTAATTTCTAGGCGAAGAACCAAGGGAACATAGAAGCTCATAAGAGAGGATTATGATACAGTTCCTTAAACCTGCTTCCGTAAACAGAAGAATAACTATTTCGATATTCAATAACGATATACGTATCGATAAAAGGTAACATGAAGTTCGATGTTCTAATAATTATTTTTGGAAAACCCATATAACAAACTCTGTGAGATAAAACTAGAATTAAATGTACAAGTATTAACATGTAAACTCGTTCGGCAGTAAAGGCACATGATGAATAGTATTTACAAGATTTTTTTTAGTTCTAAACTATGTTAATTTCTTCTCTCTCTAGTTGTAAATAGATATAGAGCTTCTATGTAATGTATCTCTATTTTTCGTGATTTCTTGAAAATCACTAATCGAGTTCAACGAAAGTTTGTCTTCTTGTGCTGGTTCAAAAAAATAACCAACTGCTTCCCAAAGCTGATTACGATCAAGCCGAGATAAGAACGTTGCTCTCAACTGAAAATAAAAAGTGATCAATCGAAAAAAATTTGGAACCTGTAGTTCAGAATCGCTTATGACCGGTGGAGAAATGTTGCGAGCAATTATTGATTCGGCCGAAAGAAACGTCAAAACATCGTTCAAGGATTTGTCGGCACGAGCGCCAAGCTTAATTAAAAGAGGTTCTGCAGACATTATTGTTCATAAATACCTCTTTCAAAACTTCACTGAACGAGTTTTTCAATCGACTCGGATTGAGTTCTGTTACTCCACAATCAGCTAAGAATTGCCGAACGTCATTACCGAAACGGAAGAGGGACAAGCATACTACATTAGCAGCAACATGAGGTGTTTGTCTCTGAAGAGAAATATATGAAAAGTAAGAAAAATGCAATACCTGACTAGGATCGCGCTTCAAGATATCTCTCACAACACTTCGAACTGCTTGAGGGATTCGAGAAGATAGCAATGGAAGATCACTTTCTTTATAAGTAGCACTTTTCAAATTCGAGTAGAACGGATTTCGCCTGTTAAAAAATAATACATAGGAACTACCTAAAACATTACCTGGTAAAGATTTCATAACCCAATCCTCCAGCAGCCCAAACGTCAGCCATGGAAAAATCTACAATCCTGAAGACGAAGTTATAGTAATATCCTCAGCGCACAGTAACAACAAGTTTTTTATTGCTACTGCTCACTCAGAAGATTGCAGTTGAGAATAATTCGATGGCTTAATTTTAAGAGAAGAGTCAAAACTCACGAATCAGGAGATGGTGAAGCTAAAGCGATTTCTGGGGCTCTCGTAGCAATATTTCCTCCTAAACCCACTGTGTCATCACTAAACACCATGAATAGGTGGAAACGTTCAGAATTGGTTTACTTGTACTTAACGATCCAAGATCCCGTAGCCAATGCGCAGCCAAAGTCAGAAATTACGAGGTGAGGAACATCATCTGAGATGTTAATCAACTATTAGGCTTCGAATACTAACGGTACCAGAATTGTCAAACTCGAGAAGGATATTATCGCTTTTCATATCACGCTGAGCAATTTTATTGTCATTCAAGAAAACTAATCCTTCGAGTAACTGGCCCAGTAGAACTCTTCCTGTCCAATAGTTTCGTCTCTCTTTGATTGCATAATCTCTCAACGTCATCTTATATCTTGAATTATGAAGTCGAGGTGTCGAGAGATGTGTATTCTAACCTTTTCATAATAACGAAAAGAGTACGAGGCTCGTGAATAGTGACATCGTAGAACTGAGCAGTTGGTAGAGCCTCCGGATACATACTTCTAGCATCAGGTAGAATAGGCATCTGATCAACAAAAGCTGTTAACATCCGAACTACGTTTGGATGTGTTGACGGTAATGGTGAAAACCTTTAGTACGTAAAGTAATTTAAAGCTTGTTGGAATATACATACTTTCCCATTCTACCATTCAATATCTGCTTACTTCTCGGTAGGGCAACTAGTTCTGTCCCCATAAATCTCCATAGATGATCATCATTGGGAGTTTTTCGATCAAGTTCGAAATTATACATTAGTTTCAGAGCAAGAGGAAATTTCTGAGAGAGCAAGTAGCTAGTTATTCGAAGCAAAAATAACCTTGGCTGAGTTCTCACTTTTCGATTGAGAACCGGAATGCTGCTCACGAAGTCTGAGAGCATATACTGCTGCATTGCTACCATATCCAATATTTTTCCCTTCAATTTACCATGTCATAGAAGATTTTTTTATGTGGACAGAACCTATTTCGTAGGAATCTAAGTTCTCCGGTACAATATCGGAGACTAAACCTCTGTTGTATCTTGGATTTGTTCCAAACAATGTCTATAATTATGAAGTGAATTTTATACTTCAATCGACAACATACTCTTATGCACTGAATAGCATAATCAATTTTTCCTTCGCGTGACGCTTGAACAGCTTGTAACCGTAGTGAATGCTCAAGATTTAAATGTCGATGGTGTATTGCCAATGAGGAGAAAGGTCGGAGATGTCGGCCATTACGTATGATAGCACGAGTCTAATACATCATTCAATTCTGGATCTAATTGCTGGTCTTACAAATCTCAGAAAAGTAACTCTTCTAGGAGTGAAAGCTCTTCGAAAAGCAGCATCCATCCGAAGGCTTGAAGGCAAAATCCGAGGCAAGAAACGAGGAAACGCATTCAGAGCTTTAATTCGGAAAGTGAGCTGAAATCATTATTCTTTGTTTGTTGCAGTAAAACTTCGGGTAAACCTCATATAGGTGCCGACTTGTTTTCACAAGCTTCGACAGCATTTTTAGTTTAACAACACCAGCCCAAATTGACACTATACAGTATTAGTTGATAAAAAATTGAATACTAAACACTCCTATCAGAACGAAATTCGTTAAAATCGTTTAAGCTTGTTTATACATGTTAGATCTTATGACCGGATAAAACAAAATAACAGTGAGAGAATGTACGTGAGTACCTCTTATAAAAAAGACGCGAAACTGCGTACATTTGAAGATTTAAAAAAAAATTCTATTACAACTCAAAAGCACAAGCTTTATATATACAGAAAGAGGCTTGATGGAAGGTAAATCAAAAAATAATTTACATGATTTGGGAGAGATGTTTTTTTAGTAGTTTGTTTTCAGCTTCCTCTACATTTTCTCTTATGTCATCTATCACGAATTCGGAAGTGCTTGACATGACTTGTACTGGGAGTAACTGATAGCGCCCTGGAAGAAGCCAAGGAAGTCATATAAAGCAAACGTTATGAAGAAAGGTCTTTAGGTTGCTGACTGAAATGCATTTGCACCACATCATAGTTTTGAGTTTTGACTTTGAATCATCACAATACTAAGTCGCTATGGCTTTCTCATAACGCCTCCTTCCCCCCACATATCTTCATCAACCTGCACTTCTACTTCAAAAGTCTTTTCATTTCTCTGTCACTTTTTTTGAATGATTTTTACTTTTTGTTCAGCCGGACGGTCGATGTGACCAGTCGACTATCTATTGTCTCCGTTATCGTACTGATGAGACTGTGGCTTAGAACGCTTCTCCTTGTGCTCAGCTTTGAGCTCACAAGCCCAGCATGTATGCCAACCCCTACTTCGATGAGGAACACAATCATCCACAATGAGAAGGTATAAAATATAGGAAGAATCTTTTACAGTAAAAAAAGAAAAATGAAATTTTGCATTAAACTTAAGGCAAAAATACTGCAACGAATTCATCTTCCGCGGAGGCCTGAATCGGTGGAAACAAAAGTATCATACCGAGTCGAACGTGATCTAACCGATTTTTATGAGCCTGAATTTGGAGTTGAGTCGAACTCGTTTGAGCCAATATCAAACAGCTGTAAGATTACTCATTTTTCGAAAGAATTTTCTGAACGGTGACAGCTATTTCAGCGCTTTGTCGCACGATGGATGGTGAAGATATAATTCCAGACTGTTTCATCTATCATCTTGAAGTAAAAGGAACAGTAGTTGGGGCTGATTTCGTTCTTCTGTAAGCTGAGGCGTTCCACACAAACATTTCTCTTTCCTCATAGGTTGAAGCCGCAATTCAGAAGTGTAAATCTTACAATTTCGATTTATGAGGTTTTGAAACTGGCTAAGCATTTTGAATTGGAAAAAAATTAATTTTATGACAGGTTGGACGCATCGATGGTCAGCTGTCACGCATTGATAAACTTGTCGTTGTGGGATCATCGTCTATTTCTGAGGACTTGATAGTTAAGACTGACATCAAAGAAGAAATGAGGCAGTGGTTGAGAGGAAACACAAATTACAATGTTGAAAAGTTGTTGATGGTACGATTGAAGACGATCGAAATAGTTTTAATGAAAAGCAGATGACTGTAGATCTCGGCAAAAGTCAACGGTTTTGAATTGCCTTTTTGGGACGTTTTCCGTAAAACTCCATCAATAGATGTGGTTATTGGAACACCAGAAAAGTTAGAGAATAGAAAGAGTGATGCTAGAAACTTAAAATTAAGGCAGTCGTCTCGTTGTGAATCATCGTCCAAGTGTTGTTTGATGTCATTTTATCTGAACTTTACGGAATTAGGTATTTGTTTATTGTCTCTGATATGACATAGAAAAACTTTGGAGGCTGGGATGACTGGATTCTGTCCCCTCCTGGATATCATGCAAATTACTGTGTCGGTCAATGCCCTTTCAATTCGGATACAGAAACACAAGCTGTACTGAGGTATCCAGTGTAAATTCGAAAAATTCTATTCTTTTATATAGATCAGCCAAAACAAATGATTCATCATTTTTCCTACCAAGTCCAAGCTGCGCACCCTTGTATTATGCACCTTTGAAGATGATATACACGGTTGGCGAAAACGATTTCCGAAAATCTGTTCTACACGGAATGACAGTGCTATCGTGTAGTTGCTCATCGCATTAACAACAACGATATTGTAATTTTGAAGGGGAATTAAACAGTTGAGAACAAATGTGTTGAACGGCTTTTACATAGATGCCAATCCCTTCTAAAGATATCAGATTTCATTGAGATTTCAAGCAGTATTAAAAGACGACGACAGTTTTAATACTTGTTTTCATATAGATATTATTTTATTTTTGAATCTAAAATGTAAAAATCTTCTTCCTTTTTTTTTCAAGTTAATAGGTGAATTGATAAGCCACTACGAAACTGTCTGAAATAAGAAGTCTGTCACAAGTGATGATTGACGTATAAAACAAAAAATTATATAACTCACACAATGTGGTTATAAAAAATCGTTTGGTATTCATATTTTGTGATTCCATTAATCAATCTGTCTGTAACAATCAACTTTAAATAAAATGAAGCCCCATTCGACTGAGACGCTTTGGTCTCTATCTCTGCTAATCTAAGATATGACCACAAAGAAATAGTAGTACCAACTTCGATTAAGTTCGTGTAATCTTCTGATGCTGTTATTCCAATTTGAAGTGAAGTTTCCGTGTCTCCAAGAAATTTCTTATTTCAAATATCATTTTTTGGTTTGCTTCGCAGAGAGCGGTTGTGGTAGCAGTTAGGTGGGCTCTTTGTTACACTTCTACAATGATTCACAACAAATATAAAATTCAACATTGTTCGTTTTGGAAATAATTTTTTTAATCCGAATTAGATAAGAAAATTAAATATTTTATTCATGCGAACAACAACAAAAATGAAAGCGCAGACCGTTTGGAAAGATCTAGCCATTCTTCAGAAGTCTCTTCGAAGACCAATTTTCAAAACTTCTATAAAAGAAATCATAAGTTAGAGATTAGAAAAAAAAAATTTTAAATCAACATATCGTTCAAAATGTGTTCATGTGCACGTTCAACCGTGCTAGAACGTAATCGAAAACTCTCTCAGTCCTTTAATAAACACACATATGGCATGTATATATGTAAACATATAAGGCTTGTGAAGCTTTGGGAGTTCGCCATACAAGCTAAGATTGGTTTTCTCGAGTATGTTGTAGTAAGTGCAAAGTATAATTTTGGAATTTGTGAAATAAGATTTCGTTGTTTAAGTAGACATTCTTCAGCTCATTTCACACAATGCATGATTATTACTCTCACATTTTATTAGATATTCACTGTTCATAACTTAAAAGTCATTTGCCTTTAGAAATTTTCATTGAACATCAACTTAATTGTCTTTCATGACTAGTCGATATGAGAACAATAACAACAAAAAGAGTATCTTCATTAATTCATAGATATATGGCCTGAAACCTCTTAAATGAATAGTAAGATGTTAGTCAGGAATTGAGCAGTGAACTCAAGGCGTCTCTCTTCTTAGCTTTCTTTCTCCTTTCTTCTCGCTTCTTTCTCTCTCTTTCATTCCTTAAATAGCTTCCCTTTCTTCTCTTTCAATCTTTTCCTTTCATTCATTTCTCCTCTTCTTTTTCCCGTGAATCTCTTCTGAAGTTGCTAGCTTATTCACCTAATTCGTAAGCTCTCTCCATCTCTCTTTCTTTCTTTTTCTTTTCATCTCTCTCAATATTCATACATATACATATATCCTTCTTCTCATTTCCTTTCGACATTGCTTGAGCTATTCCACAAGATTTGAAACTATTTGCTTACTTATTCACCCCTTAAAATCATTTCTTTTCATGTTTCGACCCGTCTTTCTCGTTCATGAGCTGTCATGTTTTATGATTTTCATTTTTACTTTTTTTTTTGGTCAAAATTATGAAAATTTTTCTAAGTATAACAATAGGTGAAGCTGCGTGGGATAAGCATTAGCCCTGTCACTTTTTGACACATATCCTATCCTCCGCTCTCTCTCATCATTCTCTCATTCTTTCCTTATACTTTCCCTCGTCATATTTGTTTTCTTTTTCTCTATTACCTCTCTCTATCTCTTTTTTAGAAATCATTTGTTCCTCACTCTTCATCAAGTAATATTTCCGAAATAGAATTGTACTACAGCTCCTTTCATGGGTTTCTTTCCATACCTCCTAAATCTACGGAGAACGAGAGCGGAAGCTTTTTGAATTAAAAACCTTTATTTTCGCCAAGTGTTCTCTCAAACAACTGCCAAACGCATATTCATGCGTGATTCTTCAATTCGTTTTCAAGTTTATCTTCAATGAAATCAAACCACATTGCTTCTTCCTAATTCGAAAATTAAATTTGCATTTACACTCACTATTTGGCAGTATTCAGATTATTATACATGGCAATTTGTTCATCTTCCAATACATTTCTTTTTTCATTTTTTCGTGTTTGCTCATTCACGTTGTGAACTTCGTCACACTTTGGTAGAGTTTTGATGACTACTCTCACCTTCAGAATTCATCAAAAGCTCACTCACTCCTCTCTCTCTCTCTCTCTCTCTCACTCTCTCTGTTGGAACTATACCGCATCCTTCCACTTTGTGTGATGAGATAATTTCGTGCCTATCTAGACTATATTACTAATGTCTACATAACTGCTTTCGATATCTCTCTTCAAACACTCATACTTTACTTGATCTTTCTTTTCACTATCGTTATCTCTTTCTTTTCATGTGCTCTCCCCATTTCCTTAAGAGAAGTCATTATCATTAAAGGTAGACTCTTATCCATTTTTATCAACTATTTCCTCGCTCAAACATTGATAAAGAAATAAGTAAAATTTCTTTTTTAACATTCTGTTTTTACAATCTACTATACATATGGTTAGGTTTGACAATATTCTATAGGCGGGTAACAAAAAAGAACAAAGTTCTAAGATCCTATTTACTTCCAATGCTTTCTTTATTCTCCAATGTCAATAAATCCTCATATGGCAGTTCGATTCCAGTACATTTTGTATTTATTCATACAATTATTTACAGATTATGATCTGAAATATGGAATTATCAACTCTTCTTATATACAATGTGCTTGTCGTAATTTTCGGTTTAAATCTTTGGAAGTATTTTCCGAGATCACATAAGAAAGAAGATAGTATATCACCAGGCAAGTGTTTTTTTTAAAGCTGAATACTTAATTAAGTAGCTTTTTTTCAGAAAAGGAATTAAAATGTAAATAATTGGTCCCTCCTAGGTACATGTCGTTTTTCAGGCAAACAACAGTAACATTTCTGCAAAAGTATTTTAAGTAATAAAGTTTTTAACTGTAATAAAAATGTATTTTGTTTCCTTTTTTGGAATAAGAGTTATGACAATGATAATTAAGTTTTGGGGAAAACAGGAGAATGATCATGACAAATGTCAGAATAAAAAGAAGAAGAAGTTCCACCGACGTCATTCATCTAGATGTTCTAACTTCTTCTTTTACGGATTTCTCAATTAGTTTGAGCTTGATTCTTACAGACAACTTTTGTAAAAGCTTACCTTAAACAGGTTTTTATAATCCAATTGGCTTAGAAGTTATCTTAAATTGGAAGCGAAATGCCTTCTATCTCAACAAGAACTTTCGCTTCTCTTCCTTCTTTTCCAAATCCTTTCTATCATTTTCTTCTTTTCCAAAAGCTTTCAAATAATTCTCGGATAAAAGAAAACATAAATATTTTTACAAATAATAAATAACAAATTAAGTTACAAGAAAAATTTACAAAGTATTCATTAAGAGATGTTTTGAGAAACTTTGTTCGGCATATGTCGCTCTCCTTTCGCTCTTCCTTTCTCTCTCTCTCTCTCTATTATTCTCTTTTCTCTCTTTCTTTTTAATCTCTAATTTCCCCTCTTTTTTTTTGTCTCTATCAAAGCCACAAAGAACACGTTTGAGAATTCCAATAACTTCATCTCCGAATAAGAAAAATGCAGTTAATCTAAAACACCTGCCAATTCATTTTCATTCACTTCAGTCGCACAGATCTTCCCTTCCTCCTCCAACCCTATCAGTGATATTTTCGTTCTCTCTCTGTAGGTATGATGTAAATGCCATTCTATTGTCGTTTTATATGAAGTTTCTTAATTTATTCCATTTTTTATTTTCAACTTCAGAAGTCGTCAGTAAGACGGTCAATAAGTTTACTCGCTCCAACTCAAATCCAAATTTGGGAAAGGTACGCTCATATTAGATGTATGTAATAGATGAACTGAGAAACAATAACATTCGCGGAAGAAAACAACGCAATCTTTCTAATATAAGTTTTTTCTTCTATTTGATCACTGACCAACCTGTTTACCTGAATGAATAGCGAACATCGTTACCAAATGATGACGGACAAATCATATTTTCTGAAATTGAAATTTTTTAAACCTTATATCTCTAGATCATTCGGCTTGGCTCTGTTTTCATTCCAAATCTATCCGATTATCAAATATTTTTGTTAAATTCTCATTATAACATTTATGAGATGTTGAAGAGTCCTATCTCTGGCCCGCACAAACTCATCCCAACAACGATCACCTACGTCTTCTGTTGTGTGATGTGAACGAAGAGCCTAATAAGGGTAGCGTCTGCGAGATGAATGAGAGAACTTGATGGAAGAATTGTCATTAACTGCCAAAGTTTATGTCAAGTTAGAATCTCATTTACATCAATTTATGCAACAATGATTTTCTTGTTATATTTTAAGAAGTTTTTTGTAGTCGTTCACTCATTTTTTTATTATTTTTTCCGCTCTTCAGAGCTAAAAACGACTTTTATGGCTTCTTTTACCATAGTTTAGTTTCAACAATGAGTTGACAGCTTTTACCATTTGAAAGCTCATATTTCTATATTGTGCGTGTTTTCTATCGGTCCCATACCGAAAAGAAACAAAAATAAAACAATTGAACGGCCATGAAGCTATAAACTCCTCTTCTTCATGAATACCTTCTCAATAGCTAAACAGAAGTAGTATGAGAGAAGAATTGAAATAGACTCTGGGAGGTTTGAAAGAGACTGACAAATAAACACTCTTGAGATCTTGTGCTCCAGCCTTCCTCCATGATCGAATATCTATGATCGTCCTCATGCTATTCCGAATCGGAGACTGATTCCGAAATTAATCCCCTTGCCGCCTCCGTTATTCAAACCGTGTAAGACGGACGTTTTCGTCTTAGAGGGTGGATATACTACTTTTTTTTCTTTCCTAATGAATTATTGAATTATGAAACCGAGCGCAGGTGGTAACTCTTGTAAAATGTAATACGTCGTAGAGCCAATTTGTTGTTTCAATCGAGCATGCCATTTCAACCTATTCTCCATTGAATACCTCATAACCTTTAACTGATAGAGTGAAGAAGTTTATTTTTATGTTTTTTATGTTTCTATTCAAACTGAACATTTCTGAAAACGGTCTCATGAATGCTAATTTTAAGATCATATGAACTATAGACATTCAGTCTTATGTACTAGAGAGATTAGCTAGTTTTGAATTGTTGAGGAAAGGCCCTCAGGCACTGTTCCAAAAAAAGACATGTATTTAGAGTATTCACTTTTTTAAAGCTAAATGTATGACGTTCGAAATCTCGTATTACATTCTCCTACATTTGCATATTTGATTTCCATTTTTTTCCATAAACAAAAATGTTTTTGAATGCACTTTCCGTTACGTGAGATGTACGTGAAGGAATTCATTCATTTGTAATTAAGACAACGTGCATACCGGTTGGTTTTGAGCAATTCATTAAATTTCTAATACTTCATCCTCTTCTTCATTCGAAAATTGTTCTACCCTTTCTTTTTTTTTACTCAAACAGTTGTGTAAAGTTTTCTACCAGTTTCAATCTGATTTGTGTAGCTAAACGAAGGAGGCATCTCATTGAAACTCCCCCACTTTCTGACGTCAAACCTTTTGACAGCATGATTTGTGCTACATATATCCATTTACATACTAAGTCTATAGTATATATATAAAACGGAGAGAAGCTAATCTCTCTCTTAGAATTCATTTATCATTTTTATTTTCGAGTGGAAAAAAATCACGGGTTATCTGGTTAATTACATGACAAGGAACGATATTTCATTCTGTCATTCCAGCTTTCAATCCATAGAAGTATAGGAACTTCCATATTGTTGAGATAGATGTTTTCTGATCTGTTCTTAATAGCTCCATAGCTCATCAAGTAGATCAGGATTGCTGCTTTTTCTTGTAGTTGCAAGCTTATCTCCTGTAAAGCTTTTTGTTCTAATCAAAGATAATAGCGAAAAAGTTCATTTCGAAATTTCTATTGTTTTCTGTATGTAGTCTTTAGCTCGATCTGGGCTGATGATTGATATCTAAGAGAAGAAGTAACTACTACTGGAATTTCAATAACATTCCACTCTCAGAGATTTTTGGAATTCGGAAAATTTTTAGTATTCCGATTTTGGAAATCTCCTAAGAGATTAAGTCATATCTTCTTGATCCACTTGAGGTTCACGAAGATTTAAAGCCGTAATATAACCCATCCTCTCTGTCTTGTTTTCTTTGTTTCCTCTTAAGCTTTCGAAACGCTTAAACAATATTCATTGGCTTTTAAGCTCGGACAAGTATTATCTGTTCATTTTCCTTTTAACCTTTTAAGAAGAAAACCAATTCCTTCTCAAACGCAAACCGGCTTTCCCACGTCCTCCACGTGAAGCTGTAGAATCAGATGGCATTGGGCTTCAATGGTAAATTAATTGGTTTTGCTTTTAACAATTATTTGGTAAAAAATTGAATAAGTAATTCGGCTAAATGAAAAATCGGGAAATTCCAATCTCCCACTCTCCCACTCCTCTCTCCCTCTATCCCTCTCTCTGTCTTTCCCTTATTCTTTTTCAAAAATTTGTGAGGTTGTGGTAATTTGCTTCAAACTCTTAAGCAACACAACCTTCAAATAAACAACCAAATTTTTCAAATTTTCATTTAAAAATTTCTCATAAATGCCTTTTAACTTCCAATTAAACGTATTTATATTCTTATTTTGATAACTTCGATCTTCATTAGAGAATGAGAAAAGAGGAAAAAAAAATTCTTTGTTTTTCTTTTTTCTCTTTCCCAACGAAAGCTTGAATGAATACATAAGAAATAAAAAAAAGTTTTTCTCATTATTGAACTTCTATGAAATATTCAAATATCAATTGAATATCAATTCGGTTAAGTTTATAGAAATGAGGTTCCATGAGGTTTTTTTCATCTTCGTCACAGTATTTTTCAAGAAATGGAAACTCAATTACAACTGGTCATCGACCTCATGGAGCTCAGCCTTTTGGTACTTTCTAATTTTCTTTCAGCTCATCAATTTCGTTTTTTTAATTTTTCGATCTTTTTCTCATGAGATATATTTGAATATGCTCAGCATGGGATCCTCCCCTCACCTTTCTTCGAGCGAAAATCAAAATTAAAGATTAAAAAAATCCCCCCTTCCTCGTTTTTTGTCTGACTCCTTTTCGCTACTCTCTCTCCTCAAAGCTCCCCTCTCTCTCTCTCTATTACACTCCCTCTCTTTCTGTCTGCTCTTATGCCCTTTGTTATCCACCCAAATTCTCTCTTCCAGTTTGACATGTCTTTTCTGAATTAGTTGAATTCTATTAATTTAAATTGTCTTTATTTCAGAAAAATTATGGGTCCCCAGCATCCACTGTTCCAAATTTTGTTGAGCTGTCTGATATTATTTTTTACCTGTCAAGGTTCTGTTTTGCGAACTACTAAAATAGGACAAATCCGCCGTTATAACATAGATCTGATTCTTGATTGTTTCAAGGAGCATTCAGAACAGTAAGTATAGCTTTATAAAAGCCAAAGTGTTTTGGCAACTCATTTATCAAGCAACTATACATTAGGTTTAGAAACAAGCGCGTATACGCCTCCACAGAAGGAAATATCGCCAAGTTGTATGACGAAAATGGTGAGTTGATTCTTGTATCTTCATCTAAGAAACACTAGATCTTATACGCTCAAGTGAGCATCATTTTCCATATCTGCTAGAAGTAAAAATTAAAACTTGTCTTATTTTGCATGATGTGAGAGTGTATGTGGGAATTGGGTTGAAAAGCGTAAAATTTGAGATAAAGCTGAACCGGAAAACATTAGTCTATGTTTCAGGTGTGGAAATAGAATGTAAAAATAAGAATGACAACTCATATCCGTACGATCAGCACTGTTTCTTCTCGCCTCTCAACTGTTTCTTCAACAAAATTCGATTAAATAAGCAAACGAAGATGTAAGCTTAGGCAATTCGTCTAAGCTCTGTGTATGTGTGGCTTTACAGGCAATCTGATGGACCAGATAGATGACCAGAATCACAAAAGTTTATTAAAAATCCAAAAGAGATGAAAATTGGAAAAGATCTGCTTCCATTCTGCTGAACCTTGGCATAATACAATATTTCGTATTCTTATCATATCTTCCATTTTGCTAAGTCATTGCATAATACACTATATCGTTCTAACCTTACCGTACTCCATCTAACAACTCACCAACTATATTGCATAATTAACATTACAAAACTCATCAAAAATGCCAGCATCTAACATCAAACACACATTTTCTGTATTATAAAGTGGAATAATCAATAACAATATTTGTTTTTTTCTTTTAAATGAAAAATTTTCATAATTTGTCACAGTAGTTGCCTCTCTATGATCTGCAGCTCTTGAAGCTATTCTTTTTCATTTTTTTGTCGTTTCCAATATCACTTTACGTACGTTACTATCATCGGAGGATTTCTTGTCCGCGACTAAGCACCCTCGTGACCCTCCCGGAGAGTGACAGTACTTTACTTATAGATAGTCAGTGGTATTTGTGGTCTTCTTCACTCAGTAATGTTACAGTTTGGCAAAAATAAAGCTTCGATATGTTCATTTGATTTTTTTCATCAGCGTTATTACAATTAACTAAACAGTTCCGTTTGTTTCGGTGGGATGAAGCTAAGACTCAAACAATACATACAAACAATCTATATCTCCAATTTATGTTTTACAATTCAAAGATCGAACTTATTCTTCACCGAAGCCTAATACCGCTACCACATCCTCTTTATGAAACTTTTCCTCCCTCTGCTAATAAGAGATAAGACCTATGAATATCAAAGACTCAAATTCGAAAGACAGAATGAATAGTAAGAAGCTGCATGGTAAGCCTTCTCAGCACTTAATTTTAATTTTTCTGTTATTTCGTATTTGCATATGTAAATGAGACTGAAGTCACAGAGCGACGTGTAAGCCGCACATCGTCATTTCTCATTTTTTCAGAGGCACTGAGTGGTTGTTAGAAAGATTAAACGATATTCCGATTGTGAGATACAAAACCAAGCTCATGGACCGATTATTGCAGAATGATATGATAATTGAGAAATAGGAAGACAAGGAAGAAACGAAAGACGGCTATTTGTTAATGCAAATTAGAGTGATATGAAAGGCAATTTGAAGAGCTCCAACAGTAATTGCTCCGACCTCTTTCTGCTCTCTTTCGCCCCCTTGAAAATAAGTGTTTTTTGCTGTTCTAAACAATCGAAATTTCATAAATGAACTTTTCAAACTCTTGAAAACTCATTCTTATATGAAAAGGTCTCCCAGAATGTTTCAAAATAAGAATGACGTTTAGTTCACGTGAACATTAAAAATTTCGAATGTTTTCCTGGATATAGTAAGAGAGAGAGAGTGAATTTCTGCTATTTCCGTCAAGAAATGAAATTGTAAAAAAATGAAATAAAATGTGTTTGTCGAAAAGGAATATGCGTCATGTGAAGGTCGGTGATTCACTAACTCTGATCTCTTACTTTTTATTACGTATTAATAATAAAAATACATTATTATGAGCAACGTTTAACAAGAAACTATTCTTTTATAAAACTCAAATGATCTTTTTTTTGTATATTTTATAGCTATTGAGATACATATGAGCACGTTGATATGAAATCAAATAAGCCTATAGAAGGCTATAATCTTATTTTTTTTTATTTTTCAGCTTTGCGTGGTCCGCTATATATTCCATGGAAACCAAATGGAATACGAGACTCAGGAATTACGAATCTTGCAATTTCAGTCATATCTTTTGAATTCAATACGACAAGATACGGATTATCGCCATCTTCGCTCGTCATCACAGGAACAAGAAGAATACCTGAAAGACCAATGAGTTTACCACATGGTCACGAGCTTTATACTATACCATCATCTTCTTCAGTCAGCTGAGGATGTGGGATAAAAACAGGTTCAGCACACATATGCGAATTTTTTGGCTTTTTCCATACTTTATGGTTTCCATTTCCGGTTACATCAGCTTTAACCACCTACAACAGGCAAAAAAGATATTTTCCACAAAATTAAAAAAAAACATACGCCAATGGTGACATCTTGATTGAAAGATAAGGCATCACTTCCATAAACATATTTATATTCCTTCATATTGAAATGTTCAAAATTGTATCGAGGGAACTCGAAGTCTGGAATGAACAATTTAATTTCTCTCTCCTAGCTCATAGTTCGAAATTCATGATTTTTGAAATCATACGTATGCTAATCTGCGGGAGTAATCATCTACGTCAAAATCATCAATCAAATTCATTTTAAATCTCGGGATTAGATAGATCGGTTGTTCTGTTATTTGTTTACTCGTTTTCACAATTAAGACTCACTGAAGTCACACATTCTCATATCCTCGAGGAAAACGGTTGACTCGTCTCTCAAGTAAGCATGACAAGTGCCAGCGAAAGAGCAGTTTTTTAGTAGATCATCTCCTACTTTAGCTGTTTCATCAACAGACAACGGTATAATCATTCGGTGTAAGTACATCTTGGTATTATCGTCCTGAACAAAGTATAGTTAATGTTTTGAAAGCATGTGGCATCTTACTGCTCCAAAGCTACTTTCAATTCTACGTAGAGCTCGAAGTTCTAATTCCTCAAACGTTCCCGGATTTCTCATATAACAATAATCAACAACAACAAAACCATCTTTCTCAAAGGAATTAGCGTGATGGAAAGTGAAAAATGGAGGAGCTTTGAACTAAAATACATGAATAAGTGAAGAAAAGGGACCGTCTTTTACTTTTATGTCCAGTGCTTTACCCGTGTGTCTATTCATCAACAACACATTTGTTCCTTTGGAATCATTCCAACTCATACAATCTCTATATGAATTGTAAATCGCTCTGCTGCAAATCAATTGTTTCCTTTATTCAGACTGTAACTGATTACCCACCTGAAACCAAGTTTTAGAGCACTCAGTCGGAGAGGTGACTCAAATAAAATGAAGTAGTTCTCGGACATTCCAAAGGAATGATAGTAAGTTGGCATGCCAGGATCAGTCGCTTTAAGAGTTCCAATGAGTTCAGTTAACTCAGTTGAGTGGGAGGACGCAGTTTCTTCAAAATGAAATGGTTTAGGTTTATGGAATTATATTCTTAATAAGAACCAGAATGTTTGAGTGGATTGAGAGTTTTGGCAAAAACGTATGCGCTATCTTTTCCGTAGGAACTACCAATGTTAAAAACATTTCCCTCCTCATCACCATTGCAATGAGCAGTGTAAGTATGGAGAGTCAAATATTTTCTCATATCAACCTGAATGAATAATCGTTGACAATTTTAAATAAAAAACTATTCACTTTATCTAGAACTTCCAAGCTGTCCAAATCAATTCTAGTCATGATAGGAGTTTCGGTGACCGCATAGACTCCATCACCGACTTGACAGAAAGAAACTCCACAATTATCAGAAGTTTCAGGTTTTGAGAAGAAAGAGAAAAACCTTAAATATATACTGAATTTTCCGTTCTCTTAATTAGAACAACCTTTGGAAAATGTTTTTGCAAGGATCAGGGAAGCTAACAGTTCCAAAGCTTCCGCGGATAACGCGTTGAGCTTTCATATTGGCCTTGTAGGCTTCTGATTCCAAAAAGCGAGCGGAATAGAACATCTTACAAAATATGTTTGATTGTTTTACATGCGAAATTAAACCTCTCCATCTTCAAAATGGAATCTACATAAATAAGACATTCCATCAAACAAGTGCTTCTGTTCAGTATCTCCAAACTTGAACATTCCTGGTCCGTTCCGAACTAATGTTCCCTCAAGCCATGATGGGATATCACCTGTAATGGTAATAGTTATCTACTAGATGAAAGAGAAAAGAACCTGTTCGTTCACATTTTTTCTTCTGAACGTCTTGAAAGTTCTCCAACAAACGGCTGATTTTGGAAGTCATGAAACTAGAAGTAAGAAAAAGAAATCAACAGAACTCTTGTTTGAAAAATCGATTAAACTGTTTCTATAATCGAAAAGAAGTAGAACTGTGTGTGTGATAGATGTTTGAGTTAAACGAGTCTTCCACGATCATACAGACATAAACAAATAAAAAAATTCAAACAACTGAAAAATAGACAGCGATGGGGACCCTTAGTGAATAACCCTCTCCAGGTCAAAAACATTTATATGTTTACTATTTGATTAAACTAGATTCTAGTCTTGGACAGTGATTCTTTATCAAAAATAGTCGATCAAACTACATTTGTCGAGAGACAATATAGAAGTATTAACTAAATATGTTGAAATTCAATCTATCTTCGTTGATCATCTTCCGTTCATGGTCACGTGACGAACTCTTCACATCACATCAGTTTTTTTTCTTCTGTTTTATTTCATAATTTCTTGGGACTAAAAAGCGCAGCAGGAAAATATCTATCTGTAACTTATGTATGGTTATACTCAATATGGACATGGAAGAAGTGATACCAATTAGATCGCGTTATAGCGTTAGGCATCATGTTAAATCTTGAAGGACGTTTGTTCAGCTTGAATCCACAAAAAACATTTATCTTTTTCCATTTTTTCTGAGATCCTTCCCGTTATTTGACCTCTGGCTATCATTATTTGCTTCAATCAGTTTATCTTTTGATAGTTCTGGCTTAGATCTAGGTCGATGTTCTCTTTTTTATTCACAATTCATTCTCGGCCTGCTGTCATAAGTGATTTGCCTAAAGAGGCTTTTACTTATCAACAGCCTTAATCGTCTCTTTTAAAATGACGAACTCAATTTTGCCGTGTCTGCTCTTATTTTCCGGATTATTTAATCATTTGGTGAATAGCCAGTTGTCAATTTCTCAACTTCAAGAAAAATGTCCTGATGATAAACCATTTTGTGCCGCAAAAGTTGCTTCTGTGAGTTATCCAACTGCTATCTGTAGTATTTTTTTTTGAAGGGAGCTTGCTTTGGGAACTCATTGAAAGCAGGAGTTCTTCAAAAACAATGCCAATGTTCATGTGATGCAATTCATTTCGAAAGGATACAAGTTTGCATTTTAGACGAAAACAGCTGAATTAAAGATATTATTTCCAGAAATGTTGTCTGACCGTCGGTGTACAAGAGATGAAGTTTTGCATGCCCTTATGCCGTTATAACACAACATCAGAAGAAGTGACAACCTTCTCTTAACTGCTCGTGATTGTTTTTATTTAGTTGGGATCTACTCTAGGTCTGAAATGCTTGAGTCAATTAACAACTTGGGCATATTGTGCTGCTGATGCTTCAGATCAATCTGAATGCTGCGAACAAAAAGGTTTTTCTATTATGAAGTTTACTTCAACAAACTTTCAAGGAATCCCATTTGAATGTCGATCATTCTGTAAAGGAGACGTTCCAACATGTGATATGCAATCCATTTTCAACTATGAGCCCTGTATTCAGGTTTTATTTAATCTGTTCTTCAACATAAAATATAATTTTTCAGTATATGGGTTCGATTATGCAGTGTCAAAAAGAAGGACTGGGCCCCCAGTCGAAATACGACCCAGATTGGTCATCTAGCTGTGAATGGGAAGGATAATTGAATTGTTTATTCTAATAAAAATAATAATAAAACATTTTTCTAAAAACAAACACTGTTTTCTAACTTTCTTTGTGCACTTTTGTATCGTTTTTCCAACAAAAGCAGGGAGTTTTTCATTTTCTTCAATAAGTCTCTTAAATGGTACTTTTTAAATACGTTAAGTAATCATCCTTATGCTACCTGTAGTACTGTCGAAGTGTTTTTATTTCCAATTCCTTCTCGATTAAGTCTTTCCTCAGTCTTGTAGATTCTGCTATAGTTTCTGGAGTGGTTTTCAGCTTTTCTTTGAGCTCAGCAACTGTTTCTTCCAAACGATTTCGTTCATCTGTTACTCTTGATAGTTTGTTATTGTGAATTAAACGCTCTTTTTCAGCTTGCAATTTCCATTTCTGAAGACAGAAGTGAGATGTTTTTAAATAAAAATCTTGGAAAACTTCTTCATGATTCTCTCCTTGCAGCTGGTTGTACCCTTTGTTTTTCTCGATTTCAGCTTCACCCAGCTTTTGCTTCAATTCTAGAAGACAGAAATAGAAAAATAAGAAATAATAAACTATAAACCATCTATTATGCAGTTCCGTTCGTTTATAAGATATTCTAACTCCATCAATCTCTTTTGAAACATCATTGATTGATCCTGTTGATCCATTTCCAACAAGCGTTCCTTCTCCGAAATTTGTAATTCCATAAACATCTGACTGTTCATTGCCGAGTTTAGCTTACTAAGAAAAAAAAGATATGAAAAGAAGATAAGAATGAGCTACCTTCGAATAGCATCTAGTTCTGTCTGCTTTTGCTCTAAAACCATTCGCAGTCCAATAGTTTCATTGAAAGCTCTTGAAATTATTGTTTGATTGATTGTTTTGAAGTCGATTACTCTGTCTACCTGTCTGCTTTTGCATCTGCTTTGATAGATTTCTTGCGCTCCTCTGATAGTTTATTTTCTGTTTCTCGAATTTGACAATGAAGTTCATCCAGCTTTTTCAATTTTGAGCTCTCTTCGTCTTTTAGCGCTATTTCCAGCTTGAATATACGAGCTCGTTGCTGTTCTATAATCTCAGAATCAGAAAGTTTTTCCAATTCAGTTTCCCTGAAAACGAGAAAATATTGAAGAATTACTATAATGATACATACCTTGATTCATTGAACTGCCCAACAATTTTATCTAACTGAGTTGAAAGTTCTATGCTCATCTCATGTTCTTTTTGTTTCAAGTCGCGTCTGGCTTTCATTAGTTGGCTATTGAGATCACGAATCGCTTCTAATAGTTTGTCATTTTCTTCGATGAGATCGTCTTTCTCTTGAGCTATCCGCTTCGTTTCATTCTTCTGATCATCAATCTCCTAAATTGAAGCTACAGCGCCTGGAAAATTGACTGAAGACTACCTTACGGAAGACGGTTTGGATTTCAGCTAGAGAATTGGCTCGAAACTCCATGTTTTGCCGTTTTCTCTCGTTGCAATCTTCTGATAAGTTTCGGACTATATCACGACTTTTCTTCTCTAACTCCTTGATCACTCCATGTAATCGTTGGTTCTCATTTGCATATGATTGTATCTAAAAAATAGAAAAAAGTATTACTTACGAGATTTATCTTCAATATAGCTCATTTCTTCATGAATGGTTATACTGAACGGTTGACTCACATTATTTAACTCTGTCTTTATTTTACTATTTTCTTCCATGACTTTTATATATTTATGCTTTAATGATTTATAGTTTTTTTGGCTCTGTAAAACTAGCCTCCTTTCGACCTTAATTTTAATTGTTCAAAATGATCTCGCATGGTTAAGGAAACCTTGAGAAGATTATTCATTTCATCAATCTCGGATTGTAGATCTGACGAGTTACTTCTAGAGGATATAGTGCTTGCTTCTTCCATGTTAACTCAAACACAAATAAATGTAGGTAAAAATACTGAAAAGGGATGTTTAGAGAACGCAAAAAAGGATTTGAGAAGGAATATTGAAACAAATTTATTGTAGAAAAAATTATAATGAAATGCTTTACTACACCACCAAAACTAACTTCGAAACAGAAAAATTATTATTTGGCAGTTCGAATATTATGGAAATCAATACGTCGCTAGCAGGAGGCAGGCCTTCCTCTCACATCATTAAGCCTGCTGTTACCATGCTTATAAGGCTAACCTCATGGCTAGGGGTAACGATTTTCAGTTTGTAATGCACAATAACAATTCTGCCATTAGAATATTGATTTTACCAAATGAACCGGACGAATACAAGATGAACAGTTTCTCCTTCCTTGGGCAACACTGTAAACAGTCATCATCAATATAATTAACAAGTCTTGGAGCTTCTGATACATATACGCTTTATTAATACATAATTATCGAAGAATAAGAGTTTATTCTCCGAAACTTTCATCTATACAGCACTAATTCCGATTGTATAAACAACTGATAGACAAGCTTGCTGACCTCTGCTAAACAAAGCATAATGAATGGACAACTATTTTTTCGCCAACGTCTGCAATAAATATAAACAAAACTGCATGTTTTTCTCTAATTGATATACTCAGGATGCTTTACATTTGATTTATGCATGAATTTTTTTCCGGATATTGCATATATTGTATAAAACATTTAAGTCGATGGCGGCAGTCCGGAGTAAATACAAGATAGAGGATGAGACGGCTATGTGGCGTTTCATAATGCGGTGAGCGTCCGTTAGGGTCATCAGTATTATTCCATGGTTTAAGAATTCTACACGAAGGAAGAGGTACAAGTATAAAAGGAAATGTTATTTGGGCTGAGTTTGCTGGTTATTATAATTCACCGGATGGTATAGTTCGGTCCATCTCTAGTCTCAACTCTCAGTTAGTTAAAAAGCGGAAACAACTTACCTCTTGTTTAGTTTTCGCAAAAAAATGTTGCCATCATTAGCAGAAGCCAAGCTTCCACTGGAAGATATTGTCTACATTCATAATAAGATACCCTTAACTATTTTCAACGGCAATCTGTAAGTTGTTCTCCCATTGTACCATCATTTATTTTTGAAGGTTCAAATCGCGTTGTGTTGCTGCAGATTGTCCGGAGCTCGTGAAAAAGCTGAAAAAAAGAAATTATTTCAGTCTGTTATCGGAAGTTTCAAAAATAATACAAACATTCAGGTTCGAAATGTTCCCAAGATGTTTTTGATAGTTCTTCGGAAAGTGAAGGTTCTCCAGTTCGGAAGACTGTAGACATCGTAAAACAATCGGAAAAAGCACCACGCTTGAGTTTGAATGGTATGATTTTCCCATTTCAATCAAGATAGCTTGTATATGATTCGCTCTACCGATTACTTCAGAATCTGTTGTTGATGTGTTAGAGAAGTTTCAAATCCGTAGACGACGCGAGCAGAACCCTCACTTAGGCCTGGTATTTCAATATTTCGATTTTAACGATGATCACAGTCATTTCCATATAGAGAAGTAGTACCAAGCATGAACTTTCGAGTCCTTCGACAACCGCTACACCTAGACGTTCCTTAAGATTAGCTAATATTCCTCAGAACACGCTGAACACTGATCCGGGTCAGCTTGAGGGTAATTCAAACATGAAACTTTATTTTTTCTAGAGGATGTGCCTGTAATCATTTCACCCAAGCGTATTAAAAAGAAGTCAATTCTTGTTGCGACTCCGACCCTTCCTGAACTAGCGTTAGTTCCAGGAACGCCTGTAACAAGGTCTGCAAGCTTACGTAAAAGGAAAGCTATTCCATTGGGTAAAACTAATCATTGCTTTGCTTACTGTTTTTATAATTCAGAAAAGAACACAGCGGGAGAAGTCGACGTAGATATTGTGTTAGATTCGAATCCTCTTAGTGACAATATTGGATCAAAAAATAAAGCTTCTGCTGGTAATGAAACTCATCGCAGTAAGGAGAGTCAACATATATCAAAAAAAACAACAACGCAGACGCGTTTAGCCAATACTGGTTAAATTTGAATGAATGAAATTTTCTATTGTGTTGTTTTTCAGATACTCATTCTGAAACCTTTTACGATTCTCGTTTGCTCGACAAATTGCTAGATTCTAACCTGCAAGACGATTGTGAAGATGTACTCTCGCCTTGTGAGGAGATTGGTCAAGGTTTTCTTACTTTTTCTATTTCTTTCCGTACATTAGTGTTCCTACAGCCGAAGATCCTGTTGAAGTTTTAAGTTCACCTAGCACGCATTCCTTCTTCATATGTGAGGTAAGGAACAGTTAGATTTCGAGAACAATTCCAGCATTTTGAGATGAGCCAAGATTTTGTTGCTGATCTACTTCAAGGAGTTGACGAGAATACGCGAAAACACTTATGTCTGGATTTGCTATTGCATAGAGAATTTCTTCAATTGCTCTCGGATTCATCTTCATACGAAGATTTCTCAAAAAAACTTACTTTGTTTGGAAATCGTTTTCGAGATCTAGTACACAGTTCAAACTATGAGCTTATAAATTTGACGCAAGCTGACATAACAACAGCGTGAGTTCTTATCAAGCTTTTCAAAAAAATGAATCTTTCAGTAACTTCAAGAAGTTTTCGAAGCCAATAAATATTCCTGAAACGGTATGTGGACTAGAGATTCAAACAAGTTCGGTACATTTTCAGAAAATAGCATGGGATGTAAGGTTGGAAATCCTCAATGAGCTTTTCCGTTCTTTGACAAAATATCCCGTCGCAAAAACCTTGAAGATGAGATATCAACTAATAAACGCAGAAGGGAATGCTGCCCAACTCGGAAGTCTTCAGCAGGTACTAAGCAGGGGAGCCGGGATCAAATCTTTCTTGTTTTTAGGGCTTCTACGATTATTTCATCGAAGCAATACGTAAAGAGTTCGCACTCAACCAATTATAATTGAGTTTAACATTTTGAAAACACTCATTTCTTGTAATATACGATTGATCTCAGGCGGAATGAAGTTTTATTTTTCTTCTCAAAGAAGTTTAAAATATTTCATAATTAACACCGTAAGTTTGACCTTATGTGGTTTAATAATTTCAATAATATTTTCAACTGTGACTTATTTTCTTCGAGTTTAGTTTGTATTTTCTCTCATTAACGACATAAATGATTCGTCGATCTTTTTTACCACATTAATGGTGAGCGGTAGAATTTCATTCTTGTTGAAACTGCTCAGTCAGCGATAGAGTTACATTACTAAGTCCATTATGAGATTTTAATTCTACATCAAATGCAGCACAGTGGGCTGTTATTTTCTATCTGCTGTTAGGAAAGATTTGATATGAGAGGCAAAAAACCTGTTATTACATTAGGTATTATGATTGTCACTTAAAACTTCTTTCGACTGTAAGGGTCCTGTTGTTACCGAGTAAATTCAGTCCTATGCGGAGAAATGTCGTGAACGATTATTCTTCACTGATTTCATTCTGTCATCCGCATTGACTCGAGATCGGTTGCTATTTTTTTGTTATCAGCGAAACATTATACTCGCCAGCTGGGTGCATACATTCAGGTTCGTGTGTGGTGAGTGGTGGTGTTTCTTTTCCGAGAGCAGATTGATTCGTGAAGCGTTGATCATAAAGCTCCTGACTATTCACAGGAAGATATCTATCGTTCAATATGCACGGTAAGCTCGTTCCGATTTGTGTCGTTGAACTATTCATTGTATTGGTGTCTGGGAATGGCTTCGTTCTTTTATTAAGCGCAAAGAAATCTCTACTCTCTGAGGTTATGAGTTAGGAGAGGAAACGGGAGAGCAGTGCTCTACTTGACAACCAGAGGAAAAAGATTACCTTACAAATCATATATGTCATGACGTTGACAGGTAATGTCATCAAAAATGCTTACATTGTACAAGATATTATTGAATGGGCTCATATTGGTCATTTCAGACTCAACAAATTTTTATTCTCGGCCTTAAGATAGAAAAGGCTGGGATCAGGTTAGTGAATGGAGAGGATCAATTTAGCATACGCATTCAATTGTTGTTGGCTTTATTTACGTTTGATATTGAATGCATTTCACACATTCATATATTAATATAAGCTTCTGCTTCTTTTCTCATCGACATCTATATTATATACATCTGTATACATAAAAGGCCCCATAGTAACAACTATTTTAGTCTCATCATCCGCCTTTTCAGTCTTTTCTCCAAACTATCTCTCCTTTTTCCTCTCATTTTTTCCTTTTCAACATATTTTCATCATAAGCCTATAGTCTCAGTTGACTGTTGCATTTCTCAGACTCCATCATTGTCTATTTAGTTTCAAATGTAAAGACCATCCGCTATCCCTTTATTCTTCTCTTTTTTTTCTGCAGCAACAAGTTTTCTGGTATTGCCATAAAGGCTTGCGGGAATGGCTTTCTGGCTTCTCCTCCGGTCTCGTTGGACACACCACCAAGCTCCTCCTGTTCCTCTTCGTTTTCCTCATTTAGTGGAGCACGAAAAAATCCAATAACCTGAGCTATGCTGTGTTGTTCTACATTTCGCGTTGTTTCCACTCATTTCTTTTTTGTACAGAATGAGCATGTGGCTTCCTTGAGCGTGAGAAACCTCTTTATCTAAACCATTCTTCTCATATCTATATACTTATAAGTTTCAAAAAAATAGTTTGCTCGTATAGATACCGTGAAATCATTTTTTTCAACTCTGATCATTCATCTGTTGTATTCTTCACACATTTCTGGGAACCATTTCTAATCGTCCATTTTCTCTCTAGATCAAATTCATGACTTCCGAATGCTGTCTCCACACTCATGGACTGATGATGGCATAGTACAGCCCAGATCGTCTAAATCATGTTGTTCCTTCTGGCTGGCGTGTTGTTGTTGTTGTCGACGCCATGGTCTCCAAAAGAGAATTAAGAAGGTATTTATAAATAGTAGTTCATCATTAAAAACTGAAAAAAATTCAATGAAGTACAAGTAAAGTTTAACAAGTTTCTTGTAAAATTAACTGCAGACATTCGGAGATGATTTGAATGACGGTTGAATGACGGAGTCAGTAGTTCACGGAAAGATATTGGCATGCGATGGTAGAAGGGCATGGGGGTCTCCAGAGGAGAACTGAGTGAAGAGTTGAAGACCAAAAATGGTGAAGTATGGAATGCCAGCATTGACAGCCGGAGACATGTAGTTTTACTAATCTCCGGCAATTAGTCATCGTGCCACTTTCAATCTACGGGTGAAGTTGTCGTTGGGACAGTGCAAGATGCTCACGACGATTTTCGGTTTGTAAAAAAAATGAGAGTTGGAGAAGCGAGGAGAAGTTAAATCGATGCTAGCTTCTTTAAAATACTTCAAGAGATTCATTTGAGTTTGTGGATGATGAATGAATTACGTGGTCAATATATCTTGTTAGCCATTTGAATTTTCATGCTTCGGACGTTGTCTTTGACAGGGGCATGGTTCGTATTGGTTGAGTGGGTGGTCCCATGGCTTTTTATTTTTTTCTTATGTTTATAAACAACGACTAGGTTAGTAAAACTTCATGAGAGGGAAATGAGTAATCCAATAAGTTTTTCTTTTCATTATATCTCCGAGTTTCCAAGCAAACACTTATGATGAGAGAGCAAGCCCATTTAAAGATCAATGATAGTTGCTAGAACATTAAAAAAGGCTTGAAGTATGTATCAAGTTAATTAAATTTAATAAACTCAAATAATCTCGTATTTTTTCAACAAAAAAAACCCAAAAAGCTTTCCTTCTTCAAACAACACTTCATTGGAAGAGGTTAGAGGACGAGAAGGCCATCGTCAAAGGACCTCATTACTCTTCTCTTTCTCTTCTATTCCGATCCATCTTTCCCTCCTACTCTTTTTCTTTCTCTTCTTCCTTTCCCTTCATCCACACTTTATCTCTCATTTTCAATATAAGGCGTAAATGCGACGTCGATTTATAGATGCGAGAGCTCCTTCTTTGGTTTAGACGGTGGTAGCCTCCCTAGGACTTGAGAAGCTCAATGTCCAGCAGTTAGCCTTATGTATGTCTTAGGGAAGATGCATGGGCTTGATCTAACTCGCGTCTCTATTGCGTTTGAACAAATTTTCAGTTGTTTTTCTCCGGAAAATGCTTGTATGAAAGTACCCATTTGCTTCAACTGTGCCATATGTCCTCATAGGTTATATCGATGATTTGCCATCATCTTCTCCAATTATAAAAGCAAACCTTTTTTGAAGGATAAGATGATGTTAGACAGCTGGTTCATAACATCTTTTCCAGCCATATAAGCTAGAGGTTGCGGCACTATTGCTTCTCCTGCTTTTCTGTTACCCGCTGTCCTTTGTTCAGCATTTCCATCCGCTTAGTCCTGAAGTCGTCATCCCAGCCATCGACTAGTTCTATGTAAGGGTTGAAGCATTAGATACATGCAAAGAGGCCAGCCGAGAGGAGGAATGAGCAGAGAGAGAGACCAGATGCCAGAGTGCAGTCGATGCGCAGCTTGAAAGGTAATCGATATGCAGCAACTGAAGCGGGGCCAGCCTCGGGGCTCTCTTAGCTTCATGCCACCCTTCAACCAGCTTGCTACTGCGTACTCTTGCAATACACGACGCTCTACTGGTCATTTGTCCAGACAACAGACAGCTTCATCTGCATTTTTCTAAGCGTTTGATTGGTTTTTCTTTTTTTTAAAGATTTAAACTATAGAAAGCAATATAATAACATTCCTTCAATGTTTTTCCTAATGATATGTTTTTTTTCTGCATATTTCTCTATAAATAGCAGGGGGGTACGCAAACTCTTTCGCTTACTTCCTTAAAATTACAAGTTTTTCATGTTAATTTCTTATATTAAGGCTGATCCTCGAGGCTGTATGAGTGTTCAACCCCCACCTGGTCAGTTTCACTTTCTCCTTTCCGTTCTTGCTCCGAAACTTGTAAATCCAAGAAATATTCTTGTTTTTCAACTTCTTTCAAGTTCTGTTTTGTCCATCAAAATATTAATTTTCTCCAATTTATTGAAAATCTTTCTTTCTTAAGGTGGTGGGCGGTTATCCGATGATGTATATAGGAAAATCAGGTAAATTCAATGAACATATTTTCGATATGAGTTATTCATTATAGGGCCGTAGATCAGGGGACCAGCACCTTAACACAATCTGGTTTGCAAGGCTTGAGTGCTAGGATACTTGATAAGTAAGTTAATCTTCAAAATTATTTGAGCTTTTTCTCTCTCCGCAGTTAGTATTTGATTGTTGATAAGCCTTTTCGCATTTTTTTGTATTATTCTCGAGATGTTAAAAGATTGAATATGTTTTCTCGAAGCTGGAGTTCAGCTAATTACCTAATCCAAATCGCATATGCATGACTGATTCAGTTTCTGTTTTGGAATTGTTGAGGGCTATCATGAAAAAATTTTATCTTGTTGGTTACTAATTCAACTCATTTCTATCTTTTTCAGATCAGATTTTCGATCCCAAAACAATCCATCAGAAGTCTATGTTGTTCAATTGGTCGAAATAATCAAAAAACCGGGACAATCGTTAGGATTGTACCTTCGTGAGGGTAATGGTATTGACAAGGGCAATGGCGTATTTGCTAGCCGGTTCGGTGATAATTCTGAACTCGAAAAGTATATATCCGTTGAGCCAGAAGTTTCACACTGTTTTATCTATAGATATGGTGATGTCATCCGACCGGGTGATGAGATCCTTTCGATTAACAACGTTGAAGTGTCAACTATGTCGATTGATGATGTTGTACTTATACTTAGTATACCCCGACGGCTTCTCCTTAGGATTCGGTGAGTAAATAAAGTTGCAAGTAGAAGCTTTGGAATTGGAAAATTAAAATCCTTATGACCTCGTTTACAGATACAATAAAAATCGTAGGGATCAGCAAGCTTGGACTTCCAATCGCCCCTCTATATCAGATCGCCCAGTTGTAGTTTTTCATAAGGTAGTGGTTTGTTTACTATTGTGTGAAATAAAATTGTTAAACGAGTGAAAAGATTGAGAAAAAACAAGAATCTATTGTGTTTCAGTTAGAAGAACGTAATGATTCACAATCTGCTAATAGTTCTCTGCTTGCTCAGCCAATGAACACTGCCAATACATGGTTGGGAAAGAAAGCTCGACAGCAACAACAACAGGTAAGGAAACAGATATTGATTAAGTTTATGCTAATTTTTCCATTGTTATTGATGTTTTTTTATGCCTTTTGATAACATTATATTCAATAATATTCCGTCATAACTCATTCACTCGCTTTCATTTCCGTTTAGTCATTGCCCTAGGGATTATGAAACGGGTGGTAGACATTGCTTTATTAATGATTATTTCTTGGCCTTCAAAAGGCTCAAAATAGTACAAAATACTTAATCTTCTTTTGTTCTTTCTTTTCTTCAAAGTCTGTTCTCTCTTTTCTACCGATCTGAAATTGTCCAACATGAGCACATTAGTGTTCCTAACAGCGATGTAGCAACCGGTCATAATCACTTTCAGTTTGAAAATGAAAACAAATTCTTGGAGTAAAAAGCTTAACGTCGAAATTAGCATAAAATTATATTGTGTAAATTAATTTGAATTCTAACGAAAAACGTTAAGCGATCTTTTGACTTAAGTGAACATCTCAAATTACGAACTCCAATTTATTCATTTTAGCGCAAATTGTGATATTAATTTGGTGAAACATACAACTCGTAGCTCAGAGAGTCTTCTACTCCTCTTCCCTTTCTTCTCTTCATGCTCTTTTCACCCTCTTTCTCTTTTCATGCCTCTTCACATCAATTGGATTGTGTTCCGTGTTGACTTCTTATTAGAATGAACGCCGAAGACGAAGCGAACGGAATCAATTGTGTGAAAACGTAACGAGCTAGGAAAGCAAATCCTTTTTCGGATATGAAAGATGAACAACACAAACTTTGCATGTTTTTATATAAAAAAAAACTAGATAACACAAAGATAAAACTTGTAAAAACCAAAGACGTGAGAGGCCGTAGTAGACGTTGATTGTGCTACTGCCAGTTAGTCGTCAGCTTCGAATCTTTCATTTCCAATAAAGCTAGATGCTGCAGACAGCTCTCTAAATATTGGCAGAGACAAAGTATGAAAGACAACGGCATTATGCAGTTTGTTCCTGCGATTCCTCAACTGCCATTCCCTTTCTTTTGAACGTTTTTCTGCCTGACTGGAGATAACTTTCTCTTAAGTAGTTTGATCGTTCATGAATTTTAGTCCTGAAAATCGCTGTGTCATTGTATGTTTCATATTCTAGTGAGAAACTCCCTTCCAACACCCTTTTTCTACTTAAAGCATCGTAGTCATGGAATGAGAAATAATCAATTCATTGTTGTCACTGTTCTCGCAGAAGTTTATTCGCATGTTTAGACATCTATTAAGAAAGATATATGAATTAATACTTATAGTATATAAATGTATTGGCATTTATAATTTATACATGTATCCCACCCTTAGGAAAGAACGCTTTTTGAAATTAAATGTAAGCTATGAAGAAACTTTCAGTGAAAAAGAGTAAGAGTGGGCGTTGTGGTGTGAATAAGCTAAATAGTAAGTGAAGTTCATGATCAGCCATATGTCACCACAGATTCCAAGATAGGCTGAGAGAAGATTTTCTATTTGCTTTCTCATTATTTTCTCCGATTTCCTTTTCTTGACGCTCAATAAATTTTCAATATTCCTCTTTTTTTCATTTCCAACATTGTTTGTCAATTGAAAGGCTTTTTCTTTACTTTATTCCTTCCTTTTAAAACTAAAATTTTATTTCTCATCATTATCTATTAAAGAGATTTAATTCTGTTCTTCTTCCAGGAAATGTCATCGACTCGAATGGCTCCAACTGTTGTTTCGTCTGCTACTCCTCGTACAATTGGATCATATCAGCCTCGAATGCTCAATGGGAATGCTGGCCAGCCAATGAATCCGAGGTAAGATTATTATAAAATATAGCTAACTTTATTTGTTCATCAATTAGAATTGATAACGCCTACGACTCCTTTGACACAATCGCTCGAACTGCCAGAGTGCCTCCACCTAAAATTTATTCATCATCTACGGTTCGACGAACGGAGAGCTTCAATTCAGCGCCTGGGGTTTTATCCGTATGCTTTTTTCGAATTTTTTTTTCACACGAATCATCTACAGCATGGAGCTTATTCAACAATGCAACGTCCATCTACTGCTGTTTCACCCGGAGAGGATGAACGTATAAAACAACAGCAGAACCTACTTTCACGATCTCTTTGTTCCCCAGTACTTTCTCGTCCTTTGCGAACAATTGATAATAAAAGTAATTCATTACCTAGACGTAGAGCTATATCAGGTAGATCACGCAGAATATAACATATTTCCTTTACTTCAGGACCACGGAACGTTAAATGGAGAACGGACGTTATAGGATCGGATGTGTATGGGGAAGATGATGGAGCAACATCAGCTCCAGAATACTCCCCCAGTCCAGTATTTGGTCATGGTCGACAACCGCGTAAGTTTCAATTTCCTTTTTTGAAAATTAGGTTATTCCGAGTCTGCACAAGATAAGCGATGTAGCACGGAATGTAAATTGAAATGACTTTTTGGGGGCCATTTTTGGAAGAAATTTGATTGAGAAAGGGGGAAATTTTTGAGAACCTCTAACTAAACCCATATATCTCTAGTAAGTAAATACGAATAAATCAGTTATAGATCAATATCAGCGGTCTTTGAGTAGCTGTGGACGAACTGTCAACGAAATCTTCTCTGCAGCTGAGTACCGCAATTGGGCAACTCCAACTGATCCACGAATTCGAGGGAACAGGTAAACAAATTATTGAGAAAAGGACTCATTCATTTCTCCAGATGGTCACATACTTATGGAGAAAACCGAGGGCCTCGCTCATCTTCACTGCCGGGTAGAAATTTGATAACACAGGTATAAATGTATTTTTCGCTGAAAGCATTATGTTCGAGTTTGAAGTCTTTGGTTGGCTCGCCGGTTATTTCTCGCAATGCTGTTGCTCTGCAGCAGCAATTATATCAAGATAGGCCATCTCATACCTTCGATAGGTATCACGTTTCTCCTTTAATGAATAGGTTATTCAAATTTTCATAACTCATTTAAACGTTTTTTTATTCAAGGAGAGCTCCATTACGAACTGCTGGACCAGGGATTAATGTGGATCGATTGAATGTCTCAAGTTTGTCGGGAATTTTATTTGTTCAGGTAAGAGCTGCATTCTGAATTCATCTTTTCCTTATTGGGAACTTTTCAGATAATTGAGGGTAAAGGACTACGAATTCCCGAAAAGGAGAAAGAAAGAACAGAAGAGATGTATTGTGTGTTGGAAGTCAATGACCAACATAGGTAAACTTTGTGTTTTTGTTTAGATTTATAAGACATATTAAATTTATCAGAGCTCGAACTGGAGTAACAAGAGAAATCCAACGTGAAGACCGTTACAGATGGAGGGAAACATTTCACATCGATGTTTATGAGGCGACTATACTTCAATTTTATATTTATTCCTGGCATCCACAATATAGGTTTTTCTTTCCTATTAATTCTTGATGAATACCTTATTCAGACATAAATTATGGTTCCGTGGTTCATTACGTTTGTTAGACAAATTTATAGCCGATCACTTGACGGGTGATCGAATGTTTTCCTTAAATCTGGAGCCTAGAGGTCAAATTCATGTACGTGTCGGATATCATGACTTACCTTCCATTTTCCGAAGAACAGTCAGTCCCAGAATAGACAGGTTAGTAATTTAATTTATGCCATTTTCAAAACTATTTTTACTCATTCATTTAAAAAAACTGTTTTTAGCGTTTTTGGAGTATCTTTGAACAGACTTCTTCAACGAGAAGGAAGAGAAACTCCAATCGTTCTAACGCGTCTCATCCATGAATTAGATCGACGAGGTTTAGATTACGTTGGTCTATATGTTTGTAAGTCAAGATCGTATAGTTTCACAATTACTACTTTTCTATTTGAGTGTGTGGGGCTGTGGAGAAAAAGCAAATGCTCCGAGAAGATCTGGAACGGAATCCCTTGGGTACGGATCTGTCACCAGATTCTATGCCTGATACCAATGTTCTGGCTTGTCTGGTTAAGGTTCGTATATGTCTTTTTCATGAAGCGAAAGAGTATTCTCAGTTATTATTATTTATTATTCCTTTTTTTTCAGGATTTTCTTCGAGAGTTACCAGAACCAATTATTTCTTCACAAATTGAGGGAATGCTCTGTGATGCTTCTGTTGTTGCGCCTCCTAATGATGTTCAAGGGAGTCGTCAACTTATATTCCGGGTTATTGACTGCTTATCTACACAGAATAGGGTATGTTAATTCAAAGTTAACTTGTATATGCGTCTACGTGGCATCTACGTGGGCTAACGTAATCCAAATCTTATTAGTCTTACAATTCATCATTGTCATTTGAGCATTTGTCTTATTGTCAATCAGTTGCTTAACACAGAAAAAAATTAAAGATTAAAAAAATTTTGAAAACTCAATTATTTCTAGAAATGTCTGATGCTTGTATTGGATCACTTAGTTCAAGTTCTTTCAAAGTCTCCTCATAATGGTATGACAGTATTGAAACTTTCAATTGTAAGTGAAATGGTCAAGTATGCTGACACAATATTTCTATTTATAGGTGTTTGGACCTTTACTAATTTGTACATCGGAGAGTCAAACAGCTAACTTACCAACTCAATATGGAATGAACTCGCCAAGCACTGGACTATTACCTTCGCTTGATACAAATCGTGCTGCAAAAGCTATCCAATTACTACTAGAACATTGGCCAAGCAGAGTTAGTGAGTTATTTCCTTATTTCTCCTATCAGTTCTGTGCTTACTATCCTTTTACATATGAATAGTTCTATCTGAGCGAATAGTTAATGTAATATTATTTTCAGACGGCTTCGAAAGCGACAGCGAATCACCAACGTATGCCTTAACTGGTTCAGTCCCAAATAGAATATCTGAGTCCCAGTGTTAATATATCTTCATAATTATAATGTTTCTATAATCAAATTCTTTGAAGAAATTAATTGTGGTTCATGAAATTTGAAGCATCATAAGAGAACATCCTCATTCGAGTGATCGCCTTAGTGCTATTCGTTTCATCTGTGAGGTTGTCTTATCTGAACATTGCAATAGGAACTTTAATATATCTTTTGTGTATTATTTATATAATTTGATTCTTTCGAAATTAGTCGAAATAGATTATTTAGGAATCATATGATGATTTCGCTCCATAAATGCTCAGTTTGTTGTTTCGTTTTTAGCTTATTTCATCCGTTTTATTCGCCAAATTACATTCCAGTCACTATTGTGATATTTCAAAGTTTGTTAAAAAGCCTATTTATTAAGTTTTTCATTATAAAATTTGAAAGATAAATTGTTGTGAATTGTTTGAATGTTACTTCAGAGAACAATTAGTTTTTACGAATCTTTTCACTTTCTATAAGAAGTAATTCATCTCTCTGACTGAACTTCAAGGAGAAAACTCATTCTCGACCGTTAAAAGGGTAATGAAGGATGAAAGAGAATGATATCAGAAGATTCACTTTTAATATTTCCAAATTACGAAATTAAGATTTTGAGATTCTTTCATTTCACTTTTTGTGATCATTGTTGGTTTGACGTCATTATTCTTCTTCATTTTCTTGATAGCCGTCATCTCTGAATCTAAAGTCTTCTCCGAGATCTGATTTTCTGTCAAACGTCGAAAGAGTTTGCTATCACGCCTACTGAATTTGATCTGTTGTGGAGAATTGTCTAATTTGGTTGGTATACTCGATAATCTGAGGCAATCACCGAAGCATAAGGCTTCCTTGAGTTATGACATGAATATGATGAAGCTATACAAGGAGGAGTCTATCGAGAAAATAAGAAAGAAGTGAAATTATTTGTTGTGAAGTAATGAAATTGGATAACGAACACGGAAAAGGATAAAACAGGAAAATACAGATACTATGTGGAGAGAGTGAGAGAATGGAGGAAAGATTTTCAGAAAGAAATTCGTCTGGGTTAGATGGGAATTGGGACACTCTGCGGGCACGGAATCGAATCGAAAATCTATCAACGGGAAAAAGTCCTTAGATGGAGTTGGAATTAAAATTTCTCGAGAAAATTTAATAATTTCACTTTTATCACATATAAATGATGTTGGGAAACAGGGACGTTACTTCTATCAGCCAAACGTGATGGAGGATATAACCGGAAGCCATTCAGAAGCAAAATATTTTCACAACGTGTTCAGTTGTTTTTAAGTAACGGTCAATCATCAAACATGGAGCTAAACGGTAGAAAGATGTGGAATACGTCATAAGAGAAGTCAGAGGTTGGGAAAGAAAAAAGAGTGAGATAGAGAGAGAGAGATAGAGAAATGAATTGAAAGATAGAGACAGAGGCGGCCCATCACCAAATCCTCCCCTTCTTGTACCAACCGTTGTTTCGTCTTGCAACCAAATTCATCGTTTCAACTTCTTGTTCTTGATCTTCATTATCCAAACCATTCTCTCACCTCTTCTGTTCACTTTTTTCAAATCTTTTGTCCTAACTTTCAGTGAATAATAGTTGTTCTACACGAAACTCAATAGAAGACGTCTTCTCGAGTTCGCAAATGTTTTGAAGGAAGTATGCTACGTGGGTAGTTAACAAAATTTTCAAAGAACTGTTCCTCGTTCGTTTAATCGTGTTTCTTCTACACTTACAGTCCGTTTTGTAAAAAGCTCAGTACAGTCACCTGCTTCTATAGTTGATATATGTATGTATTTCAAAAAATTAAAGCTGAAACGATATAAAATCAATTATTTTAACACATCTGCTGTTGTATGGGTCGATATGTGCCAGCAATGACCTTGTGCCTTCTGAATGTCCACTTGGTTGCCCCGGTTCCATACTAAGAATTCCGAACCGTCTATCCCATAGTTAGTCAGTTGACTATGGAAATTAGACAAATTGAGAAGTTAAACAGTCAAACAATCAAGAAAAAGCTTGAATTCTTGAGCTTTTACTATTTTTTTCCTGCTTTTTCTATTTCAATCCGGCTTTGCATCCTTCGTTTTTGACATCAGAAACTTGACTTTTGTCTCATTTCGCGTCCTCGGCGTTCAACGTCAATCACACGTTGCATATCGTCGTTTAAGGCAATGAAAGCTTGGAGAAGTGACCGTTTGACCTACTGACGTTCATCAAAAAGCCAGATGAGGTTTGTGTGAACGACGTGAATTTCCATTATCTGCGTAATCCGTCTTTCTCGTAGAAGATCTTGTTTCCTTTCATTAAAACACAATATTTGTTATTCGGTCAACAGTAATTTTACATTTATGCCCTTTTCTTTTGCTTTTTCCATATTTAAAACGTTTCGTTTGTACGAAAATCCGTTTGGATAATCGTTCAAATGATCAGATATCACCGACTGACCCTTCTGCGTTTCTTCTTATCTCATTTCCATTAACATTACTTTTCTGTTCATTGAAAAAAAAAAGAAAAGAAAGATACCTTTGAATGTTACCCTCTTCACATACTGTTCCTCAGAATCTCGCCTTCTTCATCAAACTTCATAGCAGATCAAAAAAATACTGTTTTTGTTGTTGTTGTAAATATTTGAAATTAATTTCTTTTCAGCCAATTGCGCTATCGGCTGAACTTCAATTAGCCTGCAACCTTGTTTTTCCTTCAACAATCTTTCTTTGAATTTGCTCATAAAATTTGTTTTAACAACATCCAAAAACCGACATATCATCATGAAAAAGTGCTTCCAACTCCGTTTCTCATCAAATATGATCAGAAACTCGTCTTCTATTTTTACTATTCAGATGAATATCACAAAAACTTGCTTCCACTTTGCTTTTTATAAGAAAAAAGTAAAAAAAGAACGTTTTTCAATCGTTTATCTTGTCTTAACTAGAATTTTGTTTTTATTTTAGCTGCAAACCAACCGTATCATAACGTCTTTAATGCCAAAATAACATTTTTCACGTTTCTCCCCACGTATAATATGCTAATTAGCTTTTATAAAACTATATATGTGTTGAAATGGTTTGAATGTTTGTGAACAGGTCAGTTGCAAATCCTCGTTTAAAATTTTGTTTTTGTAAACTTCCTCTCTCAATTTTAGCACAATTTTTGATTTTTTCATCTGAAAATCCTAAATAAACATTCAACAACATCACATATAACCTTGTCCTCATAAAATATTTCCAATTACTCGGCCACATTGCTTTTATTAAACTTTTTGGAATAAAAAGAAAGAGAAAAATTTTTTTTTGCTGTATTGTACTTTAGAAATTTAAAAGTTAAAAGAAAAAATTGTAAGCCAATGGTTGAATTGGATTAGAATTTCTATAACAACGAATCCTGACCCCAGTCTGTTGTCCTTTCATAATAACCATCCCCAAGTAGTCCAAGGTTTCTGCCTCTCCCTCACTCCCTCTTAGATTACCCTCTTTATACCATATATACTACTTTTACTATTTCTCTGTTTCTTTTATTCACAACTGTTCCACAACCTCTCTATCCTTTTTCTTTTTTTCTTTTCATAACTGTTCGCATAGGTTGGGAGATCAATTCTCTATTTGGGTACTACAGTCTAGTCGATCGTCGGATACATCATTTGGATATATTCAATCAGGGTTATAACCTACATGATATTCTCAGTTTTTTACGTAAAACATCTGACCGCAATGTATTTTCGAGAAATTATAAGCTGAGATGAATTCATTGGTGAAAAAACATGAATCATCCTTTTCGGAAGTTACAACTTTTACTTTATCTCTCTCTCTCGCGCTGTCTTTTCGTCTATGTTATCATTTTGTTTAATTTCCTCGTTTCATCTTTTCTACTCTCAAAAATGAACTGGTTTGTCGATTTGAATTCACATCCAGATATACATACATACATCGACCTCCTTCTGGCACTTATCCAGGCTTTTTCATCCACTTCAGCATATCCTCATTTTTTATAGACGCTATAAATGATTAAAGAAATTTCAAATGAAAACAAATGAACTTATTGAATTATGTTCCTCAACCCTGGCCCATGTCTTGGTGAGAGTTTTCAGTTCAAAATCGGAGATCTCATTTATCTCTTCATCTTTCTCCTCGTATCAATATTATTTCTTTTAAATCAAATAGATTAAAAAATAAAAACAGCCGAGATTTTCAAAAGCCGAGATTTATGTAAGTCTTCTCTCTGATGTTCTTCATCATCATCATCAACCTTAACATTTATCTTTAAAAGAATAGTATTTTAACATTACTCCGGTTAGTATCTCGTCCTCTCTACTCATCGACAGTTTGAACTATTGAGCAAGGTTGTAGTTAGCTCAATTAGCTGATGAATCATTTCCTTGTTCGCCATTCAGTCTTTTTCCAAATGAACGATCTTTCGAGCTGACCATTTTTCTTTTGTACTTCCTGATTTGCGTGACTCTCCCAAGATTCTAATTAGTTTCAGTTGCTATATTTAAGTTTTTCCGTATTTCAAGAAAATCATGAATGAGAAGTAAGAACTTGAATGAAAAAATTGAGACAAGAGCAGTTTCACTTCTGGCAGAAGATTTCCACATTTTTATTGAACAATCTGAATTTTTCTTCTGCTTATTCATGCAACGCATTGGCCGTTGCTTCAATATCGTTTTCTTCCTCTCATCATCGAGACCATTATTATCTTTCTTTCTCCTTCTTCTTCATTTGACGTCGAGTTTCTCTGTCGGATAGATAGATTCTCATCTAATCAAGACAAGAAATCACTCGAACTTTTCGGATGAATATCATACACTATGGCCAATAATATTTACGAGCATAATCATTGATAACTTTTCAAATGAAACGATTGAAATATATTATGAAAAGTGTGCACCCCTAGTAACTCTATACAAAGGTAAAACAGAACAAACCAGGATATCGACAGTTATGGCATCAACCTTTCGAACTTGATTTTCACATCACTTCTTAATAAATGTCCTTAAACTGAAATATTTGACCTGTGAATAGCGATCATGACAGATTGACTTATAATTCTTGTACTTTCTTATATCATATTTCTTCATTAGCATGCGAATGATGGTCTTGAATTTTCGAAATTATTGTAACTTTGAAAGAATTTTATAAATTCTTTCGAAGTGCAATAACCTGAGACACGTATGCCTGTTACAGCTTGAGTAGTACCGTTCAACAAGATCGTATCAAGTTATTACTGGCTTCTTCAATGATTCAAATGCAAGTATACATTGTCGTTTTCTCTTTTTTTCTCAGCACACTCGTTTAACATTGTTCTCGATTAAATGATGAACACCGTTTTTCCATTTTATTTCTCATTTCATCTGATACGGTCCATGAAATCCATCAAATCTGGTTTCATTACATTCCTTCGGGAGTAGTTTATGAAAAGCTTGGAATCGTTCATCACCTTATCTAATGATTTCTGAATTATTTTTCTTTTTGAAATTCAGTCTTCTTTAAATAGATTTCAAATTATTTTCGTCTTGCGAACATCAACCTTCTTATTTCTTTCAAAATTTGTTTTATGACTCTTAGGTGTATTTATAGAACTGTCTTTTACATAATTAATTTTTAGTTCATAATACTATCAGTCAGAGATGTGCGATCATCTCTTGTGATAACATGAAAACATGAGACATCCTTGTCTCAACAGCAAAACACACGTTTTTTACGTGGTGGCTTGCGGACTCAACTTTCTTTATTATCTTGCTGATCGTAACAAAGAACGGTTGTGTTCTCTTCTCCTCCTCATCTCTCCTATCTGACAGTTTCCAATTATCTGTTGTACCTTGAATAGATATCATAGAGCTTATCCTATACAAGCTTTCAAGAGAGTAATTCATTCTGAATCGTTTTACTACATGAAAGCCTTTCCATTATTCGCTAAATGATTTCTTGAAGCGATAGTTGCTCTTAATGGTTTCAATCACAAAAGGACTTTGGCTTTCTATTGAATCACCTTGGTCTTCTGTCTCATATTCTATTCGTTTTCAGTATTTTGAAGTAGACAAGTGATGTGAGAACTTGCTTTTATTATTTGTTTCAATCATGATTTCCGTTATCTTCGAGTAATCTAATCTTACTTCTCCATGCTCCACCTTTCTTTCTTTTCTTCTCTATTTCTTGTGAAAAGTAACTTTCTCCTTACTTGATATTTGTACTTTTTATCGAAACAGACCACCCAACATTCACGTATTTATATTGGTCCGAATGTCTTTTTCTACCGTATATTTTCTCTTTTACTTGTTCTTTCTCTCAAGATCATCTTTCAAGTTATCATTGGCGTTGTTGCAAATTCTATTGGAACTGTTATGATTATAAACGTCCAAGTGCACACATCGCTCTTATGCATATGTTCTTTCCATTACCTCTCCTTCATTATTTTGCAAAACTTTCATTCGCTAAGGGAACTACAGGCATCTATGATTGGTTTCATGTTTTGTATACAAAAAAAAGGGGAAATAATCAAGAACATCTTGTATTTTCCAATCAGAAGACTAAGAAAAGCCGTATACGTTGGATTTTTCAATTTTTCTGCGTTTTGACATTTCGATGCCTTTTTTTGTGTTATCAAAAACAAAGGGTCCAAACCAAAGAAGAAATAGTTCATTCGTCAAACCCGTTCATGATTTTGTCGAAGGATGATTTGGCAGAATGAAGAATACAATCTGTGACGATGAAAACTTCTGGAGTACCTTAGAACAAACCGAACTGTGAACAAATGAAGCTCTTTAATACAAATATACTTCTTTCTTCTTATTAATTCATATATTTTATTCAACTGTTTACGTAGCGTTTGTGACTGAGACGAAGACGTCCACAGACGTGCGTCCTGTCCTTTTGCTTCAACCGGCTTCTGGAGGCTGAAATCATGTATGTATGTACATACTATTTAGGCATACATATTAGTAACTCTCACACATTAAACGCATGAAGAGCTATAGACATGTGTATCAGCCGCCTTGATATTCTATTACAAACCAATAAAAACTTTTCCAGCTTGATTGCTGTATCTTGTTTTGTCTTAGCAACTTATGCTATCCTAAAGCGCTACAAGCTTACTACTTATCATCTTAATAACACAGTGTATCAACTTGTGGGCTTTCTTAAACGCCAAGATATCATTACAGTTATGAGAAAGATGAGAAACACATTAATCAACTTTTTCTTTCTCTTCAGCCGTGTTCCAAACTTCTTCTTCCTACCATAGTAGACTAGACACGTCTCTATGTGTTTCGAATTCATCTTTTTGCTTATTTTTGTGATTAATCTTCTTTTAGTCTCAAGTTCAGCATATTTATAAGCAAAACTTGTTATGGAAATTTCTGTCTTAACAGTTTTATGTTACTGATAATACAAGGAATAACTCATCGCTCATTCTCTGACTATACTGTTTGCAACGTCTTCTTTCTTTGTCTTTTCAAAACTTCGTTTAATATAAACGTTGAAAGAAAAAAAGGGAAAGAAGGCGAATGAAAAGCCTTGTTTGTTATGGAAGAAAAAACTGGTTGATTAGTACTATACTTGATTCTCTATCTAATCTTAACAATCAGTCTCATCATTTCCTACTTTGAATGGCTTCAGTTATTCCGCGCTCGTACATCCTCTCACTTGCTATCCAAGAATTATTCTGATTAAGCATAATACTACTCCTTTTCAGATCTATGGGCTCTTGGCTTTTAGGCCTCCTCATACTTCTGCCCCTAGCATCATGTACTCTAGAATGGTTTGATGAAGATTTGATTTTTTCCTTTATAAACAAATCTCAAACACTCGATGTTACTGATGAATGTCGAGTCAGTTTGAGCCGGGTAAGTAATGAACTTCTCAGTTTAGTTTTGTAAATTCCATGTTATAGGTCGAATCTTATCTGAAGGATCAAGCTACTCTTGAATCTCAACGTATTTTCTTCTCTGAATCCTTTGGTAAAGGGCCATCAAACCTCTTCCTCTCCCGGGATCAAGACCGATGGATTTACAAAGGCTATGAATGTCTTTTGGCAGCAGGAGAAACGATTTACTCAAAAAGTGAACATCCCATGCACTACTGTTATACTTATGATGATGACGATGAGCATGAGTTGAAAAGACAGAGTAAACAATCAGCTTTGTCAGTTTGCATCCCAACTCCATGCGCTAGTGATAATCCAAAGGTATCATAATCCAACTGTATGTTCATGTTACATTTTCATTTCAGCTTCTGAGAGAATGGAGACGTCTCATAGCCCCCAAAGAAGATAATCTCCCTCTCCCAGAGACAACTTGCACAAAATCGAGACATGAGAAACAATGGTATTATATTTGCTATTTTTTATTCGTTCATCTTTTTTTTGAAGGTTTGAGAAATTTGTACCTGTGGCTGACTTAGCTTTCAACTTGCTACTTCTCATGCTTGTAATCATGGCCACCATATTCCATCATATGCGAGGGGAACAAGTCAAGTATGTTGCTGAAACCATTTTATTTATTGCTTCTGTTTTCATTATAGATCTTTTTCTGCACAAGTAATGATGGCTTTTTCATTAAAAAGAAACTTGAAGAAGCTTACAAGTTTACCAAAAGATCCACAATCTTGCATTACTTGTCTGTGTGGAATTCGTGTTTTGTCAATGATTTGGACGCTGGCTGGTCATTCATTCATTTTCGTTCAAGTAAACTACTCGGTGCTACAATGATAAGCATAACATATGTACCTTTAGGCATATCTGGAGAATGTTCAAGATTACAAAGACGATTTAGTAGATAACTTTGGAAACCAATGGATCACTAACTTCACCTTATCCGTTGACACCTTCTTGGTTCTTGGTGGAACAGTGTTATCTTATAGTTGGTTCCGAAAATGGCTTAAGAACACAACAGGTTTGAGAAAAAACAACCTGGGCTATTGCTTTAATGCTAGGTGATGTTACAGAATCTGAACCTACATGGACATCATGGGGTTATTGGCTTCGATTCTATCGTCATCGTATCGTTCGTCTTTGGCCAGCTTATTTATACACGATCATGTGTGTAACGCTGCGCATTTCGGTGAGCAAGATATTACTTTATTCAAATATGCAATATTTATTTTAATAGGTTACTCATTTCCACCCAATGTGGCCACCTACCGATCCAGGTGTTCAATGCCCAAAGCATTGGTATGAGAATGTGCTTTTCATCAATTCTCTGTTCAACAACCGTTGTATGCCCTGGACGTGGTACATCGGCACAGAATTCATCTTCTACATTGTTTCTCCTGTTTTCTTACTTCTCCTTCGACAACGTCCAAACGTTGGATGGGTACGTTCATTCCATCAACAATGGCTTCTTCATTCACCTCACACAAACTACTGTTCTCTGTTCCATTACTAGATGAAATGAAAGAGGGAACGGTTGTGCATCAATATGTCTGAATATTACATTTCTAAATAACTGTTTTCAGTTCGTATGTGTTGGAACAATTGCCGCATCAGCAGGATTGAACACTTTGAAAATTGTAGAACGAAACTTCCCACCAACTCAATTCCTCTGGAAACAACCAGAAATCTTCAACCCCAACTTCATCCAAGTATGTACTATTTGCACCACTGTTAATCCATTACATTTTTTAGCATCATATTGAACTTTACATAAAGCCACAATATCGCATTGGACCTTACATCGTTGGCATTCTTTTAGGATACTATCTTGCAAGATATCAGAGACAGCCAGTGAAGCTCCCAAGAAGCAAGCAGTTCATTGGTAGTTCATTGTGACAATTAACCAATCATAATAATTTTTTCAGTCGTTGGATGGATAGTAGGCTTATCATGCTTCTTCTGGGGAATGTATGGCTTGTACCCCGCTCTTCAAGGATGGGATTGGCCAATCTACCACTTGATCTATGGATCAATTCATAGGTATATGGAAAATTTGAACACAATCTCATAAGACTGACCATTTCAGAGATGTCTTCGCTGTTGGAGTTAGTTGGATAATTTATGCTTGTCACACAGATCTTGGTGGATGGCTCAACTATCTCTTGAGTGCTAAGCCTTTGTTACCGTTGTCAAATCTCTGTTACTCCGTAAGTTCCAAACAAAAGAAAATATTTGTAATTATAATTTGTAGGCCTATCTTTTCCACATGATTCCTGTTGTTTTAACGTATCTTTTGGCTCCTTTCCCTTTCTGGTATAGTACGAAGTGGTCTATCGTGGTATGTTCACACTTTGATCACTGTTTATTCATTTTCTAATTCAGGCTCACTGTGTCGTGCAGCTAGCTATATCTTATCTGTTTGCCATGATCTGCACAATGACTGTAGAATATCCAGCATTGAATATTGAACGAATACTTCTTGCACCTCGACCTAAGACAACACTGAAGCCAGTGGTAACGGCAGAAGCTGATGAACAGCTCAAGCCTCAATGAATTGAAGTTCGTCGTCCTTATCTCAAATAGTTCTCCTTGTTATGAACAGACATTCGGGTATTCTGTTAAGGGCTATCCTTACTTCAAGCTATCATATGAAACATTAAAAATAAACCAACGGAGACAGTCCTTATATGTTTCCTCTAATTTTTGATGATTATGATGAGCTTTGAAGCTCTTTTCCACCTCCTTCATCCATCTGTGATTACCGATTAATTTAAGCATTTTAGAAATGATATAAACGATAATTACTTCATAATTTGAATTATTGTTGAAACATTTAACTACCCAAAATAGCTTTATTTCTCTTATCTATTACTTTGTCTTTGATTCTTCCAAAACAACAAATCGTTTTTAGATGTGTCAGGACTACTTCCAACAATGTTTTATTAGAGTTGTTCTTAACTTTCCCCAACAAATTGTATTGATTTATAGATATTTTTAATAATATTTTTTATTTTTATTTTTTTATTAATATAACAACAACTAGATTTCATTCATAAACGAGATGATTGATCACGAGTTCGTACAAGAACTTCTTGTGCACAAGTTAAGACTAGAACTCCGTTTTCAGTCCATAAACGGCCATATGACATTCCTCGACTGCCACCTGAGAATGTAGATATTGAATTTGATGTTGAATTAAAAAAGAAATTACGAGCTACTGGTGAAGTACATTCAAACAAGAGCCATTCATCGGCTCGGAAATTGAAATGATGAAGCCAAACATTATGATCCAAAGAGAATATTAGAGATGGCATAAAGTTGTTCCTTCAAAGTTTCATTTATAAGTTATTTCTTCAAGTTTTCACTAACTGGTAATGAGGATGATAAACGCAACTTGCAATTGTATCAGTGTTATAACAAACCAAATATCTATCAAGAGAAAGGTATAACTATAATTAACACATAGCATACCTGTGTAACTTTTCGCAGTCTGAAGTCAAATCTCCTTTGCTTCTAAACCATGTATAGAAGGTTCTTGATACATCATCACTATATGCAAAATACTTTCCTAAATCACATGGTCTGGCCTGGAAAACCAACAGATTTGATGAGAAAACTTAAAAAGGACAAATACTTCAAACAAGGTCTTAGAATAATCCGTTGCTTTATCATAATTGCGTAATCTTCTATCTATGACGGCTTGCACTACTTTTTCTCCTGAATTATCATTGAACTGAGAAATGATTTCACATCAACCTGAATCAACTTTTTCAGTCAGCCATGGTACAGCTTCTGCTATAGTCATCAAAGATGACCAATGAGGTACTTCCGGCATTTTATCTTGATGAGTGATTGTATCATCTTCAATCTAAACTGGAGCTATTTCCATCCTCTAGGCTTTGAACTTACAACTTGGAACGAAGCTTGAAGTGTAAAACAAAGCTTGTCATCTTGAACAGCTTCTACTAAACGAGTTGCAAACGAACGTCCATCACGCAAGCGTCGAACGCAATACTGCAGAGGGGTTTGAGGGTTTACTAAAAAAAACAATAAAGCAAGAAAACGAACAGAAACGAACCAGCATTTATGAAGAAGGAATGTAATCCGTGAGGTTTCAGTTTTTCGTCTACAGTTTTTTCAGCTGCTGCAACAGCCTCACAACATTACGTATATGATTTCAAAAAATGGCGAAAAGAAACCTGGGAAAATATGAGACCACCATAAGCTGATACCGCATTTCTGCTTCCAGTGGTTAATAAGCTAGTTCTGATCAAAAATGGGAGATGAGAAAGATATGAGTTAAAGATTTTTACTTGAAAACATTTGGTTCTACCTCATCGAATTCGAAAAGAGCTTTGGCTCTCTCTTGAAAATTTTCTTGAGGTGTGAAAGTTGACGCCATTCTCTTGCTGTTCTTCGATTTGGGCCCTAAGCATAGACAATAACAAAAAAGATTAGTTTAAATTTGAAAAATTAGTTTAAAGATGTTCTAGCACACGAAAATTGGAAACGAAATTTCATCTTTGCCAACTAAAAACCTCAAAAACAACTAAAAAAATAGAAAGTTTGAGAGAAAAATGCTAAGATGTTGTAGCCAATGAGTATGTGTGTTCTGGCTTATCAGAATAGAACTGATAACATATATATCAACGTTATTTTCTTCATAAACTTTTCGAGCCACTGTTATAGTTCAAGTCATTTTCATAAAATACATTAAAATGATGACAAACTAACAAAACAACACTGTAGTCCGTTGATGATTGATTCCTGTTCTGATAATTTTAGTGAAAATGCTAACTGACATCATCAATTTTTCATTTTTTATGGATAAAATCTGTAAAGGTCCTCTCTTTTAGAATTTAAGAATGAATGAAAACAATTCAGTTGCTTATATGTGAAGAAAACAAATATCATTTAAGCAGTAAAAGCATACACTGGACGGGCTTGCTGTGTCAACTCGATCAGATGGACTTTGTACTTTGGAGACACAGATATTCTCTTTGGAGCACGATACAAGAGGCTCTACTTTGGTCGAATCTGAAAATAAAACAGTTCAAGAAAGCATAAGCATATCAGGAATGCAGCTTATGACGCGTTGTATCCAAATGATGTTTTCAGTTCAAAGATAAAACGTAATGATGACGTGATTCACGTGATCGAATTATTCTAATTTTATCTTACTTCAGACGAATGGATGGTTGAGATGGAATGCGTAACATCCTTGAACTCAATCATTTAACTTTCTTCATTGTAGATTCTGCTTTCAATAACGCAGAAGAAACGTGTCATCAAATCTCTTGGAAGAGTAAATTCAGGATGTATGTACATATACAGGAGAAACATTCCATTCTCATCCGCTGATCGTTTAAAGTCCTTTTGAAAGCCACCAGCTGTTGATTGACCATTTTTGTTCCTTCTTGTAATCAAGAAGAAACAGATTGCTACCTTCTTTGGCCAACAGGCAGTCGTTCCACAGTTTTTTTTCCCATTCACCCTGCAGTGTTTTCACCCCTATGTTCAGATCCATTTTATAAATGCCTCATATCTTCCATCTGTTTGATGAACATCTTAGTTCATTTCTCTCTACTACAGTTCCTTCGTCGTTATTAATCAGAGAACTAAAGAATAAATAAAATACATTTTTTTTATTTCCAAAAGAAGATTTTATATGTTCAAAAGTTAAAAGAGAAGGGTCGCGCGTAAACGAGTTCCTTCATATCAAAACTTGGCGATTAAATCAATTTATTTAACCCAAACAACTTCAAGAATGAATTTTAACTTAAAATTTTGTTAGAAATCTATTTTTCTTTTGTTTCACGTAGTGATTCGATAATTTCAGAACCAGCAAATGCTTAAATTCTTAACTTTTTTTGCTTTTGTTCAAATCGTGCTATCTACTGCTCCTGGGACCAATGGAGACATTTCGAATCCCGTTATTAAAAAGGATTTAGAAAATGAAGCAAAAGTTTGTTGATGCTTGGTTTCTTTCTGCCTGGTACCACGCCTCGCCTTATTCCAGATTTATCTCTCTCGTTTTGGTTATTTAGCTCCTAAGAAAGATGAGAAAGGAGAGTATGCTGAACCATCAACTGAAGATATGGAGGAAGGCTTAAAGTATTCATTCTGTTCTGAAGTATGGGAGTCATCAACCTTCATTCCAGAAAGTTTCAAAAATCTTTTCTGTTCTATTCGTCAGGAATGATTGATGTACCAACTCAAGCGAAGTTCTCCGAGTATCGATGTGCAAATCGAGATATGTTCAAGGGCAATCGGTTGAAAAGTTCGTTGGCTCATCAAAATACTGTAGAAATAAGTTTTGAGATCTTCCAAAATCGGAGCTATGGAACAAGAAAGTTCTTCTCTGGAATATAACTTCATATCCATCAGCATTAAGTCAAGCAGACACAAGGTTTTGTGTTTTGCTAGTGTGTATGAAAATAATTTTTCAGAGAAGCTTGTGAAGAAGCTTTTGAAAAATGGCATAAAGTTACAGGCATCAAGTTCATTCAAGTTGTTGACTCCAAAAGTGCTGACATTGTCATAAGTTTCCAAGAAATACCTGATTCATTCATGAATGGTCTATAACTCTCTTTATCTAATAAGGTTTCAAAATACTTTCCTTTGTAGTAGCAGCAGCTGCTTCAAAACCTAAAGATGGATTGATCATGTTTGATAAGAACCGACTTTGGGGATATAGAAAACATATTCCGGTGAAACTGTCAGTTTAGAGATTGTAACTGAAATTCTATTCTAGACAGGAATTTCATTGTTCCACTCACTTCTGCATGAGATTGGACATTCATTAGGACTTCATCATTCATTCTACAGAGGGTGAAAAGTTTTTTTTAGACTTCTTCTAATGTTCTCATCTCAGATCGATCATGTTTCCTATTTTCAAACCAGCTCTTGTTCCTTTTGGAACTCTTGATGACGTTCCCACCATAGATCGTATCAAGTATCGTCATCTATATGGTACAGTCACTTTTTTCATCTCAGAAGCACTTTTCTGTTTTTTTTCACAAAAACAAAGACTAGGGAGGAAGAACGAACAAAAAAATCTTACAACCGCTCAACGCGCTCTTCGAATTGAAAATAATAACGAAACTTCCACGTGAGATCTGCGCAATGATTCACGTGATATGTTCACTTCTTCTCTTCTAAAAAGTTCATTCAAAATTGAAAATGTTAAAATGTTAGCTGAGTTGGAGAGCACATAGAACAAGGAAAATTGATTTCTTAAACCAATCACTTGGTTGATGTCTCACCCACGTGAGGTCTGAGAAGAGCTGCTGTTTGTCCTTTGATTTCTCACATCACTTTCTCAATTAAATGATTGAAGCTGGGTGTTGCTCAATAGGTTTTGCTCTACATTCTTCCAATGTTTTTTTAAGTTTCAACAAATTCTATCTCTCATTTCTTTGTGAAGTTTGAAAATATATTTGCTTCAAGCAACACATTTCCTGAGAGGCCAATTCATTTTCTGCACTCAACAATAGATCTTTAGACTAAACATGATATTATACGTTTTATTACTTGTTATCACATCCGGTATGTTCTGCTTCAATTCCTTTTTGTTTGAGTGAAAAATAACTTCTCTAATGGTCTGACCACTCATACTTTACTTATGTTCATTGTTTAAGGAGTATCTCAGGATATCGACAACGAAATATCTCCTGTTGATACCAAAACGACAAAATGCATTTCTTTAGCTGATTCAGTTTCAGCTGGTAGGATCAACCTGGAGTATACTTTCACTTATTCAGATGAATTTCAGTTTCACCATCTGAATGGTTACTCTTCAGAGGCAGTAAGGTTTATAACATCAATGAGAAGAAATTAGATGTGAAAGGACGAAATATTCAAGATGTATCCATTATATAATAGTAAGGAAAGATTTGTATGCTTTCAGGTATTCCCAAAGGGACCCGAGTTTGTGAACGCCACGGTTTCTACCAACGGGCTTTTCTTCATTTTCACAGAGCGCACCATCTATGGATATGAGTTTGACGGTGTTACATTTACGTTGAGACTGGTATTAACAACTGTTTATAATAGGATACGATTTCAGAGAGGCAAGAGATTTCCCAAGAGAGCTACATGAACGCGTTCTCTTCTATCCTCAGGGAGCTTTCCCAATGAACAATGGTAGCGTAATACTTATGTCTGTAAGTAATTATAGAACACAGCAAAATGAAAAATTAATAAACTTCAGGGAAATGTGTTTGCAACATATGATGTTATGGAGAATGCTCCATCATTCTTGAATGATAAAAACCGCTTTTTCCCTCATCTACCGGAAGACTTGAGATCTGGAATTCCAAAAGACAGTAGCTTTGCTTCCTACTGGATGTTTGATGAATCCACTGTAAGTTCTTCATATTTGAATATGAACAAATCACATTGCAGGTCACTCACTATGATATGATTGAAAAACAATCGACACAGGTTGAATCTCTTCCTGAATTTTTCAAATGTTCTGAATAAGTCTGGTTGACATGGAAAACGACTTAAAATTGTATAAAATTTGAATAATTTAATAAAACGTTTACACATTCTTTCGTTGCATCTCATACGTATCGAGGCGTCTGATTTCATGAATAATTGAAGTACAAAGTCAAACATTTTTCTGAAGAGTGGTCAAGAGCAAACTAGTGAACATGTTTTTTTCATCTTACTAACTGTACTCAGTTATATAGACAGATATATACATTATGATTAAAACAAAGATAGTGAGCCGATCAGCCTCGAGGTAATGAAACGACGTTGGTGGTTGTTAATTCACCTGTTTTTTGAAGAGAATCTCGAGTTGTCTGTGTCACTGTTTTCAGTCGACGTACATTCTCTGGAAAGCCAATCTTCAGTTTGATTCTATATACTCAAAACTTACTACGGGGAAATGTGACAATGAAACGTTTGAAAGAATCTTTATAAGGTTTCGTGGCGGTTAAAAGAACAACATGACTGATCGTACTATGTTGAGCAATGATGAGCATCATTACTCGAGTGAGTTCTTATAAATTGATAAGGTTAATAATTAGAAGATGTTATTACCTGATAGCTCAATGCTTAGAACGAAGCAGACTAAGCAACCTAAGCCTGGAACAATCACAATCAAACAGACAAGTGTCGTCTTCAAATGAAAAATTGATAATTCGGACAATAATGCGGAGTAATACCTGGATGAGAAGTGCATACAGAAGCATCTTGTTCGTTTCTCGTGACTGTTTGGAAAACCTTATGAGACTGTGTCTCCAGTAACTCCAACTTATCTTCCATAAGCCCAGCAGTAATGATATAGCTATTAAAACAGCTAGAAAAGCTAAGAAGAAGATAACTTCCTTCTGATCCATGTTAAACACAGACACGGTATTTGACTTGAAAAAATCGGTGAGACAAACATTTTGCTGCTGGAAAACAAAAATAAAAAATAAATGAAAACAGTAAAAGAAACAGACGGAAAATGTGATGAATTTGGAATGAGCCTGGTTGGCTGGAAAAGCAAGAAGACAAATACAGCTTGTCCATAAACTTCCTCCAATGTAAATCACAAAATACAATCTTGCTTCGAAAACTCTGAACTTTGATAAGAAATGGTTATCAGGCAGGATTCGCAATAAAATATAATATAACATGTGAATATAAGTTGATAACATAACTAAAAAAAAGATCATTTTGTTCAAATGATAGCAAACTAGATGCTTCTATTACTAAATAAGGTTGTTCCCATTATAATAACGCCTGAACGTCCAGACAATATATATTTCAGAACTCCCAATTGATCGAAGCCATAAATTTTGAGAATCACATCAAAACAGGTCAGGAATGCATGTCCCGTTTCAAATAATTGGCACCTTCAAGTATTATAATAATCAAATTTGAATAAGAAGCTTGTTTGATTTCTTTTAAAAACTAAAAATTCAGATTCGAACCAGATAATATGGTTGAGGATGATTAGTCGATAGTACTTCAGGGAAGTTGGTGATTGAAATAAGAGCATATAAATAGTGAAAGTAAAAGTTATAATTGATATGATAAATGATAAGAACATCAATTCCTTATATATATTAGGATCTGATCGTTCATAGATTATACATGAACTCTGCACCACATCCGTCGCAGACATCTAAACTCAAAAACTTAAAGATCAAGTAAGAAATGATAAAAAACAATTGAGTAGTCAGCAAGTAAATGAAGCAAGCTGGGAAATGAAGATTGGGGAATTCAAAGTTAGCATGACTTAGCCGTGTTATGAATTTGAATAGAAGCTTAAGGCTGTTGATAGCTGAATGAAAAGAACAGAAAAGCCTAACTGATACAGAAGACAATCATTCAGTGAGTAAGGTTGTTAGAGAAAACAATTAAAGTGAAATAATAATTTCGAATAATTTAACACAACCGCTCCTAGCGAACACAATGATTGAAATGAAGAAGAGGTTATGATGTATGCAAATCAGACTTGTTTTATATGAACGAGTAAAAGCACAACTAATAACAACATGATTCAGATGAAAAGAGAAAGACTGAAAACAGTCTCACAACACATTCGTTCTCAATATTATTTCGACATTTCCTAGTTCACTTTGTTAAAAATTATCAGAAATGAGCATTGCTGATACAATGCGAAATTTCACGTTTTGAATGAACAAAAAGGGGGGGGGGAACTACTTTATCTCTTGTAGACAAGCTATATCAGTTGAAAGCGATTACATCTTGCTCGAAAATTCACATTCTCTGCTTTCAACTCTTCCGTCTTCAATCATTTAGGAATGAGAAGAATTGAAAAATCTAGCTTATATCTCTATGCAGCTTACACATCATCATGCCTCGTAAGTTTGCAATTTGTTTTCAGAAATTGTTCTTCAAAAGATTTCAAATTATCAGTTTTCATTCCAAATTATATGATTGAGTTTGCTAGTTTTTCATAGAAAAGGGAGACTGATAAAGGAAATAGTGAAAGGGTTTTCACTCTGTTTGAAAGAAAAGTTAAAGGAAGTCAGCTGATCTGAAAGAAAGATAACTCATATGTTCCAATACTGAAATTTCGTAAGAATTCATGAATATTTCAAAAGAGTCGTGAAATGTTATCAAAGGTTACAATATTTAGAATTACTCATTTTTAAGGAAGATCGAGCATGGTCATTCTGTGTTTCGTTATGCATGGCTCTTTTGGGAGGAATTCAATTGGTATCAATAGAGCAAATGGCTGAAGGTTTGACCCAGATATTCTTCAGCGGCTTATTAGGTAACCAATTTGATAAATCATCACGAAAAGCAGGTATTTATTGAACGATAACAAAGCAATTGTAATAAGAACATCTAAAGCAATACGTGCAGTGATTCCATTGAACAATCTGAGCTTGGTTACATCAGCATTATGCTTCATCGGTAACTCAGACAACGAACGAGTGTTTTGAAAGATACGTTGAGGATGTCTGTCGTTGCCTAACGATTCTCACTTCTTTCCAATACTGCTCATAATTGGAATTATCTTCTGCTCGATCAATCGTTTGTTTCTCAATGCTGAGAAATTCATATTAGGAAGAGATTGGGTTGTTGTTATAAGCAATAGAAACCTATCTGGTGAGGAGAAACACCATGGATTGATTGAACATTACTTCTTGTTTGAAGATCTGAACGCAATTCTGACGACGTTGGATCAGTTTGCAAATGTTATCTCGCCGCTGGTAACAGGAGTGAGTTATCCTTAATGCATAGAACCACTTGACTTACTTTTCCCAAATTGTTATTCGAGTACTCACATTCTCGTTCAACTTTTCCCAACTATAGATTAAATCTTAAGGGGCTCGTGAGTCTCATAGGCTTAAAGAGTACCTGTGCCATATTTGGAATCGGAAGCTTAGTTTCTATGATTTCGAAAATATTTTTTCTCCGTGCTCTGTATAAGAGAGAAGAAGGATTGCATCAGAAAGAGACTTTGATTGAGAAAAAAGCAGCTCCAGGTGATGACAATATGTCGAAAACAAACAAACAGCAATATCGCCCTAGAAACTAGCAGATTCTGCGATCGGTTCTCAGAAGGAATTCAATCTATTCCTAATGTTATTTCGATTTACTATGAACAAACTGTTTTCTCAGTTGCTCTGGGAATGTCACTTCTTTTCATGACAGTTCTGGGTTTTGATGGGGTTACCAAACAACTCGGCAATATTTTTAGAATAATTTTTCATTAAGTTAGCCATTTCCTATGGTCAATCGACTGGTCTACCTGAAGCTCTTCTTGGAGGATTTAAGTTAGCTCATATGTTAAATATATCTTAATTATACGCTGTTTCAAGATCATTCGGATCATTCATGGGGATTGCTGGAGCATTATCTTATGCCTTTTTTGAAAAACGATTTGGTGTCAGAAAAACAGGACTCATTGGATTAACGGTTGAACTGAAATGCAACGATTTACATGTATTTCTAATTTGAAGAGTCAGCATGTTTTTACTATGATGGCTTTGGTATCCATTTGGTTGCCTGGCTCTCCAATGAACTTGGGCGGATACTTCCACTCATTTTCGTGGCATGTATAGTTTATCTGTCATATGAGTTCATACAGAAAAAATAATTCAGTCATGGTGGGATGAGCTGAAAGATTCGTTCACAGCTAATGGGACTGTGAGCAACTATCAATCAAATATAGATTGGAACAACTTTACTGCTAACGGAAATAGCATGTTCAGTATTTTCGTTTTCCTTACCGGCATCGCAATTGCTCGTTTCGGTGAGTTACAGGAGAGAGCTTGAAAGTCTGAATAAAAAGCTTTTGAAGGCTTATGGATGGCTGATCTGAGTGTAATGCATATAATGCAGGTTGCTGTTCCGGAGAGACAGAGAAACACTGTTTTTGGTGTCCACAACTCTCTTTGTCAATCATTCTCTGTTTTGAAAGTGAGTCTTTGACAAAGAAACAGAATACAGAACTCTTTAAAGGATCTTTTGGTGATCGCCTTACCTGACCCTCGTACTTTTGGGTTGTGCATTATAATATCATACCTATTCGTGACTACAGGACATCTTTGTTATATTTACTATATCATCAGAGTACAGACAGTAATCATACAACTCTAATAGAATATTTCAGTATCCGGAACCGGCCAATGAATTGGAAGAAGAAAAGCTCAGCAACATTTCAACGGACGACGAAAAAAAAGATATAATTATTCGATTATGAACAATATATGTATAAATCATTAAATTCGAAGCTTCATATATACATACATTCAGCTCAGAAGTTCAAAGTTCGAAGTTCAGATCAACAAACCTCGACAGTGTCAACTCACTTTGACAATCAAATAACCGAAGAAGAGAAATAATCGATAATTTCGGAAAAAAATGAGATGAGTCCTCTAAAAATTCCTTGTTTAGCTTAAAGCATCAGTTGAGCTATTGAAAAGACATTTAGGATTCTATCTGCTAACCCGACTATTGTCTTCTTCATCATTATGCTTTTACCTCTTCGTTTCTCATCTTCAACCTCTCACTCTATTTCTCTCCCTCTTCAGAGTTCTTTTTTCCCATTATGTCATTCCATTTGATTCTCTCAGACTCTAACGTTCTCTTCTTCATCTCCGCCCTCTTTAGCTTCAAGGCCCTGTTGTCTGCAATCGATCAGATTCTTTTCATCTCTCTTATTGCTAAAGCTCCATAAAAGAGTGTTAGCCTCAACCTTTATACACTTTAGTTTTCATATCAAGTTATTCATTTCTGGATTATTGTGGGAGAAGCTATTGAGCACTTCAGTCAATTTGTTTCATCTGTTCTAGGAACTTCTGAATATCCATTCTAACTTAATAGCCCTAGCTTCTAACATTTTCTTTTTTCATTCTCTGGAATTTTTTTGTTTAACAAACCTATTTAAAGAATATTCCAATTATATCGTTGGGCTCTATCTTTGGTCTCTTCTCCTATTCTATTTCCATTTTCATAGTCACTTCAGTCCAAGCTGAAACGGAACTTTTTAAAATTTATTCCTCATTTCTGAATTATCTGTCGAAATTCGATATTGTTTTTCATCAAAATCTAAATAAATGATTTCTTGAATATCTTTCAAAATCTTTTTCCAGACTCCGATGTGCAAATAATGAATTTGAATCTATTGCGCGAGAGAGTTTTTCGTTTGAAAAATTTGCCTTCGGGCAATTTGGACACCCAACTGAGACGATGTTTGACAACTTTTGATATAACCTTATTAGGAATCGGACATATGATTGGAGCTGGGATTTACGTATTGACAGGTTGATTTTATGAAAATAAGAAAAATGCTTCTGAAGTTCGGTGTTACTACATGGCCAGAAAAGATACTTAAGAAAATTGAATCCATACTCTGTTTGCCACGTTTATAAGAGGAACCTCTTCCTTAAGAGGTAGCAACATAATGTTTCTCTTAGGGTATCAAAACGTGTATGATTGAAGTAAGTTATGTGAAAGAATAATTCAAGTCTACACATGTCAAACATGAGACACGTAGACAATGAACGTGTTTATCCAATCATTCTCCACATGACATCCTTCCTCATATCCTATCTAAACCGATTTGTAACTTTTGTCTGGAGAAATCTAAATATTTTAGGGAAAATAAAATATTTTATTGGTAGCAACTGCTGTTATCAATTTCTTACATTCTGTTATGTAATTACAGGAAGTGTTGTTCGATATGTCGCGGGGCCATCAGTCGTCGTTTCATTTCTGATTGCTGGAGTCGCATCACTGCTTTCAGCTCTTTGTTATGCAGAGTTTGGAGCAAGGTTTATAATTAAGTCAGCTGTTTTTATTTTCTTGTGATTCACAGATTTCCTAAAGCTGGAAGCGCTTATACTTATGCTTATGTTGGTGTTGGAGAGTTATGGGCTTTCATTATTGGCTGGAACATCATTCTTGAGCATATGGTTGGAGCCGCAGGTATCATCTTCTCTATGAGTCAACTAATCATCAATTCTAAGCTGTTGCCCGATCTTGGTCTGGATATTTGGATTCCTTATTAGGGAATGCTATAAGCAATTCAACAATGAAAGAAATAGGCCGTTTCTCAGTAAGAATTATTTCATTTAATTATCTTCAAATGAAAATCATTATCAAACTAATTTTTGTCTTTCAGAACACATCTCTCCTTGCAGATTATCCGGATTTCACAGCTTTTCTTCTAATCATTGTTGTTGCAATTTTCGTTGGTAATAATAGAATTTTCAAATTTCATTAAAACGAAATCGGATAATTAAGGCTTGGGCTCAAAGGTTTCAACCAATTTCAACTCAACTTTCACCATCATCAATATGGCTGTATGTGTTTAATCAAATAAAGAGCTATTTAATATATTCAGGTAATATGTGTTGTCATTGGCTACGGAATCACCTACGCGGACTTCTCTCTATGGTCAGGATATGATGAAAATGGAAAATCTAAGTATAAACTAGAAGGGTACAGTATTTACAAACGTTATTTCAATAGATTTTTCCCTTATGGAGTTAATGGAATGATGGCTGGAGCAGCTTCATGTTTCTTTGCTTATATTGGCTTCGATGGTTTAGCTACAGCTGGAGAAGAAGCAAAAGGTACAAGTTAATTTAACGATTGTACTAACTTTCTTGAATTCAGATCCTTCTCGATCAATTCCAATCGCTACTTTCACTTCAATGTCTGTTGTTACTTTGGCTTACATACTCATGGCTGCATCTCTTACTCTGATGATTCCCTACTATGAGGTGAGAAGAAGTTTATTTTCTCATATCGTTACCACGAGTTGTCAGTTCGAAGTAACAGGCTGTTTCATTTTCAACAAGCATTAATAGAGAGCGGTTGGGTTACTTTCAACTCTACTTAATTTGCAGGTTCACCCAACTGCAGCTTTCTCGGATGCTTTCGCTCTGAAAGGAGCTACAATAGCTCGTTATGCCGTTTCTATTGGAGCCTTATGTGGAATGATGACTAGTCTGGTGAGAAGACAAATGAAAACAAATTGAAACAAACAAATAGGTCGGAGGGATGTTCGCCCTTCCTCGTTGTGTGTTTGCCATGGCTGAAGATGGATTATTATTCAAGGATCTGGCTGTGGTTAACAGTAAAACTCAAGTATATTAAAATATTTTTAGTTGAGCTCAACATTAATATTTAGGTTCCAATTAATGCCATAATAGTTTTTGGATCTTTGACTGCAATCATAGCTTTATTGTTTGATATCACGACGCTAGTTGAATTCTTATCCATTGGAACCCTGCTCGCTTACACTATTGTTTCTGCTTGTGTTATTACTTTACGTTACCAACCAGCTCAGTACCCTGAGGATGATGCATTCGATAATGGTATTTATTTGCTTTGTTTTTTAATTCATCGTTCTAATTCTGGGCGGAAGATTGAGATGTTCTATTCCTGGATTATCTTTCTTCGATAAAATAGCTCCCGGACATGCGATTTACTACTCAATAAGTTTAATGACTTTTGGATTTGTCTGGCTCTCCACGAGTCTACCGACTGGTATGTTTATTCAATTCTTCTAATACTCAAGCAAATGAAATGTTAAGTTGATGGATTCTTCAACAGTCAACACATCTTAGACTTCAGTATCGGTTTGATAATATCCTTAGCCCCTCTACTCTTCATTACTTTGCATCATCAGAACAGTGTGAGCTTGTCATTCCGAGTAAGTTATTGATTTGCGAACATAAATGCAACGGAAAATCTAGGTTCCACTTGTTCCTCTTCTACCAGCTACCAGCATGTTTTTGAATATAGCGATGATGGTTCATCTGTCTGTACTGACTTGGGTTAGATTATTCATCTGGCTGACTATCGGTTTGTGATGATTCAAAGCAGAAAACTCCTTACTTATTCAGGGTTTGTTATATACTTCTTTTACGGAATGAAACATAGCAAAGAAGAACTCCCAAGGGCAGACCCAATTACCAAGTCAAGCACTTATGATTCGGTAGTTACAGCCAGTACTTTACCGGATGATTAATGAAAGAAATAACTAATTTATTATGTAAATAAACAATAGAAACTTCTATATCAGTTCTGATCTTCAACGTAGAAGCTTAGATGAGTGTTGTTATTTGAGATTTTTTGATGATTATCGAAGTGTTTTTGACAATTTTGACTATGGATAAACGATAGGATTTGACACTTATGAAAACAAAATAGGAGCAAGCGGTGTTAGTGATAAGTACACAAATTACACAATAGTTCACCACCTCTGGAATTCGTTTATAAAATTGGAAGATGATGAAACCATACCTGGAATGCTATAGTTCATAATACCAAAGCTTATAATGATGGACATCGGTAAGCCTAACAGCACTAATTGAGCAAATGTCTGAAGGGAATTCGTACGATTGCTTACCTACTATACTTACCTGTGTATACAAAGTCCTTAGTAAAAAAATATGCTTTTGAAGAGCTTGTTTCGACATGCTCGGTTTGAGATTCAAGAATCTCCGACGAGTTAGATAACCGAAAACAAAGATGAGCCCGATGTATGTAACCGTTACGAGAGATAGAAGAAATAAATAAATAAGAAAGTTTGGTCCAGATTCTAAAGGAGATACAACAATTGTCCATTCGTACACTTTATCCGGTACTTCTCCTTTAAAGTTCTATCAAAAATATATTTTAAGTTACTTCTTGTTGGAGAACAAGTATCTCGACTACCTTCAAGCATTGTCTTTTCAATGGTTCGTTGTTCTGAATTTTGATAATAAATATATAAGCGATTGAGAAGATGAAATAAAACAGTATCCAACAAGCAAATCCAATTGCTCGGATAATCTTACTTCTTGTAGAAACTGAGGGAAAAGCTTGAAGAGCCTCATAACGAAGATAGAACAATCTGATACTTGCTCCAGACATGCCTGAGAAAGATATGAAGTATCAGGACTGTTCTTTTAGTAAACTATTTCTTCTCTACTAACAAGTCACAATGCCAATATTCAATGTAGCTTGATGAAGTGTTGGAACATTGAAGCGATTCAAAAATCCACTGGCATACCCAGCTAAGCAATCTGTGTAGAAGTAGGGACGAGTTCCAGCAGAAATGGTGAAAGATGAAAGAGCCGAGCTGAATCGAAGAATATTTGAGTAAAGATAAAACGAATTTTCTTAAGAAAACTCACAAAAGAGATTGAAGGAACAGATAAGTTTTGTATTGAAGTGACATTGATGCCGGTGAATGAAAGATAATACAATAAAAGGAAAGATAAAATAAAAGTATCGATGAAGGAAATATTATATCCAGCAGAGTTTCATAAATCATCTGAGCAATATCTATGGTGTAACTATATCTCACAGAATTATCAGCTAACCCTGTCGACATATAGTTATAGCTTGAATTGATCTACAACGATGATATCATGCAACGATTGAGTTCTGATCATTAAGCTCATTTCTAAAAAAAATGACTTTGTAAGAAAATTTTCCGTTAATTAAATGCAAACCATCTTTTCTACGTTGCTCACCAATCATCAGAATCATAGAAGATGTATCCAAGCGTTATGATTATCTAATGAAATATCTTTTTTTCTCAATTGATGAATTACTTTAACTGTTCTCTGCTATTACTCTTCCTTTCAAACAAAATCAACCTAATGCTTCAGAATAGATTTCTGATTCTCATATCTAGCAGAATGAGATCAAAGTTTTTCAATTTTATTTGCTTCATAATTCCATATTGGAAGAGTGAGAGAAAAAAAGTTTATTTTGACCTTCCAGGACTTATGGAAACCCATTCTCTGTATTCCCTATATGGTCTAGGTTAGATGTTAGATGATTCATACATACATATATGGTCAGTGTCGGTGAGAAAACCAGAAACCGGTCTAGGTTGCATTCGTTGCATGCGAACGTCAAACGATGCAGTCGTCGTATTTGCGTACAGTTGAAGGATTTTACAATTTCTTTTCCATATTTAGAGTGAAAACGTAGCTACACACACAAATTAAAGTATTCTGATAAACTCACGTGAATACGTGAAAAAAATTATTTTGTCTTTTCGTTTAGAAACAATCGGTTGTAATAACTTGACTGCATTCATATGCTAAAATTTTTCATTCTCATAATTCATCCCATAGGAAATCTCATAGCACGTTCTCTTGAACAGTCATCTAGAAACTTTGGACCGCTCTACTCTACACGAGTTGCAATATCTCGGTAAAAGCTGACAAAGGTATATTTGAGATTTTGCGAAAAACACAGCGTCTTTGAGAAGGTTTCAATAAACCTTTTTTCTTGAAGTTGTATTTACCGATCCTCTCTCTTCCCTCTTTCATTTGTTACCCACTTATTTTCTCTCTTCAGCCTGTCCTTTCTCTTCCCACTTCTATGTTGTCACTTATTGTCCTGCTGCTATCTTGTGTTCGTCCTGACTGAATCACTCTTCTCTTTATATTGTCCATCTCTCATGTTTTCCAGCAATTCTCTGCTATCTCTTTCAAATATATTTACTATAACATCTCTTTTTTTCGCTCATGATGTAGGACGTTCAGCACACATATCGATTTTTTCAAAGTCCTGCTGAGGGCAGCCTAGTAGCACACTCTACAAAGTATACACTGCAGACACGTACTACGTACTGTCATGTTAATTTCATGAATTCTTACTTCTCTGTTAGTGCTTTAGAATGTTATTCTCTCTGCCCATAGTTATCAAATCGAAAAAAAAATTAAGTATTGCATAGTAAAAACAAGTTGCAAGGCCTTCTCACCCCTCTTTCGCTAGCTCATTTCCGTAGACTTCTTATTGTATTTTTAAGTTTCTCGCGTTTACTATTGTTATCCTATTTCAATTATCTCCTCATAATCTGCTTTTCTTTGAAGTATCACTCTTCTTCTTATATTTTATAGAACGATGTTTCAATCCTCTAACCGTTCACCTTCTATTGCAAAGCGAACGCAGATCGTTCGGGGCCTGTGTCCCAGTTAGACTTGTCCTAAATAAGTCCATCCACTAGACCACCCGGCAAAACTGCCCAAAAACATTTTATGACTGTCATAAGCAAACTTTATGAGGAATATCTTAAACTAAAATTCTGTAATTATACTGAATTACTCAAATTAGAATAAGGTATTAACTGATAATCATTGCCTGTTTGCCCCATCTCACATGAATCATACTGATTCCGTTCACTATTTTGTAGAATTTCATTTATTTCTCTGTCTCTATCTGTTGCAGCTCTTAAGTTTATTATTAAAATGGTTACAATACTTTAGATAATCTCAAAATCTGGCTTGGAGAGATGTCAGCCAAATTTTTGGTTGTAGAATGTGACGATAATGAAAATGCCGTGAGATTAGTTCGATTGATGGTTAAAACAAAAACATAATCTATCTTTCTGAACGCGATGATTTCAGTTAGAAAACGGTTTTTCTCGTATGATGTTGTTGGATGATCTCTCTAAACATCCATCATTGATAGCTGCTTCGAACGGAGTTCAGTCTGAGCAACTTACAAAAACTGATATTGCTGTCAATTCTTTGGCAAATTTTGCATCGAATGAAGCAGAAGAAACTAAATACGGGTGAGTCTGTTACCTCATGTTGTTCATTTTCCCATCTGGTTGTAGAATTTCGTCTCCAACTACCTCAAGCTCCAGATCCGATACTGAAACGAATTTGAGAATCTTAAATATGTTTGAAAGTTATAAAGAAGATGATTTACGTATCATGAAATCTGAGAATGATTTGGAGGATGATAACAACGTTGAATGCTTAGCAGAGAATGAAGAAGGTTCATCAACGTTATTCGACATATCGGAAGGTTCTCTTTTGTATTTTAAATTATTTAATTCAAACTAATTAAGGTTTGGACCTTCTGGCACAAGCCGCCAAGCAAAGTTTAACAGTTGCATCTCAAAGATCTCCCCAACGAAGGAAAATTAGTGGAATTCAGGATCCGGACAAATATTATCATAAATGTCGAGTGAGTTTTCGAAAATTTTGGAAAATATTCAATTTTTTCTCAAGTTATGTGGCACTAAAGTGAAAGCACCTCGTGGAGGGCGCTGGAATCTGCAGATGCATGTGATGGCAATGCATTCCAATAAACGATCTTTACAATGTCCAGAATGTAATTATACGGATTACCGGTAACTGATTTTGATTTCGACAGCTCTCATCTGTACTGTTCAGAAAACCTGGCATAAGAAAGCACACTCTGGTCTCACATGGTTCAGATTTGCCTCCAATTGATATTACGTAACTAACTACACTTTTTAGTTTTTTCAGTTTCACGATTTCAGAACTGATGATAAAAGAAAAGAATGGGATAACGTTATGGCTCAATGCTTTCCTGAGTTTTCGCATCGTACGGGGTTCTTAGAAAAAATCTAAAATTCATAATAAAAAAATGTACATATGTATATAAAAATCAATAACAACTTCAACATGTTGGTGTTAAACTATTAGTAAGTATATGATATTCCATCAACAACAGTGAAGGAATTGATAGTTTGCACAAAAGTTTTTTTTTCTTCTATAATACTTTTTCTATCATATGACCAACCGCATATTACCGTTCAACCGTTGCGATTATCTTTCAGCTTCAAAAGAGAAACACCTTGGGAGCAGCATTTCCTGCATCTTCACTATTCGTTCTTCACCTGCTCAGCTTACCAAGCCCATCCACTTAGATAATGAATTGTGAGAAAACGGATTTGACTGATCCAAGCATCTGAATAATCTATGCTCCTTGTTATCCGCCAAATTTAGGAAAGTTTAACCTTTTTCTGTTTTTTGCCTAATGTTCT